GGCCAAGCGAGATCGCCTTTTTTTTTGCCCCTCCGCTTTCTATATATCCAAGTGTCTGGATGTGAATATGATGAACTGTATGATTGGGAAGAAACCCGAGAGAAGTCCTATGGATCGCATCGCATCGCGTTCGATCGGGGGAAGGGAAATAACCATAGCGATCGTCGCGCAAATGAGAAGACTCCCTCCCTCCCTCCCTGATCATGGAGTGACGGGACCTTTCTTGCGGATTGCATTTGATGATTCGTGATTGAAAAGGCCGTGTTTGAGTCGCCCCGATCGATCGAACGACCGGGAAAAAAAAAGGAAGGACAAGAGAGATAGAAAGGTAGAAAGGAAGGAAGAGAGAGCCGGCTAGCACCGAGTAGTAGTAGTAATAGCAGTAAGTAGAAGAGCCGCGGAAGAAGCAGGTTCCTACGACCATCCCCAAAAATGTGAGAACATATCATCCCACGGAAGCAAACACAAAATGAAAAAGGAATGATTCGATCGTGATCCTAGGACGATGGGAAACCCCTTTCGTTCCCTTTTTTTTTTCTTTCTTTCGAGGTGGTGTCTTTCCCCCATCTACAAAGGCCAAATCTCCCTTCTCTCTCCCATTCTCTCTCTCTCACCAATCGCGCCGATGCCCCGGCGGCCCCCCGCCGCCGTCGTAGAAATCGCCCGACCGCGGACCCCGGCGGTCCCTCCCACCGCCTCGTCCACCACCATACCCACCGCGGGGCCCCCCATAACCCCTCCCGCCCCTCCCACCGCCGCCGCCGCCGCCGTACCCCCTTCCATCCCTCCCGCCGTCCCGGCCGCCGCCCTCCTTCCCGCCACCACCGCCGGGCCGCCCGAAGATGCCGAAGTCCGGGCCGGAGTCGACCAGGCGGTCGTCCTCGAACGTGTACCTCCGCATGTTGCTCATGGCGTAGACGTCGTCGTCGTACTGCACCGCGGGCTCCCACGCGGCGCTCGTCTCCGTCTGCAGCGCGTCCCACCGCACCGCCGCCCGCTCGTCGCCCACCGCCTTGAAGTACAGCTTCGGCTTCGTCTCCGTGCGGCTGAACCGCTCGTCCAGCGAGAAGAACGACGTCCCGCTGCTGGTGTTCGCCGCGGGCACGTGCGCCGGCGGCGCCGGCGGCAGCGGCCGGAGCGTGCGTGGCTCGTCGTCGCCGTCGTCGTCGCGTGGCTCGATGGTGCGGACGGGCGCGTTGCGCGCGGTGCGGGATCGGGGCCCCGAGGGCGCGTCGGCCATGGTCCGGTCGGGTTTCGATGGGTTGGTGGTCTCGCGCGGCTCCCGGGGTTGTGATGGTTTGGGATCCGATGTGCGTCGGAGGCGGTCCGCGTCGGCTTTGGTCTCCTCGTCGTCGTCGCGTCCGTTTTGCATTTCGACGTCTCGCGATTCTTGTCCCGAGCGTGGTTGGTCTTTCGTGTCTTCGTCTTTCGGTGCCTCTGCCGGGCTGGCCTCGTCGTCCTCTCCCGTCTTGAGCTTCTTGCTGATCGATTCTGCGTCTACGGGCGGCGTCGGACTGCGTCGTTTGCGTTTGCGGTTTTCCGTGTCGCTGTCCTGAGCCTGTTCTGTCTCATCGTTGGCGACCGCATCGTCGGCCTGTGCCTCTTCCATTGCTGCATCCTCGTCGACCTCTGCTTCTTCAGCATTTCCCTCCTCGGTCTCGTTCACTCCGCCAGTGGTTGCTGATGGATTCTCTTCATCGTAAGCCACGAGGGCGTCGACGAATTGCTGCTTGAGCTTGAGGCCCGCGGCGGGAATGTCGCGCTCTTTGACCAAATCGCGCAGCTCGGTGACCTTGAGCTTGCTGTAATCCGCCATGACGCCAGGCGTATCGATGTCGCGTCTTCGGGGGGGCGTGGTTAGAGATATTGTTGCAGGTGGGTGTCGATGAAAATTAGATGGCGCTCATTGGCTTTTGAGAACCGGCTTGTCCAAAGGGAAAATATCGGCCAGCCGGGTGGAGATCGCAGCGGCAGGCGGCGCGTGCGAACGCATCGGCACTTGTGCACCAAACACGTCACGCCTGACTCGTGTAGCAATTCGATGATGGGGTCCAAGCTCGCCAATGCAGCAAACACGTCCATCGACCAGATGTGTGGAATATATTCTCCCGCCTCGAGAATCGAAATCATTGCTCGAGAACCACCATGGTGTAATAATGACATGCAGTCGATGGAGATTCTCATTGATATATTTACTAGAATCACATGCAAAAATGAGCCTTGAAAACGGTGTGCAGGCCGACGAACCGGGTATATCTAGAAGATTTGACCGCCTGATCAAAACGATAATAGTAGTACAAGAAGCATACCCAATTACAAGCAAACGCAGTCTCCACCTGAACGCGATCACGATCCCTTCATTTCGCCAAATTTTAAAGCTTGATTCAACCGTTATACCCATCCTCTTCGCAAAGCACTCACCCCAGCTTCAGAGCGGATTCCTGAATGGCCTTCTTCACGTTCTCGTCCCTCGGCAAATAGACGCCCGCCACCTTCAACAGCCTCCTCGCCTGCGACTCATCCTCTCCCAGTTCCTTCATCGCCATGCCGGTGCGATAGTAAATTTTGCCCATTTGATCCGCTGCCGGGAACTGCATGAAAGCCTCCTGCTCAGGGGGAACATTCAGCCAGATATTCGGGTCGTCGGGGATATCGCCTCGGGCATTCCGGAGCGTGTTGATCGTCCGCATCCCCCAGAAAATGCACTCGCTATACTCCTGTAGCAGGAGATACGCGAGGCAGGTGTTCGCCACGAGTTGCACCCGCAGACGTAACCGCTCGACTTGTCCGTCGAGGCCGGCGTAGGGGGCTTCAGATAGTGCTCCGATGAAGAACCGGTCGGCGTGAACGTGTCTTAGCCGTCCGTGGATCGCGATGTGTATTGCTCGCCAGGCGTGAACGTATTGTTCGAGCGCGGCTCGTGGGTTGCCGCCAGTCAGTAATGTATTTCCAGCTTGCTTGAACTTAGTCGCCTCCGCTAGACAGGCTTCGGGACGAGGATGAGGCGTGGCTTGCGCAGCTCGCAAAGCGTCCTCGAGGCCATGGGCAGGCTCGTGGCTGCCGTTAAATTCGGTCTTATGGAGGCGCTTCACTTTGCCAAATGGCAAGATCAGGCGCCGTTGAAGAGCAACAGAAAGCGTTTTGGACGGACCACTACCATATATATCCTGACGATCGCTCTCTTGACCTGTAGCCGGATGACGGAGAGTAAGCGCGATCTGGAGGTGCTGGTTTAGACCTTCAAAGCTCAGATCGGCATATTTCCATATGAGGGCGAATTTCTCCAGGTCATCAAGATGAATGATGAAAACCTGTTGACTTCTCGCCAGGACGTCAATATCCGGCGAACTGATGCAAACTTGGAGGCTGTGGATGCTGAACGTCTGGGCGTGCTTGCTAGATACTACGATCGGTACGTGGCCTTCTTCTGCCACATGCTGCATTGCCATCTCTCCAGGTGTGTCGATTCGAATAAAGACATTGAGGTCGCGGAACACTTTACGCGCTTCGAGATATATCTGTCGATTCGCAAGCAAGATCTGCAAGGCTGGAGCAAAATCGTATTGCCAGTATTCATTTTCCAACTCGGTCCGATTCGAGGCCGGATTAAATATAAACTTGTAGATCTCTTCGCGAATTTCGGCTGGGAGCGTCAGAAGTGTTGGTCGAGTCATTGTCTCTGCCATGTTATCAATTTGTAGCAGTATTTCCCTAAAAACAGTCACATTCGTTCAAACAATTGCTCATGGGCGAAATGGTTGGATCAAGATGCGCAAATGGTTGATGTGGTGGATCATGAATGAAGCTGTGTGTTCGCGGGGCAGGGCCCGCAAGGCCTCGGCGCTCCACATGTCGCGTGGCGAACGGAACAGTGAGAATGGGGAATTGCAAGTCGACGCGACATTTATTTTGGATCCTTCGATTCAGTGCTCGCTTGAATAGTCAGATGTGTCAATACAATTTCGATCAGAAAGAATACAGCTCTGCCCGCTATCGACCCGAGGATCCCTCGAAAGGTTGATACATGTACATGAAAAAAAGTCCAAGCCACCAGGTTATCAAGCCTTTCTGATAAAGTTACAAACAATGACACAAAGACGAGAGAGTCGGCAGAATGTATCCCAATGCGCCGTGTTCTCTAGATGATCCTCCATTCGACTGACGTCGTCTATGCGTCAGTGATGCAGCCGTGGCTAGCATCCTGGACAACCTTTGCGTACTTGTAAAGCGTGCCCTTGGTGTACTTCAATGGCGGTGCAACGAATTCCTTCTTGCGCTTCTCGAGCTCTTCGGGTGTTGAGTCAACGATGTCAATGACGCGCTTCTCAGCGTCAATTGTGATGGTGTCGCCGTCGCGAACAAGGCCGATGGGACCTCCCTCTTGAGCCTCGGGCGTGATGTGACCGATGAGGAAACCGTGGCTGCCGCCAGAGAATCGTCCATCGGTGAGCAAGGCGACATCGTTGCCAAGACCGGCTCCCATGATGGCAGACGAAGGCTTCAACATCTCAGGCATACCCGGTCCACCTTTAGGTCCTTCGTAACGGATGATGACAACGGTCTTCTCGCCCTTGGGGATCTCGTTGCGCTCGAGTGCGGCAATAAAATCGTCCTCAGCGTCAAAGCAACGAGCCTTGCCGGTGAAAACAGTTCCTTCCTTGCCAGTGATCTTTCCAACACTGCCACCTGGGGCGAGGGATCCACGGAGGATCTGGATGTGGCCAGTGGATTTGATGGGGTTAGAAATCGGTCGAATGATGTCTTGATCTGCAGGGAAGTCGGGGCAGTTCTCAACGTTCTGCTTGAGAGTGCGGCCAGTGACAGTCAAAGTGGAGCCGTCCAGAATGCCCTCCTTGAGGAGGAATTTGATCAAGCTAGGTGTGCCTCCAATGTTGTACAGATCCTCGAATACGTATTTGCCAGAAGGCTTCAGGTCAGCCAGGAAGGGGGTACGGTCGGTCACAGCCTGGAAATCGTCCAACGTGAGCTCGATGCCAACACTGTGAGCGATTGCAATCAAGTGCAGAACGGCGTTGGTCGAACCACCAGTGATGTTGACAAGGATCATGGCGTTCTCAAAAGCCTTCCGGGTCAGAATGTCTGAAGGACGGATGTCCTCCTTCAAGAGATTGCGGACCGCCGGTCCAACAGCCATACACTCCAACTGTTTCGCCTTGCTCGTCGCCGGGTTCGATGAAGAGCCGGGCAATGACATGCCCATTACTTCAATGACAGAGGCGAGTGTGTTTGCCGTGTACATGCCACCGCATGCTCCGCTACCAGGGCACGCGTGACGGATGATATCGAAACGCTCGTCTTCGGAGATTTCACCAGTCAAGAATTGACCATACGCTTGAAAGGCGGAGACGATATCCAATTTGTTGTTCCGCGGCTCTTTACCACAACCCGGTGAAATGGTACCTCCGTACACCATCAAACTGGGACGGTTCACGCGACCCATGGCCATGATGACACCGGGCATGTTCTTGTCACATCCTGGAATGCTGACATTGGCGTCGTACCACTGACCTCCCATGACGGTCTCAATGGAGTCGGCAATCAAATCTCGGCTTTGTAACGAATAGCGCATGCCTTTTGTTCCCATGCTGATACCGTCGCTCACACCGATAGTGTTGAACTGCATACCCTTCAAACCGGCCTGGTTCACAGACTCGGTGATCTTGTGGTTGAGCTGAAGGAGATGCTGGTTGCATGGGTTGCCGCTGTACCACACCGAGGAGACTCCGACCTGGGCCTTGTTCATGTCGGCCTCTGTCATTCCGGTGGCGTAAAGCATGGCCTGAGAAGCACCCTGCGACTTGGGTTGAGTGATGTGTTTGGAAACATGGTTCAGGCCTTCGGCATCGGTGTGTGACGCCTGTCGTTGTTGCGCCGACAAGGAAAAAGCTCTTCTGTAAAGAGATTATTAGCCATTAGAGATTATCTTGTACCTGCACAAGGCGTGGTCCAGGCAGAGGTGGAGCATACGAAGAGTGCCATTGGGCGCGCGAACACCACGAAGGACGCGCCGCATTTGCGGCTGCTGAACGAAGGGTGAACATCATTGTCGTGTGTGATGTGTGCAGCAGCAATGGATATTCGAAGCGCAAACAATTAATTTGAAGCTTCAAATTCGCCGTTCCCCAGATGCTCCAGCACCGCATTGGACCGGGGAATCAGCAAAATTGCGGAGAACGACATTGGCCTGAGTCATACGAGGACAGGGACGATCTCGCCCCGAGCGTCGTCAATGCGTGCAATTGTTATGTACTGTACTGTGTATGCTCTACTGCAACGCAACAGTGAGCCACTCCTGATCCATCACGCACGTTGGTTCAGCCGACGGCGAAATATTTGTTCATCTTCCTCAACTTGAACGAATCGAGCGCCGGTCAGAGCGTGTGGTTTCGATGATCTTTCAAACCGGGTACATTGGCCGTTTTGGTGCGGCATCTGAGAGATCAACACACGGTGACAGGCCATAGCTTTTTCGGAATCGTCGTGTTCATGTCTTTTGTACTCATACTAATACAAGAGGCGCTCGAGCCGCGTCGCGACGAAGCAGCACGATTGCGACACGACGTCCAGCTCATTATATCACCCGTGTTGCTTTCAGACTTTCCCCCGAACTCATCGCATCGTATAAAGCCCTGGAAGGCTTGAGAAACTCCCAACCGGCGTGAGAGTCGTTAGCCAGAGCCAGTATTGACCTCTCGCGGGCAGCCCGGTGCAATAAACCCGTAATCTTCGGGCTTTCGACGTTCCAAGGTTCTCTTCGTTCGAAATTCGCCGACACACGTGGGCCCGTCCTAATCATCGATGCAACGCTCCCGAGGTAGTATGGGTATTGCAATATCACTGATCGTTGTCGATGAACCCCATCGTGTCCGTTCTAGAATGTAGACCAGACCTGAGATATGTCTCCATCGAGATATCTGCGGCGGAAACCATGTGCTCAACGATACTGGGTCGCACCTCACGTAGCACAATTGGCCATTGTTGTAATGATGCGGTGCAACATCATCTCGGCGATGTCTACGAGTGTTAATGACCTACTTGCTGTCATTACCTAGGTAATCTGACATCAACGCGCCTGTCACATTTGCAACTGCATGCATCGATATCTGCGTCGCGCTTTGCTTTACTGATCGGTGAGTCAAGTCTGTTCACTCTCGCCAGTGTCTTCGTCGAGAGATCGACCACACCTCTTGGAGGCAGTCGCGGAAGTCGTCATTGCTGAGTTGTCTTAAAACCCTCAAGGAAGGCGAGATCCTGCGTCGAGGTGAGCAGCTCCCAAAGGTTGGCTCTCACATGGGTCATCTTGATCCCTAGACTTCCAAGGTTGGCGAGTTCCTTCCTTTGCTTGCTTCGCAGTTGGTGTCGAACTCGTGATCGGGCGGAGCATCATTATTCTATCCGGTTCGTTCCCTCGACTGTTGGCAAAAGCATCCGACTCTTCATCTCCCTTCAACAACAACAGCTTCGCTCGAACTTCCGTCCGAGTCTGAAGCTAGCACCTACTGTCCCCTACCTACTATTCTGCCCGGTCTATGCCCGAGCTTCCACGAGTCCAAGACCTGAAAGCTGCTTTCGAGGCCATCAGGCAATCAGCTAACATGGCGGTTCCAAATTTGCAGCAGCCCACCAACCCCTCAACCAGTGAGCTTAGTCCCAGCTCATTGGCAACAACAAAGCGACCGACCATATCAAGTACAAGACCTTCCTGGATCGGTCCGAAGCCTCAAGAGAAACAAAGCCTTCCTGGCTCCGCAGAAATGAAACTGCCCATCACCATCGGGTTCACTTCACCTGGCTTGCAGCCGCCCGTGTACATATGTAGCACGCTCACCAATCCCCAATGGGACGCAGTCGAGATGGATGTTACGCGTAACGAAAAAGGCGAATATCGATTCAGAAAAACCTTCACTGTCGACGAGGGTGACTATCAATACAAATTTCGCCTCGGTCCCGGTGACTGGTGGGCTACTGATGATGGCAAGCCCACTGTCGATGATGGCATGGGCAACAAGAACAATATGATTGTCGTCAAAGAACAGTCGAAGCAGGTCACTGATACGCCTGTAATGATCTCTTCCCTGAGTGATTCTAAGTCGCAGTCCGCGGTCTCAAATCCAATAAATACCACACCTGTGCTTGTTGAAAAGTTGGCCAGACCTCATAATGATGTGGCGATGGAGCACAGTGCGCCAAAGGTCCTTCCATCGGCCACGTCGGACATTGAGTCGATGTGGAGTTCAGAGCCACCCGAGGACGCAAACGACGAGCCCGAGTGCCCACCACTTCTGCTTCACGAGACTGTTGTGCCGAGCTCATTCGAGCAGGATCAAGCGCCGCTCTTCCGCCACGAAACTGCCACTATTAAGAATGTGCAACACGAAGTCGTGCGCCACGAAGAAACATCACCGGACAGTGGTGAACCGTCGTGTGACAACGGACCTGTGATTCCCCATGAGGCAAATTTGATGGATAAGACGCTACAGAAATTTCTCACTGATGTCGAGTGGATCCGAGAGGAGCTTGCAAGTGTTGATCGACGCGCCTCCGGGGACACGTCTGCTGAACACGCCTTGTCCGACAACGCGATGATGACAGACTCCGACGATCAGCTAGACCATATTTCGGAAGGAGATGACGATGAAAGTGGAACCCAGGATCAGCTCGCTGGAAAATCCTATGGCACTTTCGAACGGGCTGTTGTGAGTCAAGGCCAAATGACACCACCATTGACACCGAAATGCCCGGCAGAGGAAGGCTTCAAGCAAGACAAAAAGCGCGAGCCGGATACATTAGCGGACTCATCCAAGCCTGGGGCCATTCAACCGGACCACAAAAAAGCCCATCACCACAGCCATGAGAGTCTGATCTCAATAGTGTATGTTGTCTTCCCCCACCCGTCGAAATTTCCACTGACATGAGATTTTCCAGCCTTGTGGCAATCGGATGTGTCATTGCTGTTGTCACGGTTGTCTTTGGGGTGTTTTTCGTTGTGCAAGACGACAGTGCTGTATTGGCAGAACACTGAGTGTTTGGGCCGGTATCATGCGTGCTTCATTTATTACCTATCCTAGTTACCTCTCACCTGCGATGCATATTTGAAGATTATGGAATGAGTTTGCTTTCCGCTATCAAAACTTTACATGGCATTCAGGGAAGGTGTCACAATAATTCCTATCATTCATTCAAATTATTGCATGAGAGAGTCCAGATGCGAAGTGAGGCCCGAACTTCTTCGCGTTCGCCGCAATCACAAAGTCTCCAGGGCTTATGTAAATGTCCATGCGATCTGCAGGAAAGGGTTGCGGGCCGCCAGTGCTAGTCATTTAATACACGCGACAGCCAGCGCCACCGCAACGACGATTGACCGATCTTGGGTTAGCCTCGATTGCTGACTTGTGCATACAACGTGCCCTCCACGATCACATACTGCTTTGGTAGGGCAGCAGTCGCTTCCAGATTGATCCCTTCGCATCACTGCTTGTTCAAACACTTCCAAGCCTTCCACCAGCTCCAGCAACTAGCGGAGTAATCGCCGTCATTAGCCGAGCCAAAACTACGAAACTATATTCGTCTTCCGCAATTCAGCTCCGTTCCACCGTCCAATCGCCATCGGCAGCATCGAGTGGACAGACTGGGGACCCGCAACCGAGGGATTGTCGATCCTGGGATATCGCGAACTCACGACTTTTGTGTCATTACGCTCGTTTTGTGATCGAATTCCAATCTCTCAAACCACTGCCACCCAAGATTTGGGATAATTGGACGCTCCTGCACGCTACACCAAACAACACATCGCCGAGCAGACTGGCCGAGTCATTTCACAGCAGCTATTTATTCAAACTGACGGATCGCTCATCTACGCTGCGGCGATTTCTTCGGCCGCCCAGAGTTTGAATATTGAAGGGTAGCCTCGTCGTGGGGCAGATAGAGGGCAGCAGGGCGCTTGGACAAACGGTGGAGGAGAGGGAAGGAAAGCCAAGCAGGCAAGAAATTGTCCTTGAAAGAGGCTGTGGAGCACTTTTGGAAACCGTATCAGGGAACACTGTCTGAGCGCCGTGAAGGCTATCAGACACCCACTGCATGAGTCGGATGTGCTCTCCAGGCCATGGATCCGCAGAGCCAGTCCTTCACTCCCTCCTTTGTGAGCGTCAATGAGACTTGGCGGCTTCAAACGGATCTCGCCAAAATGCAACAACTACAGGTGGAGCATGCGGAGCGTATCGCACGGCTAGAGCGGCGACAAGATGATGATGCCAAAATCAAGAGCGTGTGGGGACCTACTTCGCCATTTCCAAGCGCGCTTGGAGTGAACACACCACAGCAAGGTATGCAGGACCACTGTCACCGAGAGAGTTAGTCTGTACTGACAAAATGAACAGCTGCTCTGCAACAGCCTCCAGTGGATCAGTTTCGCCATTTCGATGACGAAGCCAACAACATGATCAGCAGTCTCCATCTCGATGCCGACGATGAGCCGCGAAGAAGCATGGGCGCAACATCACGGGCGAATAGTGTGCGATTTGATGAGACAGCCAACACAAATCATTTCTCTCACACATCGCGCGCATCAGGCGATTTCATGTTGCGCACAAGTAGTGCCCTTAGCGGATTACAGCTGGGCGAGCGCACGATGTCGTACAAATCAGAGGGTCGCGCTAGTTCCCAACATTCGCTTCGCTCTGCTGCCTCTGGTCGCGCCAACAGCCTTAACATGGATCTCGCTTATGGCGAAGCGATGCGTTCACCTCTAGACACTCCTGGATTCGCCCCTGGTCTGGCTTTGCTTGGTGCTGTCCCAGCGATCATCAGGTGCTGGATGAACACCAACTTCAAGCACGATGCTCTTCTGTATGCAGCAGTGTGCTCCGGCTCTTTCAAATCGTTTCTGGACTCGCGACTGATTCATAAGCTCGGATTCGACTCTGTGATACGCACTGACGACAATGGCATTCGCACAGTCGAGCTTCCCATCTTCTTTCCTGAAGCTGTTCCGTTGACATCATCGTCAAGATCGAGTAGTCCCGCTCCTCATCTACCGTCACTAACTGCTGAGTTTCGTGTCGTCGATCATGCAAGTGACGAAGGCGAAGGGCAAGCCATCCAGATCCTTATCGGCAGCGATATTTTAAGAGCGCACAATGCGGATATATTGTTTTCTTCAAATAGCATGACTATCTACGATGGGGATCGTAACAAACTCAGTATCCCGCTTGCACGTCCCGAGAACCAGGCTACTTACAATACACTTCATACTACCAGTGGACTCGCACCGTCTTCGTCGTCGGTCAGCAAACAGCAGGAGGAAGCTCCAACAGTACAACCCTTTCTCAACGGACTTGGCCAGGACAGTTCTTCAGACCTGCAGATCTCGTCGAATGGCCCACATTCTGCCAAATACCGACCTCCTGCCGTTCTAGCCGTGGGTGGTGGGTCCGCCAATGATGCTCACAGACCAAGCTCAATTCCAACAACGTCGATAGACTCAGAGAATACGACTCGACCCCCGAGCCGGCAGTCGATCGTTTCACGTCCTTCACTCGGCAACCTGAGCGCAAGTCGTACCGATACCAGCGGAGATGTTGAGTCGTCGTCCAGTCTCGGGCTGACAAACACCTCACTCCAGCCTTCAACCTCTACAGCACGATCCGGTGGGAGTAGCCCTGCGTTGTGGGCAAACAGCTGGCGTCGAGGCGAACCTAGTGGCGGTGTTTCTCCCGCAATGCAGCCTTCGAGTCAGCCGCCCAGTACCGGCCTACCCAGCAGCAACAGCAACAGCAACAGCAGTAACGCACTGGACTGGGGCGCGATCGCCAATAACCGCCTCCGGGATTCAACCAATACCTTCTCCTCGACACGGCGGGAAGGCGGCCTATCCGGAATCAAAGTCCTCAAGCCCAAAACAGCTCTCTCATCAACATCCACTCGCGCCGTCTCCACCTCCTCGGCGGCGCCATCTCCCGTCATCGGCGCCGCCACCAACGTCGGACCTGAAGCCAAAATCACCCCTAGCAGCGTGAGCAATAGCCGTTTCTTCGAGGAAGGCCGTCAGCGGATCGATCCCCCGAAGAAGGAGAATGCTCTAGGTCTAGGTCTTCTACCTTCTGCCTCGGCAGGGACAGCGCCTTCGACCACTGCAGCGGCGGCCGCCGCAGGCAGCACTACGCCCAAGACGAAGACGAACCCCATCGGCGGCGCGTCGGCGTTTTCATGGCTGAACCCTGGAGGTGGTGGTGCCGCTGGCGGTGCAGGGAGTACAGGAGGGTTGAAATGAGATTTTTCGTTAGGACTGATGGCTGTGCAAAGAGACATGGGCCATGTCGACTAGTCTTTGGGTAAAAAAGCTCCGGTTCTGTTTGGCGACACTGCGTGGTGTAGACCATGTCGGGGTTCTTTATCTTACTATCCTCTTCCTTAAAACAAACACACATGCGACGAGTTAGAGCGCAGTGCCACAAAATTTCAAAATATATCTTCCGATATCCATCGCTCGTGACGGAATGTCACGTCCCATTTCTCAAGATAAGCATGCCTGGCAGGAACAAATGGAGAAATTCGAAAGTTTCTAATGGGGACGTAGAGTACAAGGATCAATACAATATAAGAAGAAGCGAAGCTTTCCTCACGACAATCCCAGAGACCAATTCATCTGGCCGCTGTCCATTCCCCTGCCCACATCATGCAACCTCTATCGTTCCACAAGCATGTTCCTGATGTGATGCCAGTAATCCTCCGTCACACGCTCCTGGATCTCCTCTTTCGCGAGCCACTGGAACTCCTGGTCGCCGTACTGGTTCTTGGCGAGATTCAGTTGTCCGGTCATGATGCGGGTCTTCATGAAGAAGACGCGTTCGCCGTACTCCTCTTGCTCGAACACCTCCGTCGGCGACGTGCTGACGAGCCGGTTGGGGGCGATCTTGCTGAGGATCGGGGAGGCGAACCGGCTGAAGTAGTGGCCGACTGGGTGGTTCGCGATGACCCAGGTGTTCATGTTGATGCCGCCGGCTTGGATGAGGATGCGTTCGGCCGCCTAGAAATTGAAACTGTGATTAGCGTGGGGTCTCGGATGAACCGAAGGTGACAGGTGCGGAATGCGAAAGGAAGGTGAGGCGCGTCTTACCTGGTGCAGATTCTCGCGACCATACAGACGATCCTCCGGGAATCGCCACTGTCCATCTTTCCTCTTGATCAAAAGATACAACGATCGGTCCAGCTTGCGGTTCAAGCTCTTGAGATCATTCGTCCGGTCTGCCTCCGTCTCCCGCGGCAGCGGTCGCGGAATGACAATCTTCTTCTCCGTCTTCTTAACGCTCTCCCCAGTCAACACATCGATGTCGTCTGCCTCGCTCTCTACCTTCTCCTCCTCTACCACCCGCTTTCCTGACCCCAATTCATCCGCTGCCAAGTCGGCAACCTTCTCCTGGCTCACGTCCTTGGCAACATCCACGATCGGTTTGCCCTCGGCGTCTCGACATAACTTCTCCACGAAGTCTGCAGGCTCGGAAAGCTGACTTCCTACCAGGACTTCGTCATTCCAAGCATTGGGGTCATATGCGTTGTAGAAACCAATATCCCGAGCGGCCACCCTGCGAACTTTGTATTTCCGCTTCCATTCGAGATCTGCCGGTGTGCCTTTCTTGTAGTAGAAGTATCGAGTGAAGGGAAGAACGAGTCGCTCGTTCAGTCTTTTTTGATAGAGGTAGTATGCTTTCTCGAAGGAAGTGGGCTCGCGGGTGAGGAGAGGTGGTCGCGCGATCAGCGGGCTGCACATGATTTTGAAGGCTTTCCGAGGACCTGTTGCTTCCACGGGCTGTGATGAAGATGGATCGGATTGTGATGTAGGAGACTGATCCGCAACAGCTGTAGCGGTTGATGCATTTCGACGATTCGCTTGATGTGATATGCGGTTCAAGCAAGATCTGCAAATGCTGTCGCGTGAGGAGGCTGCGATGTCGTTGTTAGTGCCCGCAATTCCATCGTGGTCTTTCCCGTATAATTACCATTGAACGCAATCAAGCGCCGAGCGCTGCTTGATCCAGCATTCATTGTTGTGTACTGCACGCAACGGGGAGAGGGTGAATTTATCTAACACGCGATGCCATTCCAATGAATTATTATCCAGATTGGCTATTCAGGGTTGAACGGTTGGCCGGCTTGTCCGCGGGAGTGCCAAGGTGCTTAGTCACGATTTCTGAACTTTGCGCCCGCGTTGGCTCGACTGCGATTTGGTGAAGACTTCGTGAGCTGCATGTAATCCTTCTCTTCCTCTTTCCTCTCTTCTCCTCTAGGCACAAATCCTTATCATCAGTTGCGCTTTTGTTTTGATAGCTTTCTGATCATTTATAACGTGCCCAGAGTGATTTCGGCAGTCTTTTTCGCTAGCGGCACCCTCCTCACCTCCAAGGGAAAAGCGGTTAGATAGATCCTGCTCACAGTTCGACCAATTCGGCCAATTCTTCCATAGACTTAGTCAGTCACAGGCATACGCCGATTCTGGCGATCGGCGCAGTGAGTGAGACAGTATCACTACGCTCTCCATGCTCGTTCAATCGATACTCGAGGGATAGGAGATCGGCATCTATGCCCAAAATGATGGCGTTAAATTTACATATCGCGGTCAACACGATCATTACCCATCACTTCGTCGTAGGATCAAATTTGAACTTCGCCCTCTGTTGTGATACGTGATCGGCTACGAGAAGCCGCGCTTTTTTTTCTGATTATCTCGATGATGATACAAAGGAGATTTATGCTGAAAAGTAACCCGCGCGTTGTCTTCCTCGAAGTTGACACGACGACACAGGATGAAGAGCAGTGAAACCTCGGAATGCGTCACTGATGTGATGTACTGTACGTTCGGAAAGTTGAGACTAAACCCTCAGGGTACACCGACACCGCGGGCTACATCAGTTGCTTATGTAAAAGTACGTTCTCTCTTACCGCAGGATACAACCTTGGAACAGTATAAACAGTATATTGCCACTTTCATGTATTGCTTGAAGGGTGAGAAAATCTCGAATGATGCACCAATGAATCCTCAGATAGAGATCGCCAATTTGTTAGACGTCATCTCGCTGCTCGACGCTTTACATCATGGGCACTCTCACTGCCAACCAAGCCCGGCTCCCGGTAAGACGAGTGTGATAATTAATCGATTTCATGATGAACATGAATTGACAGCTTCGTCAGGGCATGTGCGCCCACAAGCTACCAACCTCGTGTCGATTATCGAGCATTCCAGAGTGCTGTGCCTGTGCCGACGAGCGTAAGACAACGTTCAGCTCGCCCACTCAAATCGCACGAGCTGACCAGGGTCATCAGGGGCACATGCGGTCTCGTATCCGACCTACATCGATGGGATAGGCTATGTTCCTCGTGGGACTCGATGGCAAAGGTATTGTTGGTTCTGCAAGGAATTCTGGGAGAATCGAACTCAAGCGTCCGGACTCCGCTCCAGCCAAACGAGGGTTCCAGAAGTTCCAGATCAAACCGAGTTCTTAGATCGTTGGTATGAATTCCATCAAGGCTTTCGTATTTCGACAACCGAAGATGGCGTCGAGGAGCGAATTGCAGTGCTGGGAGAAGACTTTCAAGACGTGAGCCCAGGGTGTCTTCCACGGACGTTGGATGAGCTGAGAGCAGGCCGGGAACGGAGTGAACTGGAAGAACGAGAGCGCGAGGAAGCTCGGCTTCTGCAACTCACTACACCGGAGGCCGTAGGGGGAAATGGCCCAACCCTAGATGACGAATTGGAGCAGCTCTTCCAAGAAGCCGTCAACGAAGAGTCTGCTATTGAGGGAAATGAAGGAAGTGCTGAGCAGCAGCTGCGTACTGCTAGCCGGAACCCCGGCGACTCTTCCATCAACTCGAGCCGTATGACCACAAACCTTCATGCTCAAGCTATGAATCCTTCGGCTTCTCGCAATCTTGAATATCGAGCCAGGCGCGTTGCAGCATTGCATCGCGAGCTGCAACGCATGCGCAACGGGATCGAACGGGTCATTACAGGCTTACGGGACCTAGGTCAAACCGTTCCTGACCATTCTAATGCTACCAATCGACTCTCGGAACTTGGTCAGACGCTCGATGCAATTTATGACGACCCTTCACGACAGTCAACTACCATTCCCGGTCAGGATCAGCCAGCGAATGTCACCGGAGACTCCATAACCACTACTCAATCAGATAGGACACTCACCGCCATACAAAATCGCGTAGATCAAGCAAGACAGCAGGTTGACGAGGCTCGAAGAAACAGGGACCAAGCAGCGTCGGAGTTAGATCACGCAGACCAGGAGCTCAGGGCCGCCGAGTCAAGGCATCGTCAATTGAGATCCGAGCAGAGAACAACAGAGAATTACATGCGACTTTTTGGAACGCGCGAGGAAATGGTCGCGCAGGGCGACAATTATGAAAGTCCCATTGGTGGCATGTTTGATAGAGCTGATGAACGATTCAGACGGGCGGAGGAGGTGCGTCGCGAAGAGCGGATCCTAAGAAGGGTACTAGAGGATCAAAATGCACGAGGCGAGGATGATGACGAGGCTCTATACCGTCTGGTCGAGTTGGAAAGCCGCCAGCGGGACGTTTGGGGCGTGCCAGCAGTTCAGCCGACTGTGCCGTTGCCTGGCCCGGAGGACTTCGTCGCCACTGCTTCGCAAAGGCAAGACCGTCCACCAGATAGCCAAGAGGACGAACCAGAGGCGAGCCAGGAAGAATCTGCGCTTGAAGAGTATTACGCTCTGCTTCGTCGACAAAATTGGAGCCAACAGAGTTTACCTGCAGAGAACACGACAACAACCCGACATGGACTGACTCCACGAGACACCACATCAGCAGCAGAATCGCGGTCGACTCCAGAAACTGAAACATCGGCTTTACCTAGGCCAATTCCTGCCCTGCCGGCGTCCACATCGACATTCCTGGGTGGACCACCAGGGCATCAGCTAGACCCGGATCCATACACCAACAATGATCGTGGTCTAGATGCTGCATTCATGCTTTCGGCGCTGGGTTCCAATAACGGTCTTCGAGAGCTAGCTATTGGACCTTCCAGCTTACGATCCATCTCAGAAATGCGCCATCGTCTCGAGATGAATGCCCTTACATGGAACGACGGCGAAACGATCGAGGGATTCTTGGAGAACGAGGCGATCCTGTGGGGCTGTCAGCTACCTGCTGAACGCAACCGCAGACGTCGCGCTCGACAAGAGCAAGTCACTTTCGTACCAGATATTTTGGAGATCACGACTGGTCTGCGGCAATCCGTCCATCACATCGAAGTCATGGCCGAATGTTTCCAGATGAGCGCGCGGATTCGACAAGTCTCTGGGTTGAATGCTCCCGATCAATTGCGGATGCTTTATCGATTGCAACGCGGTGCTCGCGAAGTCGAAGATCGTGCCGTCCTCGTCAGAATGCTAGATGATAACGATACACTAAATTTGGCGATAGAACTCCATGACCAGCAGACTAGAGGGGAAAGGGCCCCTTCCAGTTCCGAACCAGCCGACATTCGTGCACGCATCGACCTCATGCGGAGGCGCCTTCTCGACAGCCAGAGAATACTCGCCGCCCGCCTCGGCGACCACTCCCGCGCCGAACTCAACAACCAACGACAGGCCGCCGAAGCCGTCTCCGTCGCTACCGGCGACATCTCCATTCCACACGCTCTCATCGAGCGTATCGCGTCCCGCAGCGCAGAGAACCGCGCCGCGTGGGAACGACTCCAGGCGATGCAAGGCCACCGCAACCCGCTCGGCGACACCAACGCCTTCATGATCCGACGAGCCTCCATCCTCAACGATCTCGACGACGGCGAAGAAGACAACGACAGCGAAGGGCAAGAGGACGAGCCCCTCGGTCTCGACGCCCCAGACTCCGGCCGGCCCGACGAGCCCCTGTCGGAGGAGGACATGACTGTCAAGCTCGACTGCCGGATCTGCTACTCGCAGATCTCAAGCATTGCGTGTCTGCCTTGCGGACATCTGAGCATGTGTCAGTGGTGCAGCGATCAGCATTCACCTACAATGCCGCATGATCGGACCAGGCCCCGGAGGAGCGCGGCATGTCCTGTTTGTCGGAAGGACATTCGGCAGAAGGTTAAGATATTCCGGGCGTGAAGGGGCGGAGACGTGAAAGTGAGGAACATAATGCATCTTATGAATTTGCGTCCACAATGCATACATCGCTGGAAGGACGAGCCGATGGGATCTATTCCATCTGTGAAACCTATGTGAATGCCATTCCCATGGGTCATTGGCGTACCGGCACATCTAGTCAATCAAAAGGACATGAAAATCAGGCTTCACTCGTGACGAGATGAATATCGATCTTTCTTTCGGTACTCATGGTGTATGTAAAGAACTGAGAACCTGTAGTCACGACGTGTAACAATCTACCATCTGGGTTTTGATCCGTGATACGGATCGTGCACGAAATCATCGTGAGAGGAGCAAACATCGAGCACACTCCATGCAGAAACACCTTCTCCAGTAGAATATTAAACCCACCAGTCTCGAACGGGGCCATACCTCGTCGTCTGGTCACTCATCTGCATCGCATCATCATCAAAGTCGTCGCTCTCATCAGGATTGCGAAGAGGTCCACCGAATAATCGATACTCGAAATCTGTCACTCGAGACCAAGGTGCAGGATTCTATTCTGTCCGGTCCGCAGCGCCATGTCTTGAGACCGCATCGTGATCCTCATCACCACCGACGTGGATGTCCGCAACCTCGGGCTCGTGATCGGCATCGCTCATGTGAGTGTCGTCCACGAACTGGATGTCGCTATCATCTCCAAAGTCAAGGGGCGACCCTGACCGTGTCCCGGCATTCTCGAAGAAGGAGCTGCCACCTTCAGCAAAGGCCGAGTCATTGTCGCGGTCTTGCTCGGCGATGTTGCTGTCGATATCGACGTCGTCGTTGAATTTACTTCGGAAGAGATGATCATCATTCTCATCATCGACGTTTTGGAAACTCCAGCTCGATTCGCCCTGATCGCCGTATTGACGGAGTGGGTGGTTTCGCCAATCGGCCTCATCGTGTTCAGTCGTCATCAGTGTCGTTGTCAGAGGGCTGTCGGCTGTGTGTGCCCCAGCCGGATAGCCACCATCGTCGCTGTCGGCTGCTGCCGTCGCTCGATTGTTGCTGGTCGTTTTCACGGCTCCGGCTCCGGCTGCTGCTGAAGCGCTCGACGACCCATGCAGCGAGGTGAGTGGACCGTCGAGCTGGACTTCCCCCGTCCCCGCTCCAGCCTCGTCTAGGTCGGAATCTGCGGGTGGATTGCGGTACTCCTCAACAAGATCCTGGAGGTATTTCGGGCCGAGTGGCTTGCTGGACCGGCGGCGGTAGAATAAAAGATAGGCCTGTGAAGTCTTAAGGCGATCGACGCTGTGAATCTTGTGGCACATGCTGTCGTTGTAATCATACCATTCCCCGTCTTCGAAATTCTTAGCAAAGGCGGTGTAGTGCCCACCACCGAGGCTACCACTGTGGTTGTCAACGGCAAACAAGTCGTAGGTGTAATCTTTGCCGTCTTCCTTAAGGCCTACCTTGTCATTCAGATCAAGGCCCTCGATCGGATAGTCCACCATGACGTCGATCTTGCCACGCATGGTTCGATTGCTGAAGCGCTTCAAGTGGACAATGAGAATATCAGGTAAAGTCCAGATCTGCAGCTGCTTTCTTGCGCGGCGGGTCTCCTTGCACCGATTACAGTACCACTTATTCTCCTCGGAGAGCACCTCACTTTTGCTGGTCTCGTCGAAACACGCATCTAGAGTGATGCCATTTCTGTTGCGTTGTTGGCGTTTCTCCTTCCGCGCAATGACCTCAGCGTCGTGAAAAACACCAAGATTGTTGGCATTGTCTGAGGTTGTCCGGGATCCACGCAATCCGTCATCATGGACTGAGTCGCCTTCGAATAGACTTTCATAAGCTTCCGGACGCCAGTCGAGCACAATGGCTTCACCAATGCGAACGTAGTAGGGATTGTGATCTTGCACAGGGGACGAGTTGCTTGAGGTGCTGACATTGCCGTTCACACGGTTCTGGCTTCCAATTGGCATTCTTTGATTCTTCGCGTATTTTTGATGCAGCTTTCCGGGTTTGTTCTTGCGTGCGTGTTTAGCACCACGTCTCCGTCCATTTCCTCGTAGCGCTACAGGCGAGGGCTCCATGATTGTTGGCTCTGGTACAACTTCCTCCTCGCTGTCCTCAACTTGATCCTGTGCGCCCTCGCCGCCAACCACGATGTCAGGCTCATCCTGATCTTCGACGTCTTCATCTTCCGTCGCGTTTTCGCCAGAGTCAGATGCTGCATTCGATGTCGCCGAGTCGACTGTTTGTATGGATGACCTTCTTGCCACAGGCTTGACTTGCTCAAACATGTTGCGAAGGGTACCGGCATTGATGCTCGCGACCGACGCGCAATGCATGTTGTTGTCTCCGCGCGCAACCTTCATTTCAAACAGATGGTCGCGGAGGGCCGGTGACAAGAAATACTCGGGGTCCATGAAATTTCTAGGGACTCCATCCACCAGCTCAACCGGACTCGATGCCGGCTGTGCTTCGCCCTTTGATGGGTCCTGGTCAATTGAGACATTAACATATCCGTCTTCGGCAGAGTGATCACTAACGCCTGTTCCATCCTCGGTTGCTGACTGTTTCACGTCCTCATCTGCCCCATCGGCAGCGTTTGGTTCCCAACCCAGTTTTTCGTCAAGCTCCGAGAGGATAGGTTTGGTTGTAAGGCGTGCGACAGCAATCAAGACCTTCTTGAGAACAACGTTGTAGTCCTTGGCCTCATCGCGTGTCAGACTGATGTACATGGGATGCATGACATGAGACGGGCTGCCAGCAGAGAAGCGCGATTTTGCGACACGACTGTAGATTGGAACAGCCATGCACTCAGCTTGAGGCGATTCCATGCCTTCAACTGGTATGGAGTCGTCGATCCTCTTATACGAGATGAGAGACTTGCGCGGCACTCCGACATTGGTCGGCGGTTGATCGAGCTCGAACAAGAAAATGGTCTCGTTGGACTTGATGTCTGCGTCAGCTAGTGTAGCCTTGTCCTCGAGTATCCGATAGATCTTGTGACTATAGACCTCAACCATCCACATTCGGTTCGCATCAGCTCCCGGGTGCTTGTCTGCGATGGACCGCTTCACAGTCTTAATCGTAGCGTTCTTATCCATGTCGATGTCATGGTTGATCGGCTTGCCTTTCAATGGAAAGAAGGTGATTCGACCCGAGAAATTATCTTCAATTGGAAGTTGAAGCGTTAATGAGGAATATGGATCAAACGTGATGCTGATCTTGCGGCAGTCCGGGCATTCAATGGTGTTTTTGTAGAAGCCGAGGAATAAATCCATGGCCACGGAGTCATTGCGGTCGACGAAGATCTTGCGATAGATGTTGCCGAGATCAATTATTGCTTGAGGGTCATGCACGAGCTCGTCATCTGAATCCGGGTATGGCTGGTATGGTTTGACTTTGATGCGGTTGAGATCTTCGTGTAGGGCATCGACCAATGTGCTCAGAAACTCTTGCGAATCTTGTTGTCCATACGAAGAGAATTGGTAATTAACATTGCCTATTTGTCGCTTAAATTGGCTCGGTGAGTAGTAGCTGCTGCCTTCCCAGAGGTTACGCACGACTGTGCTATACGAGGTCGCCATCGCGCCATGATATCCGAGCGGATTGTCGTTGTTGATTTCTTTCTTAAATTTGTTCGCCAAGAAATAGATAGACAGTTCTTCGATGCTCCTGATGCATTGCAATGCTGAATTCATGTAGCAAGTATTTCCGAGATTTTGCAGGCCGTTCAAGCCACGCGTCCGTCCGCCCTTGCGCGCTCGACCTCTCGTCATGATTCCGTTCAGGCCTGGGCTGTTTCCTCCAGAGGCCAGCCCCGAGGTACCATTCACCTGCTTCTTGATCACGAGTTTCGTTGGCTTTTGCTTGTCGGATCGGAACTCGGTGGAGTCACCGACTTGTTCTTCCAGAATGATGACCTGGTCTGTTGTTATTCCCAACATGCCGGTCGTACTTTTACCATTGTAGTTCGAATTGTTCGTTTCATCTTTGGCTTGAATAGCTTCAACATCCTTACTATCTTCCAAGTCCTTGAATGCCGCCGGCTCAACAATCAGCGTTTGCTTCTCCAAAGTTGCTGCGTCACTTGATGGAGTATCTTGTGAAGCCGGAGGTGTGAAAGTTTCAGGTTGTGGTCCAGCCATAACATCAGGCGCAACACTCAAGACGCGCCACAGTTTTACTTTGGTGGCACGGGAAATCCCGGCAGCTTCTTTACTACGGGCGAGGAATTTTTGAAAGCGATCAAATCGAGAGATAATCAATTGTGCTGCATCGTCCGGCGACGCTTGACCACGGGTAGCCCGCTCCTGGCGCAGCTTGAGGTTGTCTAGCGCACTGATCGATTTCGGGGCGGCATCTGGGTCATTTTTCGACTGTGGAACCTTTCTGATTGTGATTCGTGGCGGATAAAGCTCGTATTGAATGTTCTGGCCCTCGTCGACCGTATTGTGCGCATAGCGGACGATGGCTGTTTTCTGAGCAGAGCCGTACGCTCCAACGATATATCCGTATGCTTCAATGGGCACGATTGCGAAGTCGACGTTCTCTGTAAGACCTGGCCGCAGCGGGATGTGAGGCTGGCCTTCAGAATCGTGCAGAGGGGCAAGATAAGCAGCGTCTGGGACGATGTCTGAGTTGTCTACGGGTCCTACTGACCCCTCCCGATACTCTTTGGGGTATTCACTACTCTGAAGGCCGCGTGTCGTCCGCGAAAGTACACGGTTTAGCCACCGCTGCGAAATCACGACGCCTCTCTCGCCTTCGTCCAGCTGTTTCTCTGATAACCTTGTCACAAACAGAACCTGCTGGTCGATCTGTTCTGTGGTGTACGGTTCCTTCTGGTCTTTCACGACTGGGTTTGCATCGGTTTCTGAATAGGGTGGGGGATCCTCCTCGGAGCTCTGTGCTGTCGAATCTGGCGCTTCCACATTCGTTTCCGGCCCGCTAAAGCTCTGCATGACTATATCCCCGGCCTCCACATTCGCACTTCCTGGAGATCCCGAGTCTTTGGTGACATGGTTCTCCTCCATTTCAGTAGCGCTTCTCTTGGCTGGAGAGGCAGATCTCACAGTCATGGCTCGACCGACCTGCTGTGGTCCTGGTGTCGCGGCCTGCAGATCCCCATTACTATTGGCAGTTCCGTCGCTCCCTGACATGTCCACGCTTGCTGCTCGATCGATCCGGATTTCTGCAAATGCCGCGGACGGGCTCGAGGCGTCCTGTACTTCGTCCTGCAAATGTGATGGAAGATATCTCAAGGGTGAACCAGTCTGGGTGATGTGGCTGCTGGTGGGCGAGGAATTCTGGCTATCGCTATTGACGACTGGCGAGGACGAACTCGGTCGGGCAGTATCGAGGAGTAAATCCGGCAGAGTCTGTGAAGAGTTGACAGCCAGCCCACTATTGGCTGTGAATGGAGCGAGCTTTCGCTTTTTCTGTGAAGAAGCCGTTTTGGAAGACCGGAAGCGAGGCCGCTCCGGTCGTGAGCAGCCTCAGATGTATAGGTGATATGGGAGACGCCTCGCGGACCTCAGTTCCTTCCAAAGGCACAGAGGTACGCAACGTCTTGTCGTCTGGTGAGTTCGATGCCTGAGGCGGATGATCCAGAAAAGTGTCGCGCTTGCTACGCGTGCACTTGGCGTAGATGGGGTCGACTGTGTGGTATTGGTATTGGACCGTGTGTGAGATTGCGGCACAGTTCCCTGCCTGCCAACCCTGACAGCGCTGCTCGCCCTTCACGTGCGCAGAGTCGAAGCAGGTCGAAACAGCGTCACAATAGATCTATCGTGAAATGTGTAAATATTGAAACGATGCATATTTGCACAGGTAGGGCAGGATCTTCATAACCTTGGAAAGCTTATCAAGGCCGCATTATGCTAGTAGTAGCTGAGAGGTACAGCACAGTATAGTACGATGTATGCCTGCTACTTGCAGTACCTCCAGGGCTGTCATATTAATTTTGGACGAAATACATGTGGGTGGCCATGGATCCTATGCGCTATCCTCACGTGCTGGTGGACTCTACAAATACACGCACAAACATCCGCAAACGTGTACACCTAGATACAGTACATCATTGTCCTGGCAGGATACTCAGCTCCAGTGTATTCATCGATTCCGTTCCCCAACAGGTGAGAATATGTAACCGTATGATGTGATGTGTGCAGTCACGACGATGATACATACTGTCTGTCTGTACGTGGACCCTTTTTTCCACAGCGAAGAGAAAGGGTGCGGGTTAACGCCCCGAAATGACGTGCAGTGGCGGGACAAATGTTACTACAAATAGCTACTACACCGAGAAGCAATCCAGTGATAATCTCGAAGTCTCACATGCGCAAGTATCTAGCAATGAGAAATGAAGGAGCAAAATCTGCATGTGATAGTAAATGACTTTCAAACATTCATATGCTGGTAGCCTCAATGCAACCCGGATATATACGCGCAAACAGACCTTCCTTCAAACAATGCCTCAAAAGGTATGCCATCACAGCCCAAAAAGCGGTCCTTTTTGCTTTCTTTGGTCCGCCAGATACTTCGTCATGCCCTTCCTATGTACAAGTCCCACAAAACGACCCTCCCGAAGCACACAGATGTACCTGAGACCCAGTTTCACGAAACATTCGAATGCCAATTCCATAGGACTGCTGATGTCGAGGGACATGGGCGCGGTGTCGATGTAGCGTGTGAAGTCGGATGGATCATGATCTTCCTCATCATCATTGTTCTCAGTGGTTCCCGTCTCGTAGTCAGCATTGATGCTGAAATAACCTGAGGCAGTCATGTCGTGCTCGCCAGGCCCGGCGGCGGAAGACAGAGGCCTTTGCTCCCACAACTCGGGCGCCCGCATGAGGCAATACGTGTCTTCTTCCTTTTCGAGACCGTCGAGCGCGAATTCGAGATCAGGCCCGGATATCAATCCGACAAGAATGCCGCGACGAAGGATCGGTAGGCCGCCGTCAAGATGTCCGGCCATGTGCATGTAGTCTAGCTTCTCGCGCAGATCGCTCGCGGAAACTCGCGACGCGTCCGAGATGTCAATGTATCGTCTCGAGTCCAAGGGGGCCGTGATCTCGCCGATATCCGCATCGAAGAGAGGACGAAGCTTGTGGTCAAGGAAGGGATATGAATTCATCTCCAGAAGCAGGTCGTAGACACTGAGCGGTTCAATTGCATCAGCTGTCCATTTTGCGATCAGCACACCCAATGAGAATGGTAGCACGTGTTCGAGACTGCCAGTGAGCTCGAACAAGATGACTGCGAGGGTGACAGAAAGGCGGGTCACACCGCACATGGTGGCACCTGCTGCAACCAACGCGTATACTCCCGGAACAACGCAAGATTCTGGTCCGCCATCGACAGGGCATCGAGCAAAGAGTGGGAACTGAGGGTATTTGTATATCAACATTTGAATGGAGTGGCCGACGATCCGCCCCAGCAGACCACCGACGACCATGCTGGGAACATAGATACCTGCAGGGACCTTAATGCCAAAAGAGACGGTCGTCAGGATGGCTTTGATCACGAAAGCCATGAGCAAATAGCGGATGACCTTCGGAATGTTTTCCTGTGTCGGGCAAAGACCATGACCAGAACTTGAGAAGGCGTCACACGGGGCTGCAAGCTCGTAGAGCAATTCGGCCACGGGCAACCGCGTGTATCGATTCCAGAATGTCACCAGGCCGGTCACAACGGCGACTAGCAGAACTTCGACTATCGGATACTTCTTGATGATGCTGACTCGGCGGAAGGTTTTAGCCCACAAGCGAGAAGCCTTGATGAAAAACGCCCCCATGGCGCCGCCCAGGACCCCGAGCATGATGAAGGCGAAGATCTCGAAAATCTTCCAGTCGACGTTGTATCTGACCTCAAACAGCACGATCTTTCCAGTTCCATAGGGATTGAGGAACCTCAGGAATAGCGCTGCAGCAATACAGCAGAAGAATGTCCTGAAAAGCGTCTTTGGAGGGAAGTAATAACTGACCTCTTCGAGAGAGAACAGAACACCACCCAAAGGACTTCCAAAGGCAACGGCCACGCCAGCTGCCGCCGATGCAGACAGCAATTCTCTGCGTTTCGCGTCGTTGTTCCTGTATTTCGATGAGACTCGAGATGCAATGTTGCCAATGCACGTAGCCATGTGCACATAGGGTCCTTCCTTGCCGATAGACATCCCTGAGGCCACACTGAGGACCAAACCTATAGCTTTGAAGAACAGCACTCGGCCGCCAAGATACCCGTGCAGCACGAAACCGCTGAGTATCACCTTGATCTCTGCAACGCCACTTCCGGCGCCTGGATAGTAGATTGTAGGAGGCCGTTTGGCGACTTCTCGCAAGCGGCCCGTAGGACTCACATGGCCTTGGTCGTGTCCCTCGTCAGATTTGCCATGTCCATGATTATGCAGTTCAGCACCCAAATTCTCATCTAGGGTAGAGAGCGCCACCGCAGATGAAACTTCGGTCTTTGTCTGAAGAGTTACCAAACAGGAGAACGCTGCGAGTAACACAACCCAAAACATAAAAGCCGCAAGGTCCAGCCAGGTGTCTTTCGTGTCGGATGATTCAATAAGACTTGACCAGGAGCGCCAGTCGCTGCAAGATCTGGGACCCTCGCAGCATTGTCGTTTGCCGTAGTACCAGCGCGTGCTACAGTAGCCCGATTTGATATCGAAAATCGCTGCCTCGGTGACATCGATAGCATAAGCAAGGACGGCAGTCAAACAGCCGATCACGGCCACCAGAAACCACCCTTGAGCGCCATCGAAGAAGGCGAGAATCCTCCCTCGCAGATCTTTGCGTTTGCGCAGCTCCTTGGCGCGATAAGCATCGGCAATGCCATCGCGAACCCAATCGGTTGATGTGAATTGATCGTACCAGACACGATCGTCGAAGAGCTTCGATGTTTTGCCGGACTCCCGCGCCTCAGGGCTTGCGCGGGATTCGTCCGTCCAAAACGGCCTCACGAATGCGCGGGCCCTCGAAGGTCGTCGACTGGCACTTCGCAGGGAATTCGTGTGGGTCCGATGTATACCGCGGCGGGGAGTTCCTGGGATGGGGGTGCGGTAACCCGATCTAGAGAGCGTGTGCTCCCGAGAGAGCAGGCCTGTCCGCTCATCTGGTATCCTTGTCGATTGACGACTTCGGATGTCGTTGTCGGAGGTATGGTTTGAACTCAAATAACGCTGGAACTGTGTGGGAATTGCCTCGATGGCTTCGACAGATGTGTTTAATGAATTGTGATATGCGTTACGGACCGCCTCGGCGACCTGTCCATTAACGACATCGCCAGCATCGACGTAGCCGTCCTCGTCGCCGGCATCTTCTCGTCGGGTTGTGGAATTTCTTCTTGATGCTATTGAGTTTGGCATGCTGACGCGGAGAGGACACTCTTGACCCGTCATAAGCCCGGGCCTCGGATACGGGGCAGCGTACTTTGTGGGAGCACGGCTGTACGTACCGTAGCTGATGTGTCCTTATCAGTAGGCGCGTTTGCCAGTCACGTCCATGTATCGGACGCCCGTCACTGAAGATGCTACAAAACGACGCAAATGCAGTATGATGCGGGAGTATTAGAGCGGTCGATAGTATTGTGAATAGATGATAAGTTTGCGAACATCTATGAACATGGGTTTCCAATAGGTTCGGGCGAGGTCCCACACGGTTCGTCACGCTACTTGTTGGATGGAGTCAATGATCAAAGGGACATGAGTGCATGACCTGCGCGTGAGCCGCCCGCCGCGCTTTCGGCTCAGTCACGCGGAGAATGGACCGATCTTCCCCCGGGCGACGCTCTACATTTTTGGCTTTCTCTCGCCAGATCTTGTTCTCATGCCACAGATCTAGTACACTCTACCATGAATAACATGCCTTTCTCTGGGATCGCATGTGATAGAGACGACTGTGTCCTTGGAAGTGTCTCAGCCTTGCGGTCTTGGGCGACGTAATGATGGCAAACGGACAAGTTCATCCCACTTGGGGTTGTGCCTCATGACCTGCGGTCCACAATGTTTCGTCGTCTATGTATGTATTAAAATAGAGCCTATACTGGCTGGGTGAGGGCGCGATTGAGTGGGTTTTCATTGTGTGTGTCCGGTAGACAAGCGTGGCAGGGCGGTCGTTATCGGACATTCAGTTCTCGGTCCAATCAATCCACACTTGTCGCTCTGGCCCGTTGACATCACAATCTCCAGGACCACGCCGATCTCTCTCTTTTCTGATTTCGACATCAACCAACATAAACAAATGCCGCAGCGATCGGCAGATCACGACATCATGCCGGTTATGTCGGCTCTCTCGCGTCAACTTGCTCACGTGGAAAAGACCAGGAATGTGCACGATCGCCGTTTTGCACCGGACTGCTGCAATAGTCTCACAGTAGCGACCGCCCGGCGCTCGGGCGGCGTGCATGAACCATCGAGCCCGAGATTTGCACGATATTCTCCTCGCACGAATCAGACCGTGAATCCGTGACGTGCAGCTCGCGAGTACCAATCTTTGAATACTAGGTAACGACCTGTTGGCTGGGGTATCTTGACTTGACACGCCAATGATTAGCAACTCGGTGCGCCGAGATCGCTACTTAGTGCTTTACGTAGTAGCGACTAGTGATGATGCTCTCGTACGACGTCCTACTCGAGCAGGTAATGCAATGACATGGACGCTTTTTACAGAACACGTTGAAATATCCTTCACATCAAGATCGCCAGGTCTGCGTGAATCCGTGCAACTTGTCAATCAACACAGGTCCCCAGGCTCCCATCTCCTTGTCAATCATCTGTGCAAAAAATCTCACCGCTTCGTCCTCGCTCACATCTAATTTGAACCTCTCCTCTACTTTCCTGACTGCCTGATTTCCTCCACCGAATATTGCGAGTCCTGGAATCCCTGCGTCCTGCATGAGAGAGAACAGATTGAGGATCAAAGAGCTGCTCCTGCGGAGCGTCGTGTAGGCCGTGAAGCAATATTGTCGGAATTCATCAAACTGCGACTCTGCAGAGGATACAGAGTCTCCACCCATGCCGTCCACCATTTCCCGAGACAACTTCATCAAAGGCGCCATGGGCTTGGGATCTCGGCCCAGAACATATCCAAAGTCGATGTGCAGGAAATGACCGTCCTCGGCTAGGAGTAAATTATCAAGATGCCGATCACCAACGCCGAGCAGGTACGTGACCACACAGTAGCCCGCGACAGATTTGACATACGTGTCCATGACCTCTTTCCGTACCCCCAGAATTGCTGGAGAGCCCGCAACGGCAGGACTGTGGGCGCGAAGAAATCCTAGAATAGAACCCTTGTACTTTGGACTCTGGAGGATGACCGAGAGCGGAGTGGTGGAGGGGACGAATTGAACTGCACCAGCAAGTGTCGACGTTGCCAGGATGCGGTATGGGGTAAGTTTGAGGTCGAGGTTCTCATTGAGGAGAAGGCGGTCCATTAAGGCGATGATTTGTATTATCAATTGATCTTGACGGAGGTCATCTCCAGTTTTGAAAAGGAGTGAGTACTTTTCCCCGGAAGTAGTCTTGAAGTTGAGCAGTAGCGGTAGCAGTGATGATTTGAAGACGTTACTTTCGTTAGGAATGATCCCAGTGATTTCAAACTTCGGGTCTAGTGGGAGCGGAAGTGGCGGGTCGAGACGAAGAAGTTCGTTCTTGGGATCCGCCAACATCTTCTTCAATTGCTCAATTTTGCGCGGCCGGTCACCTTTCAGAATGCGGATGTCTTTGCTTATTTTACTCAAGATTGTGATAAGTTCTCCCTGTCTCAAGAGAATCTTTCGGCGAGCCTGACCTTCTGGACTTGCATCAAGCTCCTTCATGAAATCGAAACTAACGCGCGCGAAGAGCTTTTTGTTGGCAGACGCCGTTGTCCCGGAGTCGGTATCGGCCTGCAACTCGACCATGAGATACCAGTACAGGAAATTTCCCAGCTTGAGGTTGGCAGCCGATCGAGCAATGAGGAAAGATGCGAGGGATGAGTCGGTTTCATCCTCCGCATTTGTCCTTTGAGGCTCGAATTTGAGGGCCTGTACAAGCTGGAGGAGATATAGTAGTAACTCTTCATCATCTGCTTTTCGCAGTCGGTCGACAGCATACGCCCGGACCGATGGGTTTTGCACACTCGGGCCCAGTAACTCTAAAGCATCATCGACGTCAATCTCAGCCCATCTTGGCAACAGGGCAATGGCTTGACGACTTTCAGCTTGCTCTCCCCAATTGACTGATTTGACGACTTTGGTGAGCGCACGTTTGTTCCCAGACAAATGGTATCTGAACCTCCAGACCTCATCTCTCTCTTTGTCGCTGAGCTCGACGGTAGGGCCGTACATCATAACTTTGTTCAGGAAATCCCGCATCTTTGGATTGGGCTTTAAATCTTTGTCTACAGCGTCACGTTGGCCGCGCAGCAGTCGTCGGTGCTTGTATTCTGCCGGATTGTCGCCAAACCCTATTTCGGGATCGTAAATGTTGAATAATTTGCCTCCGGCATCGCCGTCGCTGTGGTCCGTCTGAATGCCTGGTCCAAGTTGCACCTCAGGCGGCGGTTTCAAATTGACACCTGCTGTGTTCTGTATGTGAGTCGTAGGAACGGATGAGACGGGCGGTGCTGGGTATTCATGATCAGTAAAGACTATCGGGTGGTCGAATCTTGGCAAGTCGATGTAAAGAAAAAAGACTCCGTCGATATGGTCAGCATCTCCTTCGGCACATGGTGATGCGCTCTGCACGTCGCCCGTCCGAAGCTCTCCTGTCGCTTTCTCTGAATGATTTGTGAGGTTCTTGGTGTGGGCTAGATCTTTTGTTTGCTGGCGCTCCAATTTCTCCATCTGCCGATAAACCATTTGATCTAACCACTTGACTTCAGGGATGTCGCCACTTTCGAACCTTTTCATGGCCTCGAGGAGACGGGCAACTTCAGTGTCTCGATTGCTTTGCTTCTCGTTGATAGAGTTGCTGGCTTCAGGCTGACCACGTCGGCCTCGTTTCCGAGTTTCTTGCCAGGGTGTGGTTGTGTCTGAAAATCCATCGGCGGTTTTGTGACGCCAGATTTTGCACTTCTGCCGTCCTGTTCGGAGAGTGCCATCTTCGTCGAATAGCGCTATCGTTGTCCCCCCAAAGGGAATGTGATGGTTTTTTTCAACTCCTGTGGCATTGACAGGTGAAATGTCCCATATTGTGATAGCAAGCTGAGCGTTAGCCGGCAATGTACTGTAATTGAGTGGCAAAGTCAACCACTGATTCCATATGCGCCCATTCTTGAAATGCTTGTAGGGTGTCTGCGAATGCACTGTCAAGGGCTTCGAGTCGGCGAAAGGTTGTACGGTCACGTAGAGTTCGGAATTAGGACTCAAATTGCTGCCACGATGCCGTAGATCAGGCCTCTTGAGTAGCTTTGAGTATGCCAACGGCTTTTCATATCCATCTAGGCGGTTCCTAAAAACACTCGAGTCAATACTTGCTCTTCGCTGATGTGCTCTCTCGGGGATTAACCCACACCTTCACTCCTATAGGGACATGTAAGTCTGAAGAGCTCGCGAAAGTAAATGGCTCCATGTTCGCCGTCTTCGGATTTGAGGGATCTGTCTACTCCCGATGTCCGTGCAGGCGAGTCTGCCTGGAGCTGGATGCAACGATTCTGGGACGATGATCTTGGCCGTCGCCCCACGAGTCTGCGGCTGTGTGGACAGTGAAAATAGGTAAGCTCTACAATAGATCCGTAGTACGTTCGTCCATTATTCATGGATTCAGGTATTTACTTCTCTACTCTGAACCCTCTGCAGTGACGTGTGAGCTTATTACTTCCGTGCTGTGCAGTGATCAGATTATGTGCGCTTGTCACAAGCTCTCGTTAAAGTGAACTGACCATGCTGTCCAGTCACTGCTCATCAATCAAGCGCCGGAAATCCGCTGGCAACCACCTGGGCAAACTTGAAAGCTGGGGTTTCCCGCCATCTACAGTTCCAGCGAACTTTGGCGTGGAGTGGAGCCTGCAGCGACAAGAGCGTGATGACATAATAATGGCTCCAGCTTATCGAGCGTCCAGGCAGCCCACTGGAGACTCACTTTACGCGTCTCGTCGCGACTGGTTCCTGGGAAATAATATCACTTCCTAAACAAGCCGTCGCAACATCGACATGCGCTTGCCAACAAATTATTCTGCGACAACTGTATTTACGAAGACCACGGTCCTTTACAGATTGTGAACTCGAGTGAATTCGACTGGGTCATTGCCCGCACTCGCGACACACCTATTTCCTCGTACCTTGCTCACCCTGCAGGTTCCCGACGACAAACTGCGCCTCAGTACCAGCACAGCTCACCGAGATGGCGCGACTCGTCACTCAACCTGCATCAAATCAACGAAGTCTGCGCATTCCAACTGCGTCGCCAAATCCTTCGAGTAACTCAGATCAAGAAAACCAAGACCCACGCCAATCGAGACAGTCGCGAGACAAGGGTCGGGCTATGGAGTCATCTCCGCCCGCGAGTCTACCAACGCCAACATCAGAAAGCAACGATGCGACGCGCAGCCAAAAGCGGAAAAGAGTAGTGGTCACAGTGCCGGAGGGAAATGATGAATCGGAGAAGTTCAACAGATATTTTGATCCCAATCAAAATCCAGACGTGAGGCGCGATGTCAAGCGCAGATCTCGCGCGCTCGAACGCGAGTTTCAAGGTGAGATACTAGCGTCGCGTTGGTGGGAACCATCCACTGATCAGTATCGCAGAAAATCGAGACGAGCTGTTACGGAGCCGTGGCGGCGAGGGTTTGATAAATACGATCAACAACGCGAACGCAGTTTTCAAAGAAGTCAAGCAGACCAACGATGCTACCCTCGACTCGCGCTTGCTGGTCAACATCTCAGATCTTGCATTCAAGAAGAGTGCACAGCTTGTCCTAGGCGACACAAGTACCGGCATCGACGTCGAGCTTTTTTTATCCAAATGCATTACTTTCATGCGATCGGGTGGCTCTACGGATGATAATGAACCGGCCACCCAACGGCGAAGAAATACAGTGCGCGAGGACGACGAAGAGGATGATGACGATGACGATGAGATCGCAAATGAAGCTCTGGACTGGGAATTGCTTGGTCAACATGCCTGCTTCCCATTCAACTCTCGTCCCGCAGCGCCCTCGTTCCTTCTAGGCCCCTTGTCAGTAGAGAAAAAGCAGCGCGCCCAGACTCAGCGCCGTGGCCGGCAGGCGAAAGACAATGCAGGACAAGAAGCACGGCCAGATCAGCTCTCTCGTGCTGATTTGACGCAATCAAACGAGAACCAACTCACATCAATATGCGCCCGCATACACACGCAGCTCAAAAAGCACTGCAAGCGGGGAGCACGATCAGTTGAGCGGGCCGGACTCACGACACTTGAGAGCCGGGAAGCTAAAGCATTACTCAAAGACAATCGGATCACCGCAACTGGTGGCCCGTCATTGTTCGAATATGTCATCAACCCGGACAGCTTCGGTCAAACTGTGGAAAATCTATTCTACGTATCCTTTTTGATCAAGGAGGGCTCAATCGGCATCACACCAGATGATGACGGGCTGCCCACACTCAGTAAGTTCCTCATACGGCAAATGCAAAAGATGAAACCATGGGTCGACCCAATTTCTAACAAAGCTTCCCAGACCCGACAGAGCCACGCGACATCGAAACCCAAAGACGAGAAAAGACCAGCAAACATCAAGCTATCTTATCCCTCGATTATGGAACATGGCAGAGCCTAACAAAGGCATTTGACATCAAAGAGCCTTTAATTCCACATCGGGATGACACGCAGCCTACCCAAGTTGGATCCAGAGGTTGGTACTCATGATACCACGATGGTTCGGACCCACGAAATTTATTATGGGCCTTTCACGACTTTTGTATTATTGTTATATTCTTGATACCCTGTTGGTCTGTCGATCCGACGACCAAATTTATGACTGCGAGGAAAGGCAGCGATACACGACCGCGATGAAGCTCGAGTCGCTCCTGAATTCAGGCTGCGCTGGGTAACCACAGTAAGGTTATGTACAGTAGCTCGCCTGCATTTGCAATGCGCTTTCCTGCATGCGCGTCATCCGTGCATGGCGTTTGTGGCTTGAATTATTGTGACGACGACGGCGTGACTGCACACAGCCTTCTCATCACACTTGTAAATTTGCCAGGAAAATCCCTTGCCGGGAAAATCATTTGCAGGTCCCCAGTGCTTTTCTCCGACATTAGTGCATCGGGTGATCAGCAAAGACTCATGTCATGAGCACGACGTGTTCTCTGCCACGAATATTCATTGGGATGGATTGATCAATACATGGTTCGCTTCTTCCCAAACGCTGGATCCTTACGGACCCGGGTTATCCGGCCCACAGTGCGTTCTTTCCCACCCAAGCCTAGCGCAGTTACGCGTCCAGTTCAATACCATGAACGATAGACAGACACGGGGTCTTCATTGCCTTGATGGTCGCGTGAGAGATAACTCGAAGAAGGTGATGGCATGTGATGAAGAGGCTGAGCGTTGAGCGAGACTATTCCGCGAGTATATATGCAGGGTATCGTCACAGTCTTTTGTTCCCGCATCAGTTCGTGCTCAAGTCTGTCGTCGCTTCTGTTGCAAGATGAAATCCAGTCTATCTTTTCAGACCGACCAGAGAGACGGACGTCACAGAGCTAGCTACATGAACCAAGCCGACCAAGTGCAATCGTACGCGGGCCAATCTCGTCATACTGATGACAATCCTCCTGGGACTGGCGCATTTAGATCTACCTCTCCCCAGCGCCATATGTCCAATGATCAACTTCCACGAAAACCACTCATCGAGCAAGTGACAAACAAGTGGCGCGATCAAAAAAGCGATCCAGCACAGAAATCACCGGAAACACTCGACGAGGCGTTATGCTCCTGCGATCTCGAAGACGACGCGAGTTTTCCGAACGCGACCTATAGACTCGTCACCTCACATCGCTTTCGACGGCTCGTGATTCTGGTCGCAACAATTGCCCTCGCTTTGGGCTTCACGTGGAAGGAATACATTGGGCCTCAGATACATCGGCAGCAAGATTTGCTGGCGTTCATGTCGCCGAACAATGGCACGTATGGCATCGCACAAGGCGGGCACGACAAGGATCTTGTCAAAATTATGCATTTGGATCCGAGTTTAATTCCTGGCGGCCAATCTGATCCGGAAGGCAGGCGGCGACTCATATTCATAGGAGATGTCCATGGCTGCAGGCAGGAGCTACAACATGTTCTACGCAAGTCCAATTTCAACGAAGAAACAGACCAGCTGATCCTTGTTGGGGACGTTGTCTCAAAAGGACCCGACAGTCCAGGCACCTTGGACGAGCTCATCAAGCTCAATGCCATCAGTGTTCGAGGCAATCACGAAGATCGGCTACTCACAGCAGCGAAGCTTTCAGGTCCTGGTCAAAACGACGACCCAACCACAGTGTCCACATCGAGCAAGGGAGCAGCGAAGGATGCGCTCCTGCTCCGACACATGAAGCCGCATCACCTACACTACCTACGCAAGATGCCTCTCATTCTTCACATCCCTGCCCTCCCTATGGCTTTGCCTCCCTCAAAATCCAAGCATTCTCCTATCGCGGAACACATGCTCGTCGTACACGCAGGACTCGTGCCTGGTGTCCCTCTCGAGCGGCAAGATCCGTATTTCGTCGAAAACATGCGGTCCATTCATCACAAGACGCACATTCCATCCGTTTCGCGCTCAGGCAAATCAGATGGCAGGAAACCTTGGATCGAGATTTGGAACTGGTACAACGACCGGCTCTATCGACGGCGCTCAGTTCCTCTCTTTGCCGAAAGTTCTGGTGCTCCGCTTACGCAATCCTTCATGTCGTGGCTGAAAGGCATGTGGAGTGACCTATCGAGCTCGGAAAAGGAACAGCCGGAGCCTGAAGTCGTGATTTATGGTCATGACAGCCGAGCTGGTCTACAGATCCATCGCTGGACGAAAGGGCTCGACTCAGGTTGCGTCTCGGGCGGGAAGCTCACCGCTATGATATTGAACGCAAAAGGCGAGCAGGAACTCGTCAGCGTCGCGTGCGAGAATCACCGGGCGTGATTTGAGACGCCAATTGTACTACTTCATCACATTCGTCGTGTTGTTCTTGTATTCAGCGCGGTGTTGGGGATTCATTGTATATAAATAGCGAGGAAATTTTATTCTTCCGAGTCTCGTGGCCAGCATCGATTATGCACATCAATTACTGACTTCGTACTTGATCTTTTGCGTGATTTTGTCCGCTCGCCAATACAGAACCCACGGGATCGGCGCCATGAGTAGCGCCAGGCCCGCAAGGATCGTCGAAGCCCACCCGACACCCAATGACTGGTACATCCGTAATGAAAACAGCGGGAACACCGTGCTCAGTGCATATCGAGTAAGCATTGCCGCTGCTGCCGCCGATGCACCAAATAAAGGGCCATACGTATCCATCATGAATAGATTCGTTGTCGTGTAGATCATGGACGAGGACGACATCGCACACCCTTGGAATATGATGGGACAAATCCAATGTACCGATGGGCGGGCCGTCCAGGCGAAGAGCAACAGAAACGATGGTAATAGCGGCGATGCCAGCATCGCCATATAGAGACGGTACTTGGAAAGACTCGGTGCATCCGGTGCACCTCCAGCAGTGCTCTTGGCCAGCTTTGGCTGATATAGAAGTGTGTCTGCAGTGATGAGCGGGATGACCGCGAACAGCGTTCCGCAGATAAGGCCGAGAAACGACAAGCTCTGTCCCACGGTGCCGAACCCGTAGTATTCCACATACACCCATGGCGACGCTACAATGAAGACATACATCAACCCGAAAAGGAACCCACAATACAAACAGACGAACGTGACGACCGGCTCGGTCAGCAGCATGTGGACTGGCCGAACGAGCAAGATCGTGGTGAAATGCTTGACACTTTCTATCCGAGTGCGTTGCGGAGTCGGGGGTCCTTCGATGTTCCACTTTCTTGCGCGACGCTGGAGGATGGTCTTCTTGTACGTCTCCCGTGTGAAGATCACCGGCACATAAGCCGCGACGATGAAGAAGATGATCGTCCATTGGGTCCAACGCCAGCCCTTCGCGAGGACCACAAACCCGCCCAAAAGCGGACCCAGCATGGCTCCGAAGGTCGGAATGGCGTAATAGAACGTGAGCATGAAACCGCGATGCCTCCGGGCGGTGTAGTCTGTGATTGTGGCCGAGGCATTGCTGATGGCCGGCGCGGCGAAGACTCCCGCGAAGAACCGACAGATGACTAGAGTACCCAAGGATCTCGACAAGCCCGCACCGAGCGTAAAGAGGGCGAATGCGGGTGTGGTCAGCAATATGACCGCCTTTCGACCAGATGTCTCGCTCAGCGGAGCACCAATGAGAGGTCCGAAGGCGAGGCCAAGATTGTAAATCGAGATGGGCAAGATGGAGAGTTCGTCGGTTATGCCAAACTCAGTCATCACGGCCGAGGAGCCCGGGCTATAGATTGATGCTGCCATCGTGCTCACGAAAGCCAGGAACGTGAAGGCGAGAGTTGATAACACTTTTTCACGAGTCGACCAATTGCGAGGGTTGGCGGCATCCCGCTCGTCGGACCAGTCTTTGGCATGGCAATACTCCATGATTACTTGATCGTGAGAGCATGGTCCTTCCGGCGACGTTTGGAAGTGGTGACATTGTTGTCGCCTGATATATATGTGCAGATACGAGCGTCTGCTGATGTCCAGCACCTTTCACATGTACCGACGTCGGCCCGGTTATATCATCAGGCGGTCATGATAGGGCGTGAGATCTGTAAGTGGGCCGTCCGCTGCAGGCAAAGGAGCGTTCGTTGTGGTGAAAAGCCCCAACGATATGGATACGTCGGAGCTGACAGCCGCACCACCCGTGCTAGCCTATGAATACCACATCTGCGCCTCATGATCTTTTACAATCGTCTATAAATGAACATGTAGATAAGGCAACCTTAACTATCCTTCTGTGCAAAAAACAGTTCGACATATCTGCCGGGTGTGTCTACAAACAGTTGCAAAAGTACCAGAACCAAGAGTGCATTTTGATAGGGTTTGGGTTATGAAACACGATTAGGGTTGTCGTTTAGCACACGCTCCGCTTCAAGACATTTTCTGATGTGGAGACATGGCTCACGCTGATCCGCAACCCACCTCCGTGGCTTGCAAATTTGAGAGTGACAATTGTGCATTGATCAATGGCTCGTGAACTAGTGCCAGATTGGATCTTGAAACAAACACTTGAAGTGCAAAAGTCCGCAAGTATGGCTTGGGTTGGTGGAAAGAAAGAACTCGACGATGGCGGGCTTACGCTGACCGCACTTGGGTGTGGGACCATGGGTGTCGCTATCCTGGGTGGAATAATGGACTCATTAAGAGAGCTCAACAAGACCCAGCCGAGCACGACTATCGATGAGAACACAATCGACGACAAGACTCCTGCGTTGCCCAAGCGATTGCCATCAAAATTCAATGCTTGTGTACGCAGGAAAGAAAGTGCAAAACGTGTCACAGATGCCCTGGACAAGTACGACGCCAGATTAGAGACTCGTGTTGACGACAACATCGCTGCTGTGCAGGCCGCCGATGTAATCTTATTAGGTTGCAAACCTTACATGGTCGCTGGCATTCTCCAGGTCGAGGGAATGCGTGAAGCTCTCGCTGGCAAATTACTCATTAGCATCCTTGCCGGTGTTCCCAAGTCCCAAATTCATGACATTCTCTACAAAGATGCGCCACAAGGTACCAAGGAGTGCACGATAGTGCGTGCCATGCCCAACACTGCTGCCGCAGTGCGCGAATCGATGACCATGATCGAACTCTCTTCGCCGGGCTTGGATCCTGAAACTGATGCACTGGTGACATGGATCTTCACTCGCATCGGCAAAGTGGTTCACCTCCCTGCCTCGAACATGGATGCCTGCACAGCACTCTGCGGATCGGGGCCTGCTTTCTTCGCCCTCATCATTGAGTCAATGGCGGCTGGCGCCATCGCGATGGGAATCCCGCGAGATGACGCTTATGCCATGGCTGCGCAGACCGCACGCGGCACGACAGGTCTTTTGCAGGCCGGCGAACATCCCGCTATCCTGCGAGACAAGGTAACCACCCCTGGAGGTTGCACTATTGGCGGGCTTCTGGTCCTAGAGGAGGGTGCTGTGCGTGGAACTGTCGCAAAGGCAGTCCGTGAGGCTACGGTTGTCGCCTCACAGCTTGGGCAAGGTAAGCAGGGAGTGAACGGAACTCGTCATTAGAGTCGCCGCGGCTACCGCAACACAATTTGAGGGCATTGAGCCGTAAATCATATGCACTTATTCGCATATCCTGTGTGCAGTCTTGTGAGGGATTTTCATGGCATCATGAACGGATGCTCACCGATAGTGAACTCCTTGTAGCCCCCGCAATAATACGCTCGACTCCCCAACGCCTCGCTAATTCGTAAATATGAATACATGAGTCGTGCTGATATTTCAGACGTCCTCAAATTGCACATCATCCTCATCTTCGTCACTCGCTGCATCAGCATTGTCGTTGCTTGTTGACATGGCTGAGAGCAGCGGCTCGCCGGAACGAGCACGCTTCGTAGGTCGCTCGTCGTCAGTGGCGTTGCTACTCTCGACATTCGGAGTATTGACGCCCGTGGAAGGAGCCAATGTACCATTAGTTCCTCCATTTGCTGCTGGGGTATTGCTGCCACTAGCCGTAACGCCAACGTCTTCGAACTCATCATCGTCGTCATCCTCTTCCTCTTCGTCCTCTTCTTCGCGTTCCTTCGCTGCCGCCTCTTCCTTTGCGCGTGCCAACTCCGCCCAGTAGTTAGCCATGACGTCCTCCTCGCCTGTGTTCGGTTTGACGTCCTCATTGCTAGTCTCTTCCTTGAACACACCGGAGTTTGCTTCGCGCTCCCTTCGCTGTTTCTCCTCCTTTGCACCCACCGCTGTAATGTCACCTGAAACGGTACTCTTCGATATCCATTCCGGAAGAGCATTTTGTCGCGCTTCGCGCTCTCTCCTAGCGGCAGCCTCGGCAGCGGCGTTTTCGCGTTTGACATCCTCGTCATCCTGCAATTGAATACTGATCTTTTCAGGTTTGATCTCGAGACCCTTGGTGCTTTGCAGATTTCTGTTGGGAAGATCGACAACCTCCGTCCTGGCGCCCGGGTGCGTATCTGTTCGGGTGACGGGCTTCTGAAGGCTCAACGCAGTCTGAAAGTCGTTCTCCGGCACTTTAGTACCGTCGATTTGCTGGAGCAACTTCATGATCTTGTCAAATTGAATGTTGAGCCGTTTCATTCCTTCATTCTCATTCGCACCATCGTCTTGAGCCACGTCTTCCAGCACATGGCCACACCTATGACAGATGAAAGAGCCTGTTGCCATGTCCATGTTGTCAATGACCTCCATCGTGGCATATTGACTTTTGCACCGAGGGCAGATGTAGTCCTTCTTTTCTGTCGTGGGAATGCCTTGTCCTTCAATGTGTTTATTCAGTTTGTACATGCGATATTTGATGCTGTCTATTGCCTTGTGGAAATTGAGATAGTACCAGTCGCGGTGAGTAACTCGCTCCTTGCCTGCCTGTGGTGTGCCGCCGACATATCCACCAGTTCCGTCCGTCCTTCGCTCAGCTCGGTTTTGAACGCTTAGTAGACCGTCTTCTCGAAGACGCCCGCATAGCTTACGCAATGGCTTAGACTGCATGCTGAGGACGTGCGACAAATCGTTGTCTTGGAGGGTGGAATGATTGATCAATGCGTCAATCACGAGGATGTGGTCGGTCGTGTAGAATGCGCGCGCAACAGTGCGCAAGAGGAGATGAGCCAACTCAGCCATGATGGCGATCTTGTGTCATAAATATCAAGCCAGGTGTGATGTGACGTCTTGGCCAGAAATTGTACTGAGTGTCGAGGGAACGCAATGAAGCGGCCTGGGAGGCAACAAGAAGCAAACTTCGATGCACCAAAACGTGGTTTCAAGGTGTTCGTAAAATCATTGCTGACTGTACTCGGGATGACGGTTGGGGCGGCGCGCGCATCAGGCATGTCAGATCGGCATCCATCACTTCACGTACTTCCTGGATACCTACCTAGTAGATACCTAAGGACTTTGCAATACAATCTTGAAGAAAAAAACAACAACTACGCTCGACCGTTCATCTCTCCGAAGCCTACATACAATTCTTCATGTGATCAGCCTTATGGAGGGACGCGCTACCGTGTATGCGAATGGTCACGTTGCTGTTTGGTCGTGTTCATCCGGCCGGTATCGCCTGCAAAAAGGACCATTATTCTTTCATGCACCCGGCAGTGAACAAGATTCAGTCCATTTTTACACCAATACTAACGACCATATTCACGATTAAAGACTCTCCCAATCACAAATCGTCTTACTTCTGACGTGCCCGCGCCGATTTCGTACAGCTTCGCGTCTCTCATGATACGTCCGGCAGCCATTTCGTTCATATAACCCATTCCGCCAAGGCATTGGATCGCGTCCATGCCGCATTCCGTTGCCCTCTCCGCTGCGAAAAGGATTGCGCCAGCACAGTCCTGAGTCTTGATCTGTGGATCTTCGTGGCTCTCATCGATGGCACGAGCCACGCTATATGTGAATGCAGCACTCGCACGATATTTGGTGTACATGTCCGCCAGCTTTGCCTGTATCAACTGGTTGTGCGCGAGAGGAATCCCGAATTGTTTCCGTTCGTGGACATAGGGTAGTGTCACGTCCAGAGCTGCTTGCATAAGTCCCAACGGACCTGCTGAGAGGACAAGTCGTTCCAGATCGAGCCCTTCCATTAGAACCTTGACTCCACGGTTTACGGGTCCCAGTATCTTCTCCGATGGCACGAAAACATTGTCGAACATCAATTCGCCGGTGTTGGAGCCGCGCATTCCTAGTTTGTCGAGCTTGCGAGCCACGCTGAAGCCAGACGAAGAGGTATCGACAATGAACGCCGTGATACCGTCCTTGCCAGCAGCGGGCTCGGTCTTTGCATAGACCACAATTACGTGAGCGTCGGGTCCGTTCGTAATCCACATCTTGGTTCCATTGAGCAGATAGCCTCCGTCCGTGGCCTTCGCCGTCATCTTCATATTGACAACATCGCTGCCTGCGCTGTGTTCTGACATGGCCAATGCTCCAATCTTCTCGCCGGATGTAAGGCCGGGAAGATATTGTGCCTTCTGCTCATCAGTTCCGTGAAGCTGAAATTGATTGACACAAAGCTGCGAATGGGCAGCGTAGGAGAGCGCGATACTGCCAGAAGCTCTGCTGAGTTCCTCCATGACTATACAGTGCGCCTGATAGCCCATTGACAATCCTCCATATTCTTCGTCTGCCGTGACACCAAGAAATCCAGCGGCACCGAGCTTCTGCCACATCTCGTTTGGAAACTCATTATTGTGGTCTGTCGCTTGTGCTACTTCTTGTGGAATTTCTCGACGCACGAATTCGATAGTGCGCTCTCTTAATTCCTCGAGATCATTGCTTGTTGGTGGTTGGAAGCCCTTTGGATGTCTCCGCTTGTTGGACAATCCTGAAGCATGACGTCCTACACTGAAGGTGACACTCGGACGACATCGCAGCACTGAACGCGGTGCGTAGAGCGCAAATGTCCTGTAGAACTCCTGTACATGCGCCATTCTTGAGATCAATTGATTCAGTGCGTAACGAACGGCTTTATAAAATATGTAGCAGGAATGGTCGATATACGTCGCGAATGCGTCCACATCCGTCAGGCCGGCAGCGGCTATTCACGGCTACAAGTGGGCTTCGCAGCCCAGGCACCATACGGCGGCCAGCATCCATATCAACCTCGAGCGTCACATTGTTATGCCAGCATTCAGTGTCGAATTCTTTGAGAGAACAGCTTGGGACAAAAAATGGCGTCGGCTATGAAAGCAAACAGCATCGTGCGATCGACGTGCCGATTAATCAACCAGAGACCGCTGTATACGCCATGCATTGTTTCCTGCCGCAATGTAGCAACATACACGAGTCCCCATCAAGCATCACAAATTTCCGTACTTCGCACTGCCGTCGATGCCAATGATTCCAAGTTCCAGGAGAATGCGTCAGCGATGAGCGAGCTGATGTCAAATCTCACTTCCCTTCATGAAAGTGCAGCTAAAGGTGGACCCGAGAAGGCCAGGCAGAAGCACATCGAGCGCGGAAAGATGCTCGTTCGAGATCGAATCACCGCTTTGATTGATCCTGGGACGAGTTTTCTGGAGCTGAGCGCTCTAGCTGGCCACGAGATGTACCCAGGGGAAGATGTGCCCGCAGGCGGGATCATCACTGGTGTTGGCACTGTAGAGGGTGTTATGTGCATGATAGTTGCCAACGATAGCACGTGAGTTGCTCTCCGTTATTTTCATATGACTACCACTGCTAATACACGGATAGAGTGAAGGGCGGATCTTATTATCCTATCACAGTGAAAAAGCATCTCCGAGCACAAGAAATCGCGGCACAGAATCGATTACCATGCATATACATGGTCGATTCTGGCGGTGCAAATCTGCCGCGTCAGGCCGATGTTTTCCCAGATCGCGAGCATTTCGGCCGCATCTTCTTCAACCAAGCCAACATGAGCGCTGCAGGTATTCCGCAGATCAGTATAGTCATGGGACTTTGCACTGCCGGTGGAGCCTATGTCCCTAGCATGAGTGACGAAAGCATCATCGTTGAGAATCAAGGTACAGTGTTCTTGGCTGGACCACCTTTGGTCAAAGCGGCCACGGGTGAAGAAGTCAGCGCAGAAGACCTGGGAGGTGGCAAACTTCACACCGAGGTTTCTGGAGTAACAGACTATCTTGCTGTCGACGATGCACACGCAGTCGCTATTGCAAGGCGAAGCATCTCCAATCTAAATTATCCCACGTCGCAGAACCCGTCCTATAGACGCGACTGGAAAGAACCTCTTTATGATCAGGAGGAGCTTGGCGGCATCGTAGGAACCAATCTCAAACAGAACATCAACATGCACGAAGTTATCGCTCGCATAGTCGACGGCAGCGAATTCTCCGAGTTCAAGCCGAATTATGGTTCCACACTTCTGACAGGCTTCGCAACAATCTTTGGGCATCCGGTCGGAATCATAGCAAACAACGGCATTCTCTTCAGCGAGAGCAGCCTAAAGGGAGCACACTTCATTCAGCTATGCTGTCAGCGCAACATACCTCTGATATTCCTACAAAACATTTCCGGATTCATGGTAGGCCAAGATGCTGAGAAAGGAGGTATAGCAAAGAACGGTGCGAAATTGGTGACAGCCGTTGCATGTGCACAAGTGCCCAAGTTCACTGTCCTTGTTGGTTCTTCGGCTGGGGCGGGCAACTATGGTATGTGCGGACGAGCGTACAGTCCACGGTTTTTGTGGAGTTGGCCATCTGCGAAAACGTCTGTTATGGGAGCGGAGCAGCTCTCATCGGTCATGGCTGCAGTGGGAAAGAAGGTGGATCCCGAATTGAAGTCTCGTATTGAGCACGAGAGCGAGGTTCTTTTCGCCACCGCAAGGTTGTGGGACGACGGTGTGATCCCACCCTCTCATACGCGAAGAGTACTAGGCCTTGGTTTGCAAGCTGCGATGACTGGAAGTGTTGAGAGCAAGGACACAAAATTCGGAGTTTTCAGGATGTAAATTATGGAGAATATTTGATGTTTAACGACGTTCCCCTGCACTGTCGATTGTGATAGCTTACTGACTTTCAAGATTTCGTCTTAATTGGGAAATTTCTCCGTCTTCGAGCTTGCAGTATTCTCGCATGTAGTTCTCAGCACCGCCAAATTCCGCATCGATCATGTCGATAGTGGCTACCATATTGGCGGATTTAGTGCTGATCATATTCTCGATGCCTTTTGGATTACCTGACAAGGCCGGGTTCTTCATCAATCGCTCAGTGAAGAGCGGTCGCAGATGTGCAAGGCCCTGATCTGTGAGGCTGTACTCTTGGGCGATCTGCTCTTTCGGAACACTGAGCAGCAGGAAAATCAGTGCAACCAGAACACCCGTTCTATCTTTACCGGCCGTGCAATGGACCAAGCAAGGGCTCGGCTCGGCTTGCGCGAGGTGCTTGAGAATTGCAGGGTAGGCAGCAGTGGCGCCAGCTCTTAGAATATCACGGTACGCCGCGACGAATCCGTCGGTGCCTTCGCGCGTATACTCCTTATAACGGAGAGCGACTTGCTCTGGCGAGTAGTCTTTACTCGCAAAAACGGGCTGCCACGAACGTTGCATTCCATACTTGCTAAACCTATCAGTCTTATCAATTTCGACACCGGCCCATTCGGGTCCATCGCGCTGGATTTCCGGTGTAGATCGTAAATCAAAGATGATCTTGATTCCTTCGTTTGAGAAAGTCAACACAGTATACCTCAGGCTGCCTGTTTGTCGACCGCCTGACCATACCTAGATCTCGGCTCATTGTTTCTAGGCCTTGTGGTGTCGCTTTGCTTGGATCCGCTGCTCTATAAATTTGTCCGCGTCGTACATTTTTTCCAGCATTGACATAGCCAATATCCCTGAAGTTGGCAATTCCGTCCACATCAACGAAGGGTGGCTGCGGCAACTTGGATGACATCTTGGTGGATGGAGTATAACAAAGGGGAGAAGTTGTATGCCGGCTATGTTCTGTTCGATCAAGCCCTGGAGTAGATGCACTATATGTGTAGGAATTGTATTTTTTTTTCACAACTGAGCAGTGGATGGATCCAACAATGGCCACTGTCTCGTCTCCATCAATGCGTGCCTGATAAAATAATGCGGGGAATATGCTCAGGCCGCCGCTTTGAATCTGCCGAGTCTCATGAGAAAGAATCGAGGAAGCGAGCACGGACCCGGTCGTTATGCAGGTCCAGTGATTTTTCGATGAAGGTGATTTCAATAGAGCTCGGGAATTCTACGACTACCAGCAGCTGTTCCGCGTCGCGTTCGGTCTCGTCCTTTCCCAACTACATTTCCTCCAATGCGACCATGGACAACAATGCTCCCACAGCCAGCGCGAGCGCTCCTACGGAGTCGCAGGGCGGTTCTTCAAGCTCCGCACAAGCAGGAGCCGGCAACGAGGACAGCAGCCGTCATGCGGAGCGACAGCAGAAGAATTCACGCGGGAAGCGGAAGGGCAACTTCCAAGATTCCAGAATGCAGCATGGAGGAAGGGGGTTTCGCGATGACAACAAGCGGCATAAGAAAGGCGATATGGGAAGAGGAGAGTACTTGTAGGTTACTGAGAACCTTTTCACACTCGTGTCGGTATCACTGACACTGACTCAAGCGCGAGCCAACCAGACAAACGGAAGCGCAACGAAGACGCGAACGCAAAACGCGAGCGTGCGGGTAATGTTGCAGGGCAAGGGATCCAGTATTCAAAGGAGGAGATTGAAGCGGAAGAACGGCGCCCGAAACGTAAAGTGGCTGTTCTAATTGGCTATTCCGGGACGGGTTACAAAGGCATGCAGATCTCTGGAACCGAGCGAACAATCGAAGGAGACCTTTTCCAAGCCTTCATTCGAGCCGGCGCCATCAGCAAGGCAAATGCCGAAGACCCGAAGAAGAGCAGCCTGGTCCGATGTGCAAGGACGGATAAAGGAGTTCACGCAGCTGGAAATATGATCAGCTTGAAACTCATCGTCGAAGACGAGAATATTGTTGAGAAGATCAACGCAGAGTTGAGCCCTCAAATTCGCGTCTGGGGCATCGAGCGCACGATCGGAAGCTTCTCTTGCTATCAAGCATGCGACAGTCGCTGGTACGAATATCTGATCCCATCACATGCCTTTCTACCCCCCCACCCTTCCAGTTGGTTGGCGAAGCAGCTTGAACAGTTAGCGGATGAAGCGAATGATCGATCGAGTTACGAAGGCCGACAAAAAGACATCGAGAACTTCTGGGAGGGAATAGAGGCATCCGAGATCAAGCCGATCCTTCAATCTATCGATGAAGATATCAGATGGGAAGTGGTGAAGGCACTACAGGGCGAAGAAGAAGCGAGTGCCAAAGCGGAGAAGAATGACGAGGAGCCCGGAGCTAAACTTGCCAAGACTGAGGTCAATGCAACCAAGGTCAACCAACCCGACGCTGATCAACCAGCAGAGCACCACTCGTTATCGGATGCTGAAATGGAGCGCGTGCTCCGCCTCAGAGCAGCGACAAAGCGACTGCGGAATGCATACGTTGATGCCAAACGTCGATATCGCATTCCTTCTTCTCGAATTGACCGCATTCAGGCGGCTCTAGACAAATACGTTGGCACCAAGAACTACCACAATTACACCATCCAGAAGACGTTCAAGGACCCGAGTTCGATGCGTCACATCAAATCTTTCGTCGTAAACAAGAAGCCAATCCTCATTGGCGAAGGCCCTGACGAGTCGAAATCAGAATGGTTGAGCCTCAAGGTGCATGGGCAAAGCTTTATGATGCACCAGATCCGCAAGATGGTCGGTATGATCACACTCATGGTTCGCAGCGGCGCAGATCTAAAGACTATGGACGAGAGCTTCACCGAAACCCGATTCTCAATTCCAAAAGTGCCAGGCCTTGGCTTACTACTGGAGAGACCTGTGTTTGACTCGTACAACAACTTACAGGCTGCCAAGCATGGGAGAGAAGCCTTACGCTTTGATAAATACGAAGAAAAGCTGGAAGCCTTTAAAGAAAGCGAGATCTACCAGCGAATATTCAGGGAAGAAGAAGAGAGAAATGAATTTGGACGATTCTTCAACCATATCGATAACTTCAAAGAGCCTTGGTTCTTGTACGTCTCCAGCATGGGACTCAAAGCCATGAAAGGTTATGAGAGGAGCCCCATCGCCGAGGTCGATGGAAGTGATGGGGAACAGGACGATAATTAGATTCGATTTGAAACCTTCCAATTGGGGACTCAATCTACTACTATAAGAGAGTCACGGAGATTGAAGTTTTTTCGACGTCATCTACCGTGAGACTCAGTTCAAATATGGTCTCAGATCCTTTGGTCTGCAAAAAATGACTGAATGATATATTTCGTGAACTTTACATAAATCTAATCATGAATTGCGGTTGTGTGCGGTCCTTCCAGATCATCTGGAAATCCACCACTGCTATCGCGTCGATTCAGAAGTCCTCTTTCGTCCTCTTGGCCGGTCAATTCTTCCCTCAAAACGCCACCGCCAGACCCAATTCGTCCTTCCTCACCCTCGTTCAATACGTACCAGAGATCCTTCTTTGTCAATAGACCCGCAAGAAGTCCTCGATCGCAGAATATGATGTAGCGAAGTCCGAGCTTTTGGAACATGTCGCTTGCTAGCTGGAGGGAAGATCGCGAGCTCAACGTGATGGGGGTCTGATCCATCCACGGGCGAAGATCTAGTGTAACGTTCGGATCTGCGAGAGGCTGATGCTGGAAGTAGCACTCGGTCGTTGTTGGCAACGCACGTTGAACGGAAACTGCGGCATCGAGCGCGAACTCCAACTCCGTGCGAGAGATATATCCAAGCAAGACAGCCTCGCGAGTGTTGGTCACAACCGGGAAACCTCGGAAGCGATGCTCTCTCAAATGCTCCCGAAGCGTCTCGATTGTATGTCCAGTAGCTGTGATGCAGGCGAGATCATCCACACGGGTCATGATCTGGCTGACAGGAACATCAGGAACCAGTCGATCGTCCTTGTTGTCTAGGAAAGGATACCCTTGAAACCTAATCCAACTTTCGTAAATGCCTCGCTTTCCGAATGCGTCTCCTACCCACTTCGATAGCATGACAGCGATCATGATGGGCAGGACGTACGTCAAGGCGCCCGTGAGTTCGAACATGATGACCACAATTGATACTGTCATGCGGGTTGCGCCTGCAAGCGCAGAGGCGGCGCCGATGACAGCATAGGTACCAGGCGTGACACACTGTCTGTCAGGCTCACAGCTTGCGAACGCTATAAAGTTGGGATGCTCTCTTTGCCAGACTTCGACGATGAGCCCAACGACACGACCGTAAAGAGCGCCGACCGCCATTGAAGGGAGTAGGATACCGGCCGGAATCCGCAGCCCAAAGGTGATGCCAGCTAGCAGGAAGCCAATGACTGATGAGACAAGCAGCATAAATATGACACCCGTATTAGCGACGCCAGACTTACAGAGGCCAAGGAAGTCGTCGGTGATGTCTCGGCACTCGACGAAGAGATGTTGTACAAGTTCAGTCGACTGTGCCCTCAGGAAGGTCAGGGGAAAGCTGACCAGGGCAGTCAATAAGGAAACGGCGACAACTTCGAGTACTGGGTGTTGTTGAAAGTAATTTTTGGGTGAGGCGCGCCAGGCTGCGACGCGCATATTCAGCTTGATGAACAGAGCCCCATAAAGTCCTCCCATGATACCGAGGATTGCAAAGGGCAGCAACTCGAAGGCGTGCCAGCCACTATGATATGTGACTTGATAAAGCACAAGTTTGCCGGTTCTGAATGGATCAATTGCCTGTAGAGTCACTGCAGCGACCATTGCGCACACAAATGACGCCCACATTGTCTTGTCCGGGAAGTAATAAGACAGCTGCTCAAGCGAGAACAGTACACCACCGATAGGAGAACCGAAAGCGACCGAGATTCCGCTTGCGGCCGCAGCAGAAAGCACTTCTCTTTTGCGGGCCTCATTGCTGTTGATCCCATCAAAGAGCTTCATGAAGACATTGGCGCAGCAGCATGCCACATGGACGAGTGGCCCTTCTTTTCCTAGCCACATTCCGGATGCGACTGCGAGACAGAGCCCCAGAGACTTGACAATCAGCGTCCAGGCACCGAGGAAGCGGCGAATGACGAATCCTCCGAGGACAACCTTCACCTCTGGTATACCACTCTGTTTTGCGTATAGAGAGAAGTTGATGACCAGTAAGCTCGCACATGTAGCGAACAGTACCGAGAGTAGAACGAAGAACGCATATTCGACGATGTAGCTTCCCCCTGAGTTTCGTACGCCCGTGATCTGGCTCCATGTTCGCCAATCTGGACATTCCGCAAGACTGCTGCCGCCCCAGCAACAGAAAACCTTGTTGAGATAGAGCCTTCCTCCATCTTGAACATTGCTGCACATGCCCGTTTTCAGATCCCCGAGCCAATCGCTAGTGATGTCGATCCCTGCGGCGATGCCTCCGACGGCGAGACCAGTCGCTACCAAAATCCACCATATGTGACTCGCGTCGGCTACAAGCTTGATCTGGCCCAGCAGTCCTGGTGCATTCGCTGCTAATTGTCGTAGTCGTGTGCGCTCTTTGCTATACTCGTATATCCAATCGATTGCGGTGAGATCGTCGTAACCTACTCGCCTCCCAGGGCCCTCCACATACCAGTCTAATGCCCCGGCATCCTTTGTGTCGTGTAAATGAGCCCCTGCATCGGCAGGCGCATTGAGATAGTTCAGTATATTGTCCGATGATGGCTCGATGTGATTAATGTCGCGGGCACGAAGCCGCCTCGGCGGTGATATCGGTGTGGTTTGCACATTTGTCGAGGTTTTGGAGCGCAGACTGAATGAGGCCGGTAGGAAGCGAGAAGTGAATGACGGCGGCTGGATCTTCTGCTTGCGCTTGAAAGACACGCTACATGACATTAGAAAGAGAGTCGCAGCGATCAGTCACTGAGTCAGAACTTACGCGCCATCTAGAACGTCATTGTATGGTGCTCCGTTTGGTCGCGAGAGCTCATCAGCATCAAGCTCAAGGTCATCTTCAAAGCGATCGCCTGTTGAAGATGATGCCGCAACTGTTGGACTGCGACTTGACGAAGCTCGGCCGGAAGATCCAGAGTCAGGGTTTAACAGGAGTCCTGACATGGAGCATTAGATCAGATAGCCCAGTCATGGGCTGAGAGAATCTATTGAGGAGCGCAACAGTGTTGATGGGCCTTAAATCGTGCTCACAACATCGTGATTTCAAGGCTGCGCCCGCCTGGCGCGCGGTGAACTTAGGGTTCGCTCTGTACGAGTGAGCCAATTGCCTGGATGAGAACGAACAATCAACCACTACCTAGGCATGTAATGACAGGCACAGCAGTACAGATCACTCCATATAATCAAGAGAGAGGGAAATGAAACTAGTCACCAGAGTATTTGCCCACGACGGATTTCTCGTTCGTGGAAGGCTTTGTTCTGATCAGACTCTCATGTTGAGGATATCAAGTGTTCTTGGGTTGCCCCAGTGCTCATGTCGGTCATGCGACCCCGATTCCGCTTTCAAAGCCTAGGAAGAACAAGAAGAAGACTCGAATCGCAAGGAAGCAAAGAAGTAAGAACATGTTACAATCGCTAAACCATTTCCACCGAATATACATGTACATGATACACCTGTTTTCACCATTGAGAATGTAATTTCCCAAAATGAGGCGGAATTGCCCAGTCCCCAGTCCCCTTTACTCGAAACATCGAATGGTTACTCCATCTTCACAACTGCGCCAAGCGCCTTCAGTGTCGCAATGATCTTCTCAGCCTCCTCCTTTGGTACTGCTTCCTTCATCAATTTGGGCGCTGATTCGACGAATTTCTTGCTATCCACCAAACTCAATCCCAACATGCTCTTGATCTCTTTGATGACCTTGGGCTTCGCGGTGGCTTCAAACGACTCGAGCTTTAGGTTGAACAGAGTCTTCTCCTCCTTTGCTGGTGCTGCATCCTCAGGCTCTTCAGCCGCTGCTGGGGCTGCCGCGGGCGCCGGACCTGCTGAGAATCCACCCATTGGCATGTCGGGGATGTTCAATCTTGACTATTGATACTCCATGAGCAACCATTTTTAAACACTGTGGGCCAACCCAAACATGCTGCATGTTGAAAATACCTTTAATGATGACACGAGGTCTGCTGTCTCAAGCAGGGTCAATTGACTGATTTGATCCACAATGCTGGCGATTTTCGGATTGCTCGGCGCCGCAGCTTCTGTTGACTGCCATCGCCGCGAATTATGTTGCTGAACTCGGAAGGCGGCGATATGGCCTGAGCGAGCACTAAAGGATGCTGGAGATGAGCGGATGCATCGAGTGCATGTTCGTGCGACGGATGCGACAGGAGCTGACATGATGCCGGTGTGATGCTGACGATCTGAGATGCGATGGAAGTTGTGCTCGCGTGTGTTCCAGTGATAATGAATCTCGAAATATGGCGGAGGACGTCTCCTTTGGGTTAGAATGAAAGCTCACTTAGAGTAAGCCGAGCAGCAAGTACGCCGAACCTTGATTGCGGAATTTATCTTTTTCGACTGCACTGTAGACTTCAAAGTTGATCGCCATATCTGAACGAGCATACATTTTGCCTTCACATTATGGCCATATTCTGGAGCCTCCCGATTGTCGAGTGATCGTATCATATAATGCCGCACTCCGGGAACGAACATGTTCTTGAGGCAATAATGCATCTGCCTGAACAGTTTCTGCACGTATTTGAACATGCAAGCGACGCGGAATACTTGCAAAATTTGACGAAAGGCGCACTCGACCCGTCGTACTCATACATTTTGCTGGCACATTGCGAGGATCAATTTGCTTACGTCTGCGCCAATTTACGGCGACATGGCAGTTTCGCAGCGACTGTCGGCGCCCTTGGTCGGATCGTGCCATTCGCGACCTTCCTGACCCCATGTGCTGTCCGAGTGCTGGAACAGGAACATGCATCGTTTGAAATAGGTGCAGATCAGGCCGAGACTGCCCTGTATCTGCTAGGCATATATCGACTTTTAAAGAGCAACAAAAATGCTTTCCGCAAATACATAAATGCAGCAGCATTGAGCGCTCGTCTGGGACATGCAGACAGACCAGTCACGAACCTCATTATCCGGATCTTGCAGCTGTATCTGAACGCTGCAGATTGCTGGTACGGAACCATGTTGACCAGATATCTGGATCACAATTCAACAGCAGCCAAGATGGAAGGCCCGTGGGACGAGAAAACCATTGATTACAGATTCCTCACATTATGGGAAGAGGATCGTAGCGATGTCGTGCGGGCACTGTGCGCAAACGTAAGCGCAGATCCCTCAAGTGTACCAGAAGCACTTCGTCGCGCAATCAAGCTCGAGCATGTTGATGCTCATACCTGTGCTCTTGGCGGCGTCATGTTTCCCCGAGATAGTTTGATCGATTATGAGAATGATCACAGGGAGGCTCTTGTGAAAACTTACACAACTGCGTCCAATACAAGAAGCCTCGCGTGCGCTTTGAAATGCCAAAAGTCAGTACTGATTACAGGTCCTACCGGATCCGGAAAGACCTTGCAAGTCCACCACGCGGCTGCAAAGCTGGGTAAACTGGATAGCATGATTACGCTACATCTGAACGAGCAGAGCGATGCCAAGCTTCTTCTCGGTGTTTACACCACAGGGGTGACGATTGGATCATTCACATGGAAGCCTGGTGTTTTGACGACCGCAGTTCAAGAAGGGCGATGGGTGCTCATTGAGGACCTAGATCGGGCGCCGACCGAAGTAATCGGCACTCTACTTCCCCTCATTGAACGAAGGACGCTTTCAATTCCCAATCGCAGGGAAACAATCCATGCTGCACAAGGTTTCCGCATTCTGGCCACGATTCGCACCACATTAAATCACAAAGGGGAAGAGATCCGCCCGTCAATGCATATGCTTGGGACGAGGCACTGGACATGCATTAACCTCTCGCTACCGAGCCACGCTGAGCATTCTACGATCGCGCACGCTCTCTACCCGACAATGAGTCCTTTCCTTCCGCAATTCATGTCGGTCTATGAGCGGGTTGTCCAGACGAGTCGAAGTACCCTGTCAGACCAGAAAAGAGGAATGGTAGCTCGTGAGATCAGCCCACGAGATCTTTTGAAGTGGCTGAAGCGTGTTTCAACGCTTTTGAGCCACCGCACTTCCTACAGCAGTAACGACATCGATTCGGGATTCCTCGAAGCGATGGATTGTTTTGCTGGATTTCTTCCGGACGGTACAGCACGCCAGACACTCGCAGCGTCAATCGCCGAGGAACTTCAAATAGACCCCCAGCGTCGTGACTTTTTGCTTGAGCGAAGAGAAGTGTCGTATCAGATTGCTAAATCGGGTCTTAACATCGGACGATATAGCTTGGTCGCGTCGCATTCTGTGCGGCGGTCGGATACTCCATTCTCTACGAGTCCACATACGACCCGTATGCTCGAGCGAGTGGCAGCTGCCGTGATAAACCGTGAACCGCTTCTCCTTGTTGGAGAGACCGGTGTCGGAAAGACGACCGCGGTGCAACACCTTGCGAGCAATCTTGGCAAAAAGCTAGTAGCTTTCAACCTCTCTCAGCAGAGTGAAGCAGGAGATCTCCTTGGTGGGTTCAAACCAGTAAATGCGCGCAGTCTCATGATTCCTCTGAAGGAAGAGTTCGATGACCTTTTCGAAGAAGGTTTCAGTGCTACCAAAAACCAGCAATTTCTGCAACTGCTTGGAAAGCAGACCGCCAAAGCCAATTGGCGTGCAGTTTGTAAGCTCTGGAGAGAGGCGCTCAAGATGGTTGAGAAACAGAAACAGCAACAGCTCGCTTCGCCAACTCGTGAAGGAGAGACGCCAAACAAAAAGCGCAAGGTAGATTCCAAGCGTTTCATTGACTTTGCTCGCTGGGAAAGTTTCACGCACAAGATGACGACCGCTGAACGAAGCATAGCCGGCGCAAGCGATGCATTTCTATTCAGCTTCATTGAAGGAAATATAGTGAAAGCTGTCCGCAACGGAGACTGGATCTTGCTGGACGAGATCAATCTTGCTTCTTCGGATACACTGGAGTCAATATCCGACCTACTTGCTTCAGAATCACCTTCCATCCTCCTAACCGAAGCCGGAAATATTGAAAGAATTGAGGCACATCCCGATTTCAGAGTGTTTGCTGCCATGAACCCTGCAACTGATGTTGGGAAGAAAGATCTCCCTCCGGGCATCCGCTCTCGGTTTACGGAAATTTATGTCAATAGTCCGGACAAGGATCTGAAAAGCCTGCAAAGCATCGTGGCAGCGTATCTTCGCCAGGAAATCACTTCCGATCCAGCGCTTGTCACCGACATCAGTGTGCTTTACCAGACAATCATTGCCCTTACCGATGAAAACCGACTTGTTGATGGTGCCGGACAAAAGCCACACTTTTCACTCCGCACTCTGACAAGGACGCTAAGCTTCGCGAAGCGCATACATCATCTCTGCAGCCTGCGCCGTGCCGTTTATGAAGGATTCCAGATGAGCTTCGTGACATTTCTGGACGTTGAATCTGCAGGTGTCGTGCGTCCTATAATTGAAAGGTCGATTTTTTCAAAGCGCACCAATGTTGCAGCTGACCTGCGCAAACCGCTACGAAAGCCGTCGGACGAGCACTGCTACGTGCAGGCCTATCCTGGTAGCAAACATTGGATTCGTTGCGGGGAGAAAGAACAGGAAGAACAATCACACTATATCTTCACACCTTTCGTCGAAACGAATCTGGAAAATCTTGCAAGGGCCTCAAGCACAAGACAATTCCCTGTTTTGATACAAGGTCCAACCTCCAGCGGCAAGACTAGTATGATAGAATATCTCGCCAAACGCACTGGCCATGAATTCGTACGAATCAACAACCATGAACACACCGACTTGCAAGAGTATCTGGGCACTTATGTTTCAGACTCGAACGGCCGACTTCATTTTCAAGAGGGTGTTCTGGTGAAGGCGTTGCGTGAAGGTCATTGGATAGTGCTCGATGAGCTTAACTTAGCACCCACCGACGTCCTGGAAGCGCTCAATCGACTTTTGGATGATAATCGGGAGCTTTTACTGCCAGAGACGCAGGAGATTGTTCGTCCACATCCGGAGTTCATGCTCTTTGCCACACAGAACCCAGCTGGTCTGTACGGCGGTAGAAAGCAATTATCTCGAGCCTTTCGCAATCGGTTCCTTGAGCTCCACTTTGATGACATCCCGATTAATGAGCTGCAGGAAATTCTTCACAAAAGAACCAAACTCCCCGAGTCTAGATGCAAGAAAATTGTCGACGTGTATATTGAGTTGGCGACCTTACGGCAAGAGAATCGATTATTCGAGCATAAAAGCTTCGCAACACTGCGTGACTTGTTCAGATGGGCTCTGCGAGACAACAGTACGATCGAACAATTGGCACAGAATGGATACATGCTACTTGGTGAAAGAGTCCGGAAGACAGAGGAACGTTCCGCTCTGAAGACTATCCTCGAGAAAGTTATGAGCAGGAAAGGACCTAAGGTTCTCATTGATGATGATATCCTTTACTCGACCACTTCCAATGAGATCAGACAGTTTCAGGCCAGTCCTGTCGCTCTGCCCATTGTTTGGACTCGAGCCATGCGCAGATTGTATGTTCTTGTTGTCCGGGCCATTCAAAACAACGAACCTGTTCTGTTAGTCGGTGAGACTGGTTGCGGCAAAACAACCGTCTGTCAACTACTCGCATCTGCAGTTCAACAGCGTCTGCATGTCGTCAACGCGCATCAGAATACAGAGACCGCCGATCTGATAGGTTCGCAGCGGCCTGTTCGGAATCGAGCTTCCATCGAAACGGCGCTCCGACAGCTTTTGCAGGAAGTTCCTATGGTAGTAGCCAACGACGAGACCCTGGGGTCAACGGATGCGCTTCTTCGTGAATATGATCAATGGCTCTCAAGTTTGAGCGAGACGGCGAACGCAGCTCAGGTCATCAGTGAGCAACATGTTCAAATTCACCTTCTGCGCACACGGTACAAGGCGCTCTTCGAATGGGTCGACGGTAGTCTTGTACAAGCAATGAAGGAGGGCAGCTTCTTTCTGCTCGACGAGATCTCACTTGCCGATGATTCGGTCTTGGAGCGCATCAATAGCGTGCTGGAACCCCAGCGCACCATTTTGCTGGCCGAAAAGGGCAGCATGGACGCCTCCATCGTCGCTTCCGCTGGCTTCCAATTCTTTGCCACAATGAATCCGGGCGGTGACTACGGAAAAAGAGAACTGTCGCCTGCGTTGCGAAATCGTTTCACCGAGATCTGGGTTCCATCGCTGTCAAGCCACGAGGATATCCTAGACATTGTTGATGCGAAAATCAATGTCGCTGCTAAGCCATTTGGTACTGCAATAGTCAATTTTGCGACATGGTTTCGGAGCAGGTATGATACGTCTGTCACCTCTTCGATATCTATCCGTGATACATTGGCATGGATAGATTTCATCAATGCCTACGCCAGTGTCGATCCAAGGGCCGCCTTTGTCCATGGTGCTGCCATGGTTTACGTTGACACGCTTGGTGCCAATCCTGCAGGTTTTATGTCATTGGCCATGTCAGACCTGGATGAAGAGCGTCAGATCTGCATTCGGAAGCTGGGCCAATTGGCCGCGCTCGACACTGTTGCCATTTACAACCAAAAGATCGATGTTAGCTCAGACCACACTCACTTCCGCATCGGCCCCTTCGGCGTTGCCAGAAGTCTCGTGCACGAGGGCGCAGATCCTCAATTTACCTTCGAGCCTACTACCACCAAAATAAATGCTTTACGAGTGCTGCGGGCTTTGCAACTCACCAAACCGATCATGTTGGAAGGCAGCCCGGGCGTCGGCAAAACCGCATTAATTACAGCGATCGCCGCCGCTGCCAGGATGCCCCTGACCAGGATTAATCTTTCAGATCAAACAGATTTACTGGATCTTTTCGGAGCGGATGCCCCGGTAGAAGGCGCTCAAACCGGGACATTCTCCTGGCGAGATGCACCATTTTTACATGCTATGAAGAAGGGTGAATGGGTGTTACTCGATGAGATGAATCTGGCCTCGCAAGCAGTGCTCGAAGGTCTGAACGCATGTCTTGACCACAGAGGAGAGGTCTTCATCCCTGAACTCGGACAAACTTTCACGAGGCATCCCGATTTCAGAATATTTGCAGCCCAAAATCCCCATCATCAGGGTGGCGGACGCAAAGGCCTACCGGCCTCATTTGTGAATCGGTTTACTGTTGTATTTGCTGACGTTTTCAGTGCAGATGACCTTGCGCTAATTTGTCGCCGCAATTACCCGACCATCGGGTTGTCGTACATCGAGAAAGTGGTGAGCTTTGTTTCTGACCTCACGACTGAAGTCTCTGAGCGCAAGCGATTCGGATTGGCAGGCGGCCCGTGGGAATTCAATCTCAGAGATGTCTCGCGCTGGTTGAGTCTTGCAGCCTCATCTCAAGGAGTCTTGAGTGCGGCGTCGCCTCGTGATATCGCGCAGATGCTTTTCACATCTCGCTTCCGCTCGACAGGAGATCAGGCCTGCGTAAATGATCTCTTTGCGACTATCTTTCCAGACGATGTGAATGAGTTTTCGCTCTTCTGCAACAGCTCACACTCGATGCTTCAGGTAGGTCTGGGAGTCCTCCCAAGAAATACATTGACCGCAGATTACCAGACGTTCGCTGCTCAGTCTTTGACCGGTGAACAACTTCGCGCCTTGCAATGGATCATGGTCTGTGTACAACAATGCTGGCCCGTGATACTGGTAGGGCCGACCGGCTCGGGTAAAACCTTGCTAGTTGAGCATTTGGCTGCTGTAACAGGCACCTCGCTTGTCACAATCGCGATGAATGCGGATACAGATGCGATAGACCTCATTGGAGGCTACGAGCAAGTTGACACAAGTCGGCATGCAACTTCCTCCCTGCTAGAATTCTGTAAGGCTCTCTCTCGATTCTGCAAAGATGTCATCATCGACGGCACAAGTTCCCAGATCGTTGAGATTCTGATTGCGCTCCAATCTGCCGAACTATGTCAGAGTGACCACAAGCGGTTGGCCGATCTTATACAGCGCTTACCAGCCACTTTGCGAGCGGACGCCGAGCATATACTCGAACTATTCTCGAATTCGGCAGACGCGGAAAAGGCGAGGTTCGAATGGGTTGACGGTCCTTTGATAGAGGCTATGAGTCTAGGCCAGTGGGTAGTTCTGGACAACGCAAACTTGTGTAGTCCTTCAGTTCTCGATCGACTCAATTCCTTACTTGAACCAAACGGTGTGTTGAGCATCAATGAGCATAGCAATGCCGATGGAACACCCCGCATCATCAAGCCTCATCCAAACTTCAAAGTGTTCCTCACTGTAGACTCGCGGTTTGGAGAACTTTCGCGTGCCATGCGCAACCGTGCTGTTGAGTTGCATCTTTCACCTGCGTATCCCCTGGTGCCACTGACATGCGAGCCTCTCGCCGCAGAATCAGCCATGGCACGATTTCGAGTTGTTGGCAGACATGCGTCGGATGCCAAGTTCACATCGACGGTCAACGGTTCAATCCTGCGCGATCATCTCGCTTTCAGCGATGGAGCTGCCGTGAAGGATTTCGGGCAAGAAATTGATCGCTCGCTGTTCTCCAGAAACATTCAATCGGAGGCTGGAACTGCTAACTTAGCCATCAATAGCTTTGTGTTTGATGAAGCAGTACTCGAGCAGATTCTATCATTCCATCAGGAAAACGCCGAAAACATGGGCCTTCCCTCAGACTTTGCATACGTCCAGGTTGGTTACCTTTTGAAGCACTGTTGTCTCCTTCTGCAGCTGACAGTACGTGTCCACTAGACCATCCATCCTCTCAACAATGAGTACTTTACAGGGCAATCCGATTTGGTTCGTCGACGAGCGTCAATCCTTTCCGCAAAACTTGAACTCGGTCTGATGTCTGGCAACCTTAAAAATCGCCTCAAATCGATGAAAGTGAACAAACAAGTAATAGACAGGCTCTCGCGTATCGCACGCCTGGACGGAAGGCAACTGAAGGATGCTACGATAAGAGATGCAATTGCCGCTTATGTTGATATGATTCGTGGCTGGATCTCAGATGCCGCCTCTGATCAAAATGATCATATTATCCTGGTTCGTAGAAATCCATGGTGGCTGGCATTTGGTATGTGGTATCCGTCACTGACATGTGTGGAACAGTTTCAAAACGCTGTCGTGGCTGCTCTTTCTTTTTGCGGTGTTGGCGTTGATCTCCTGGAATCGCCCCTACTAGATCAAGCGACTGTCAACGCCTATTGTGTCGCCGGCAGTCTCATGTCCAGAGATATCACCAAATTCGCAGCAAATGTCGAATCGCCGGTACTTCCTCGTTTGCATGACCATCTGGCGAGTGCAAATATCAACTTGAAATCAGGAACGGCCCATGCGAGTCTGGCACTTTACAGAACACTACAAGCTCCAAGCCCCGAAACAGTGCAACAGTTGGAAGCGTTGGTCACATTCGAAGCCACTGTCGACGACTTTGATGTTGCCATGCGTGACTCTCCTTTGTTCCTTACGCAGGCAGCCGACCTACGCGGAGCACTACTGCAATCGCTCTCATTGACCAACCTTGCACCCGACTTTCAATCGCTTGCGGACAAGATCAAGGCACTATTGCCAAAATCTCGAATGCCGGAAAATGCCAAGGACACGGTTCCCCTCTTCAAAGACACATTTGAAATTCTTTGTCAACACTTTGCTCGTTTAGCATTCCAGAGCACACAATTCCCGGAAACCACATTGGTCGCAAAAGTCGAAATTCTTGCAGGGCGTAGCACGCTGGCCAGTGTCGGAAGATACGTAGCAGCGGACACGCCCATGCCCGCTTGGCAGAGTTTCAAGCTGCTCGCTTTGAGTTCCCATAACGCAGGCGATGTAATCGCAGCCACTGGATCTGACGCTTCCAGCCTGTCCAGTATATCTACAAGCCTAATGCGGAGCCTCTCAGAAGTGGATCACGTCACATTAAGAAATCTATCTCTGCTAGAGGTAGAAAGCGGCGTGATTGGCCAATGCATTGCCTCCAAAGCCGATCTATTAGGTGTTAGCGAAGTGCGCGCCTTGGATATATGCCTGCGATCACTCGTCACAGGAGTCTTACGATCGCTACATACAGCTGAAGCCCACTCAGCTCTTGAGGATGTGGCAGATCGCTTGCTGAAGATGGTTGAAGCTAATTTACCATTCGAGCGACTTCCTCTCAGTTCTTTCAATCTGAACGGTACAATACAGCGCGCCCTTGAGAACGTCATGGTTGCCGTGGAATATCTTTGCAAAATCGGACAAACCGCATACGATCCTCGATCTGCTTCAGCCTGGAGGGCTTTCGCTGTGAGTTGTTTGCAATTTTACATACCGAGCTTTCGACTTGATCCAAGGCAAGTGTTTTCAATCTCCCGAACATCGTTTGAGTACCACAAGGATGAGTTGAGAAGCACGCATGCTGCTTTGCGGTCTTTCACAACGTCGTGGACAGGACAATCTGAGTCATTACGAGGGCGTCAAGTTGAAGGCCAACTCAAAGAAATCGGAAGCGGACCATCAATACCAAAAGGCTGCAGGCCAGAGGTCTCTGAGTTTGCTCAATTATCGTCTGAACTCGATGCACTGATGAGAATCTTGACGTCATTGGCTGAATTGCAAACCGATGATTCATATTCTATGGCATTAACAGAAGAGGTCTGCACTAACCTTTCAGTCATCCGGGAACGATTGATGCGACAGTATCGTGCATATGCAGACTTTGTGTCGCCGATCATCGGCTGTATCGATTGCTTGCAGGTTTCCAAGCACATGGCCAACAAAACGAAGCCTGATACGCTTCATAATGATCAAAGTGCTTCACTCGCAGAGATTACGCCGCTGGCGGGAGCGGAGCTTGCGGATTGGACGTCTGATGTCCAAATGACTTTGGCAGTCGCTGCATGCCGCTCGCAAGAAGAAAGGCTGTATTGGCTCGCTGTGCAGGGTGTTCGATCTTCTTTCGTTCCAGAGGGAGCGCTATCATCAAGCTTGCTTGTAGAAGTCGAAAACGTCTTCTGCGGCCTATACGAGATCTGGAAGAATCAACTGACTCGCGACCAAAGGCTGGCCGCCGCTAACTCTAGTATTTATAAATATCGTGGCGAGGACGACTCACAGGATGATCCTACTCCGGAGGATCTTCAAAGCATGTTCCCGCTGTTTGACGGTGAGCACAAAGTCCAAGATCAGGGAATCGACTTACCAAACAAAGCGCAAGACATCGTGGTTCAGGTCGCTCGCCTCTACCGAGCGTTCTATTCTGGGGGAATTGAGCGGCCCAAAGCTTTGATTGAATTACAGCTGAGCTTCGCTCAACTAGCTTCGAATCGAAATCTTACAAAAAATGAATCATCCACTGCACCGGGCTTGATCTGTGCCCTCGAGGAACTCAGAGGAAAACTGGACGGTCAGAAGGCATCTAAGCAACAGCAGAACATTTACCTCGATGCAAACATCAGTGAATGCAAAAAGCTGTTGCAGCTTATCAGCAAGGTTCGAACCCGCTTCAACGTCATCCACACCGCTTGGCCAGACCACGCAACCCCTATCGATGTGCTTCGCGCCTGCTCCGACATTGAAGATCTAAGTCACAGCCAACCATTGGCTAGTTTTATACCCCCAGTTGAAAAGCTACATGCAACAGTTGGGGAATGGCAGAAAGTGGCGAGCAAGGAGTTCTCCGCGCTCGAGCTCCTCGACAGTCTTACGGATATTGTCGTCAGCTGGCGCCAACTTGAACTTAGCACCTGGACGGGACTCTTTGACCGAGAGGATTATAATTGCCAGCGTGATGCTGCCTCGTGGTGGTATGTCGCTTACGAAAGTGTGATCCGCGCTTCCGAGGATCTAGGCAATGACCGTGAGTACCAACAATTCGCGCAACAACTTGCGGAGACGATCAGCCATTTTCTTGCACAATGCGGTCTAGGCGAATTCACCAGTCGTTTGAACGTACTTCGTGATTTCCTGGCAGATCTCACAATTCGGTCTCAGAAGCATGCATGCTATACAGTCATAAGGGATTGTCTTTCGGGACTAATCCACTTCCATGCTTACTTCGAACCTGCCGTCAAAAAACATCTCCTTCAGAAACGAGCAGACCTGGACAAACAGGTCAAAAACATCATTCAACTGGCAAGTTGGAAGGACAGAAACCTTGAAACACTCAAGACAAGTGCCAAGTCATCGCACAAAAAACTTTTCCGTCTGGTGCGAAAATACCGCAAGTTACTCTGTGAGCCCGTGGCACCATATATCCAGGGTGCTTTTCCAGACGAGAATTTGAGTAGCAACGAGGTGAATGGGGCACAATCGTTCGTCATTAAGCTTGACATCGGAGACCTTGGTGTGAACCCACAGTCTCGGCGATGGCATCAACAAGCCGCGCACCTCGGGCAGCTTGCTGCAAGTCATCGACAAGGACATTCAATCCCCTCAGCCACTCCTGATAGGATAACAAACGGTACTGAACTGGTCAGGGAGTGGCTGGCCGAGCTCCAAGCAGATATCACAGGGTTGCGAAAGGCCACTCCGAACATCCTCAACGAAGAGAACAAGCCGCAAATCCAGCAGCTCAAAGCACAGAAACGCCGTCTGCTTGCCGACGTCCTCAAGGACACGCGGACGATGGGCTTTCAAACAAACCTTAGTGAAGACGCTTTGTCTGGACAAAAGTCAATCCATGTTATTTTCTCGAGGACTTCCCCGTTACACCAGGTTGATTCGCACCGCCGCAAGGTCAACTTCGACTTCTACAAGACGCTTCACATCATGTCTGATGTTCGTTCTGCGGCATCAAAGCATTCGGATGATCTCACTCCTGCTGAAGTCGCTCGAGCAAGAACTTTGCTCGAAAGCATGTTGCAGGGCTCGATTCAGCAGCAAATCGCATTGACTGAATGTGCCAGAGACGTCACTCTACTCAATCGAACGCTCAACCATATGAAGACCTTTGCGCATTCTCACCGTCCATCGGCACGACGCACGAAGAATTTGAACCAGATCTTGATAGATGCGAACAGCATTGTCGAGGTCGCGCGAGCGTCGGCACACTGCGTCCAAGCTCAGAGCGTTCTCGCAAACAAGACCTATACTGAGATCATAGACTCTGTTGAACAAGAAGCAGCAATGATTGAGACGATCATTACAGGCCTCACGCCACTCCTCAACTTGCCGCGCAATATGGACGACGCACGTGTCAGAGAGCTCGAAGGCCGATTTTGTCTCGCGCTCCAAAATCTAAGCTCCATCGTCAATGAAGGCGTCCAGGCTTATACTGAGCTTGGTCCCACGCTATCGTGTCTCGGACGTTGGGCTAACCAGGCAGGTGTGATCGAGACACAGACAAGAGACGTTTCCTCTATCGGAGCTGAGCAATGGTCAAATACTCTGGGGCATCTTGCAGAGCAGGTACATGCATGCATCGAAGAAAATGATCGCGTCGGAAGCATCAAGGCTGAGAAACCGTTCGCCAAAGCATGGCTTGCCAACCAACGCGCGCATCTGGAGAAAAAGTTGAAGGCGCTGCAAATCCCTGACATTGCTCAAGAAATAACGACCCTCATGGAGAATGCCACAATGATAAGCGCCGAAGATGATTCCACTCTTGCGGAGTTAGCATCACTCACGAAGTTGCTACTCCCGATTCTGCAAGCCTATGCCACCACCATAGATTCGACATTCAGAGAAACGTGTGATATGCTATCCACTACCTGCATGATGGCTCATCAGCTTGGTCTACATTTCATACAGCTCGCGAACGACGGTTTCTGTGGCCCAGCAGAGAAGTCACAAGGCAAAGAACAGTCCAAAGACGTTGAGAGCGGCACTGGGCTTGGAGACGGCGAAGGCGCCGAAGACATCAGTAAAGACATTGCAGACGATGAGGATCTTTCAGAGCTTGCACAAGAGCCCAATACACAAGACCAGGACAATCCACTGGATGCCGAAAAAGATGCGGTCGACATGGCCGATGAAGAATTTGAGGGAGAAATGGACGATGGCGCAGATTCGCAGGACGACGAGACCGAGAAGGATGACCAATCTGAAGCTGATTTGGATGAAGAAGCCGGCAAGGGCGATGAATTAGGTGCTGAGGCAAATGATGAGAAAACATGGGAAGGGGACGAGCCAGAGACCCAGGACAAGGAAGGAGAAAACACGAAAGGGAAGAAAAGCGACGATATTGGTGCAGCAGCAGATGAAGATGACCAAGACGAGCAAATGCCCGAGAACGGTGACGATGCACTTGAGGAACCTGACGTGGAAGCAGATCACGAGGACACTGCTCCACCGAGTGAACTCGACCAGACCGATGCGCACGCGAAGGAAGAGCAGAACCTTGAACTGCCGGAAGACATTGTGATGGATGGCGACGACGCTTCTATTGGGAGCATCGAGTCGGATCTTGATGACGACATGATCTCAGAGAATGGCGATGAGCTGCACGATGATGATTCTGCAACGCCTAAAGCAGGCGCCGAAGACCCCGAGCAGCTGGAAGAAAATGATGGTGAACCAGAGGAAGACGTCAGTGAAGATCAGGATTCTAAGGACGAGATTGCAGAAAGCGCAAACGAAGGCAACGAAGAGTCTAAAGATGAGCCTGATGACATTGACTCGAATGTCGCCGCAATGGAAAGCAAAGATACCGCACCTCCAGACCCCACCGAGGCGCCGAATGCTGCCGATGCCGGACAAGGCAATGATGAGGATCAAGTCAACAAAAACGCCGCCACCGCTTCGACCACACAGGATCCAGAAGAATCCGAGCTGGTCGATCAGTCGATGGCCGACGCCGGCGACGCTGAGGGTCAGGAGGCCGGACAGGAGAAACAAATGCCTGGTCAGGCCGAGGGGCTGGACCGACCACAGACTTTACCTTTCAAGCAGTTGGGCGATGCTCTCAAGCAATGGTATGACCAACATCGTGAAATCGAAGCTGCGCAGGAAGACAAAGGCACGGATGAAGCGAACCCGAATCAGCTGGACACCAATGACCAGAGATTCCAGCATCTCCCAGACGAGAACGAAGCCGAAAATGATATGCAGGCCTTGGGCACCGCTTCTGCCGACCAATCAAAGTCCTTCGACAACGATAACGCTATCCAAATGGACGAGACTGATGATCCAAGCAATGTTGAGACGCCGCCAGAAAAACCACCAGCCGAACAGGGCGAAGACATTGAGATGCCCGACTCGAGCCTCCAACCAGATTTGAATGCGTCTGACTCACGATTGGATACCAAAGCGATGATCGGGGCCCGTACACAGGTTGACATGAGCGAGACAGACGAACATCGTCAAAACGATTCCGAGGATGAATTGGACGACGTACACGATCAATTAACCAACACGCATCTGTCTACGGACGAGGATTTAGAAGGTCTATCAATTGCTGATGCTCGTAAGATGTGGGCAGAGCACGAAGCACGAACGCGGACCATGGCCATCGTACTTTCTGAGCATCTTCGCTTGATCCTGAATCCCACCCAAGCCACAAAGATGCGTGGTGATTTTCGGACGGGAAAGCGCCTGAACATCAAGAAAATCATTCCTTACATCGCTTCGTCGTACAAACGAGACAAGATCTGGATGCGACGAGCAATCCCGAGCAAGCGGTCCTACCAAATTATGCTTGCCATTGATGATTCAGAATCGATGACTGAGCGAGAAAGCAAGAACCTGGCATTTGACACTCTGGCGCTGGTCGCTAAGGGCATGGCAATGTTGGAGGTCGGCGAGGTGTGCGTTGTCGGCTTTGGCGAAGAGATCAATGTAGCGCATGATTTCAGCATTCCCTACACGTCCGAAGCCGGCGCGGAAATACTTCGCCAATTCACCTTTGCGCAATCCAAGACCGATGTACGCAAGCTCCTCCAGGAATCAATCACCATCTTCCGCGAAGCCCGCATGCGAGCCACCGGTTCTGCGAGCGACCTATGGCAGCTACAATTGATAATCTCAGACGGAGAATGCGAGGACCATACCTCCATTCGCCAACTAGTCCGCCAGGCTCACGAAGAGCGAATCATGGTTGTCTTCATCATTGTTGATTCAGCAGCCCGCAACACAGCGGATGCGACCAAGCAGAGCATTCTCGATCTGTCCCGAGCGGAATTTATCAAGGACGCCAACGGCGAAGCGCAGTTGAAGATGACCAAGTACCTCGACACCTTCCCATTTCAATACTATTTGATTGTGCGGGATGTTCTTGAATTGCCGGGTGTGCTTGCTGGAGCCCTCCGTCAGTGGTTCGCGGAGGTTGTCGACGCTGGTGTATAGACTATGGAGTGTTCCGATACTTTCCTTTGTTTGATAGACATCAATGATAGCGTGATAGCGAGTTTACCACATATATGAATTGCTTATGCACAACCGTTTGACAGTGACGCATGTCAGAGATAATATATAAGGCCATTAGCAATCGGAGGAGTTACTGCATCGAGCTGCATGATGGCGCGTTTCTGCCGGCAGACGAAGCATGTCCATGTGTACTCGAAATTCCGGATCCAATGCTCCACGAAAAGCCATTCGTCCGAGCGCCACAGCCACCAGATAGTCGCCGCGAACGATTCGCCTTGCTTTTATTATATTGCCCTTTTTCGTTTGGCTGCAAGAAACAATACTGCAAATAAGAGCGAAGATTAGAGCCATAAATCAAGATGCCGTTCACGTCACCGGAGTGGGTACCGACGGTGCAAGATGCCGATATCCCATCTTCAATCAGCCTGGACCGTTTCATGCTTTCAGAGCAGCATGGGCGTCACCCCCTAGGCCTCTCACGACCACCATTCACATGCGCTCTGTCCGGGAAGTCCTACAGCGCGACACAGCTTGCCGAGCGCGTCGACCATCTCGCTCGGGCGCTCTGCGATGAGCTCGGCTTCGATCCGCACAAAGGGTCTGAATGGGAGAAGGTGGTCGCTATTTACAGTCTCAACACAATCGATTACACGACTGTAGCATGGGCTGTGCATCGGATTGGAGGTATCTTGACTTGTGTGAGCGCGGCGTACAATAGCGATGAAGTTGCATTTCAGCTCCGCGACAGTGGCGCCAAGGCGGTTTTCACCTGCGCACCTTTACTGGAAACGTGCAAGAAAGGCATCGCGGCGAGCTCATCTCCGGGCAGCAAAGTGTTTATCCTGCCGCTACCGGAAGAGGTGACGCCTCCGTCGGTGAAGACCGATGGCCTCAAGACGATTGAAAATCTCATCCAGCATGGCTCTACCTTGCCTCCGATCCGGCCCTCAGATGAATCGTGGAAAGCAGGCGAAGGCGCGGAAAAGATCGCTTTCCTCTGCTATAGCTCTGGTACCAGTGGTCTACCGAAGGGCGTGAAAATTTCACACAAGAACTGCATTTCGAATATCCTCCAGATGACAGCTTACGAGAGTCTCGACCGCAACAAACAGATCCAGGCAACGGGAGATAAAAATTACACGGAGAGCTGTCTAGGTAAGGATATCCCAGTCCTGCAGCTTCTAACATTCGATGCTAATAATGAATCCGAGGCCTTTTGCCGTTCTCTCATATCTATGGGCTGATCGTGCTGATCCACGTCGGGCCCTACCGCGGCGATGGGGTCATCGTTATGCCGAAATACGACTTCACAGGAATGCTCCAAGCCATAGAAAGATACAAGATCAACATCCTATACCTCGTCCCGCCCATGATCATCCACATGACCAACCAAAAAGCCGCCAGCAAAAAGTTCGACCTGTCGAGCGTGAGGGCGGCCTTCTCAGGAGCCGCTCCGCTCGGCAGCAGCACCGCCGCCGAGCTCAAGGAGATGTTCCCCGACTGGGCCCTCCGACAAGGATACGGCTCGACCGAGTCCTGCACGGTCGTCACCTCGACCGCGACGCACGACATCTGGCTCGGAAGCGTCGGGTCCATCCTCCCGGGCATGACCGTCCGGCTGATGGACGCCGACGGCCAGGAGGTCACGGGCTACGACCAGCCGGGCGAGCTCTGGGTGAAATCCCCCAGCGTCGTACCCGGCTACCATCTCCGGGAGGGCGCGGACAAGGAGACTTTCGTCGACGGGCCCGACGGTCGCTACCTCCGCACGGGCGACGAGGCCGTCGTCCGCAGGAGCCCGCTCGGCCACGAACACGTCTTCATCACGGACCGCATCAAGGAACTGATCAAGGTGAAAGGCTACCAGGTCGCGCCCGCCGAGCTGGAGGCGATCCTCCTCACGCACGAGGCGGTGAGCGACTGCGTCGTGATTGGAGTGTATTCGGAGCGGGAGGGCGAGGTGCCCAAGGCGTTCGTCGTCCGGGCGCCCGGCTCGATCGAGGAGTCGGATGTCGTGGTGAAGCGGAGCATCATGCGGCATGTGCAGAAGCAGGTCAGCAGGTACAAATGGCTGGCGGGCGGGATCGAGTTCATCGATGCCGTGCCCAAGTCCCCGAGCGGCAAGATCCTCCGCCGCCTGATCCGGGACCAGGAGAAGGCCAAGGCGAGGGAACGGGGAGCGAAGCTCTGAAAGTCGGGTGTCGATAGCTGAATAGAAACGTCGCTTCATCTGACTCTCCCCTTTTCTGGAACCGATGACCCTAAACGCAAGGCGGCAGAATATCAATCATCGGTAAGCGGCAGTATCTTGAGTCATCGGAGTCACCCGTCCGATTTCTCGGATACCTTTTGATACAACGTGTGATATGTTGGGGTGATAATGTAACTCTGGCCAAGCAAAATGTACCATGCCAGCTACATGCCAGCTGCATGCCAGCTGTGAGGATATGACTTTCTCCCCGGAAAACGTACAGACACGACAGTATTGCAAAATCAGTAAGTCATGTGTGAAATTGATGGAGTAATTGTCATAATTCGTGTGCTTCAGAAATGAAGGTAGTGATTCAAATGGTGACATTTATGTGCCGATCTATCAGTTTGAATGTGCAGGAACAGAATGGTTTCTATCGCTGAGCTTTGGTCTAGCGAGGATGTTGTACAAGAATTGATTAAATGTACTTAGTGAGTTCGCTAATGAGTTTACGTGACAACAATAGGATGTCCGTCGCTCTAGCATGCCTGCGAGACTGTTAGCATTGATGTTCTAACGTGCTTTGAGAAAACATGGTACTCACGTTCTGAGCGTAAAGAGCGTTGCCAGACGCGTCAAAGACACCGAAGGATGGGTTGGCATTGTAGTCTTGGGCCGCATACCAGAAAGCTGAGGAGATGAAATTAGTATTTCGTTTCCGATGTGCGGGATCGCGATATACAAAACTTACTGTCAACGTTTTGCCGGAACAGAGCGCAGGCAACCTGGTTCCAGTAGGTCTGGGCGTTCTGCTGAGAAGCGACGGAGGGGCCGAAGTTGGCACCGGAGACGGGGTGACCGGTCTCGGTGACCCAGACGGCGGCTCCTGACCCAATGCGGGAAACCGCGTCACGAGTTTGCTGCAGACTCGAGAAGAAGGAATCGAGGGCACCCTCGATCGGGACGTTCTGGAAGTAGGGGTAGGCGTCGACACCGACGAAGTCACAGGCCTGGATGACAACAGCGTTCTGTCCATCGACCCAGACGTTCCTAAATCACACATGTCAGTCTGTTTCGTTCTCCCTTCTACACTGAAGAGGAGCGATCTTACCATGTGTCGACGTGACCGACGGCAGCGTTCACACCTTGCGAGCGGACCATGCCTCGCACGTCGTAGATGCGGGTGGCCAGCGTGCCCGGGTCGATCTCGTTGGTGTGCTGGTACTGCGCGCGGTAGAGGTCCTCACTGCCGACGGAGATGGCGGCGATCCAGCTCGAGCCGTACTGCTGAATGGCGTTGTACAGAGCATCCTTCTCCCGGCTGAAGTGGCCATCATCGGTGACCCAGACACCGACGAGGATCTTGATTCCGGAGTACAGCGAAACGGGCACAACGTTGGCGAGGGTGTTGCAGTCGGAGGAGGCGTATACCCGCACGGAGTCGATGCCTTGTGGGAGGGTCTTCAGCTTGTTGAAGACGTCGATCCAGTCCTGTAAGCTTCGGCAGGAGCCATCCTCATTGTTGGCTCCGACGTTGAAACCTAATAATAACGAATTAACTTCAGCCAAGGACATGTAGATGATGAAGCCGAAGCCAATTACCTTTGTAGGCGGCAGTTGTGAAAGGAAGCGCGGCTGCTAGCGCGGTGAAGACGGTGGAGAGACGCATCGTTGTATATAGTTGTATATTATCGTTATATGCAGATGAGCGACTGTGTTGGTATGCTGAAGAAATGGGGAATGGTAGATGCCACGCGAGCAATGTCTCTCTGTTGATGCAGGTGAGAACGAAAGATTGATGGAACAGATGCAATATTTATTATGGTTGAGCGAATGATGATGAATATATATATACCCGAAAAGAACCTGGAAGAACTTGTCTTGCGCACGTTTTCTACAGTATGTTCGTTGAGGAAAAGAGAACCATTCATTCCCTGTGTGTGTTCTCCACCACACTACTGCCGGGGCTTCCTATTTTGTGAAGCAATACGAAGGCGTACGTCATTCGCCTCTCTTTATTTAGCAGCAGCCGGAACTAATGGATGACACGGTATCATACATACAGTATTCCAAGGTTACTTAGGTGTGATCATGGGTATCATAGGGGCATATTGATGATCATCTTCTCCTCGTCGGAAGTCTCGTTGAAGTCGCCCGATTCTTCCGTGGTTACATGCACACGACGACAGATGATACCTCACCACTGCTATACCTAAATATACTCAGCACGACATTGACAAGGACTAGTGACGATCTCGGGAATGTTGCATCCCTTTCCCGTCCACGAGCCTCTTTCTTTGATATGGCAGTCCGGTCTGTTCATGTTATCCACACGTCGGCACTTTCGCATGTTGTGTCTGGCCGATGCTCTACAGGTGATGATAGAGCCTGGAGGGCTTACCGTCGTGTGGTCGTAGAGCCCGGCTTGGACAGATCACTTACGCAGTCTCGGACTGGGCGCCAGTACCGCGGGTAAGACATTCTTGTCGGCAGTAAGGTCTTGTATAGCCTCGAGTGATCCTACTCAATATTTACAGGACCTGGACCGGTTTATCACATACGATTACTCACCAACCTACACATCTACACCTATATACTGTAGTATGAGTACTATGCACGGATGCCACTCGACAAAAGCCACATGCGTGCCGCAGCTTCATCCATCAGAGATCAGATCCATTCTTGCAGTTGAGCGCATCACGGATGTTCAATACAATGGACGCCACGGCCTTCACGCTCCGTACACCCGGGATGAGACGGATTGAAGTGCTTGGTATATGTAGGGTCAATGGATACATATAACGACGTGCTAGACTCGTGAGCGTTGCTCAGTCTCGCTGCCGTCGCACCACGTTCGCACTCTTGAGAGGTGACAACAGTAAGTTACCTCCAGTACCTGCCCACTTACCTAGATGCAAGTTTTAGCGGGCAGTGGAGCCTACTGTATTCATATTGTTCAGGCGTCTTCGAATCGGACTGAGGTTGCATTAGTCATGCGCATGTTGAGTATCTACAATAATATCATCGCCCACTCTCGGGCGTTTCAAGGCACTGTCTTGATTGCGAAAACGTGAAGTTTTCCAGAGATGCTCGCTCGGGCCTCGCCTCGCCCAGAATGGCCACTGAGGCAGAGAGTCGCTCTAGCAATCCAACGCGATGAGGATTGGCCCGAGCCAACAGCGTTGGCCGTCACCTTGCGGAGTTCTCCTCCGAGCATACCTAGTGTCATGGGGACAGGCGCCTGCAATCCTTCCGATATCCTTGGTTTGATGCGTTGGGAAGTGGCACCTCGTCAGATGGACTGCGCCTTTCAGGATTGTCCAATCGCTTGTTGTGATAGCCACGCAGAATGCATATGTATGCTTGGAATAGATTCCACTTCTGCATGCACATGCATGTGTGCGGCGTCCGACACCAATATGGAGCCATATCACACAGCTTTGAGTTCTGAAAGCACATCGTCCTTGCAAGGTTCAGAAACTCAAATGAAATGGGGTCTGAGCATCGCCCATTCCACGAACAACTTCCAATTCCAAGCATTTGTCCCGTCACATCATACCCAAAGGTGCTCTCTGACATTTTAAAACCCACCGAACGGCCATCTCACCAATTCATCAACATTATCGACCAACATGGCAACTACAGGCTCCTTGAATGGTCTGCAGTCTGACAAATCCGCCAAGCGGCTGAAACAGATTTCTGCCCTGCGTGGTCTCGGTATCGACAACAGTATCGACCTGCCGCAGCTTGTTGTCTGCGGCGATCAAAGCTCTGGCAAGAGTTCAGTCCTCGAGGGTTTGACAGGCATACCCTTTCCTCGTGACGACGGTGTCTGCACAAGGTTCCCGACCGAGATCATCATCACTCATGATGAAACACGTCCGCAAACAATCACTGCCAGTATCATTCCATTTTCCAATACACATCGCCCCAGCGAGACCTTGAAGAGTTTGAAGGACTTCAATCGCAGCATTACAACCTTTGAGCAATTGCCTAAGACTATTGCAGAAGCCGGGTCGCTCATGGGCTTGCGAGGTTATGGTGAGAAGAATGAAGATGGGCCATCCTTCGGGCGGGATGTGCTCCAGATCAAAGTCAGTAATCAATCTGGTCAGCACTTGAGTATTGTGGACCTTCCCGGTCTCATCTCTGTGGCAAGTGATGTGCAAACCGAGGCAGACGTGGAAATCGTGCACCAGACGGTCACTTCCTACATAGAAAAGCCTCGGACGATTATTCTTGCCGTCGTCCAGGCCGGTAACGACATTGCCAACCAGAGCATCATCAAGGAATCGAAAAGGTTTGATAAGTCCGGTGAGCGCACAGTCGGCATAATTACCAAACCGGACTTGATCAACCTCGGCACCGAAGCGCGGATCGCGGCACTCGCCAACAATAAAGACACAACCAAGCTGCAGCTCGGCTTTTTCATCGTCAAAAATCCTTCGCCGTTGGAAATACAGGCGAAAATCACGGCGACCGAGCGAGAAGCGAATGAGCAGAGATTTTTCCAATCACCGCCATGGAAAGGGAGACTTGACTCAGAGAAAGTGGGCATCATCAAGTTGAAACAATACCTGCAAAAACTGCTCGATAGCCATATCGAGAAAGAGCTCCCAAAGGTCCGCCACGACATGAAGACGAAGATTAGGACGGCTACCGATGCCTTGGCCATGCTCCCTGTAGATCGACCGACCCCAGCGGACAAACGGATCTTTTTATCGGAGCTTGCCGGCAAGTATCAGAGATTGCTGAATGCGGCGCTGAATGGTGAATACGGGTCAACGGGAGGAGATTTCTTTGCGGCCAGTGGCCACGACATCGGGCCTACAAGACTTCGCGCTTTGGTTCACGACGTCAATACCGATTTCGCTGATTACATGCGAGAGAAAGGCCGTACGACGTTTCTGCGCTCTAAATCATCTCCATCGGAGCGCGTCCCCGCGTTCCCCGAGAAAGACAAAAGAACTCGCCGAGCCCCGCAACCGAGTATTTGGACTGATGATATCCATGACGATGAAACACAGAGACACGAGCAGTCGCATGATCGGTTCGAAAACGGTGTGGATGGTGGAGGAAAGGTGTCAGATGGAAGCAAGGCGCATGGAATGAATCCCTCGTATGATGAAGAACTGTATGGAGTGAACAGCATTCATCCAGAATATGATGATGATGTCACATTTCTCACCGAGGATCAGATGAAACTCTGGGTCTTGCAGGTATGTCTTTATCCTGGCACGACGTTCACTGGTCCATCATTGACAATGCCTAGATGCACCGCCGATCTAGAGGCAAAGAACTGTCTGGGAACTTCAACGCCGTGCTCCTGGCCGAGCTTTTCCACCACGAATGCCGCCGATGGGTCAAGATCGCCTCGGCCCACATTGAACAGATGTACTCTCTCCTTATCGAATTTAACCAGATTCTGCTGGATCACCTGCGGATGGAACCTCGTGTGCAGAATGAAATACATGACCGCATCCAGACAAACCTACAGAGCGCATTGGACAGTGCTCATACCGAACTCAAACAATTGTGGGAGGACGAATCGCTGCAGCCCATCACTTACAATCACTACTACACTGACAATGTCCAGAAAGCTAACCTGGGCGAGGCCAAGCGGCGAGTGAAAGCCGCAATGTCTCTCAATGGCGCAGCCAAGAATCCTTCGGAAGATGAGAATGGCGAAAACCTCAAACCGATTACAGTCGCAGCTTTGTTCGCGGCCATGGAGGAGCGCCTAGTGGTCGACATGGACGAGCAAGCCTGCAAGGAAGCACTCGCTAGCCTCGACGCGTACTACAAGGTGGCGATGAAGACCTGGGTCGATAACGTCTGCCGACAAGTCATCGAGCGACGCCTCCTCCGCATTCTGCCCAGCATCTTCTCGCCTCAGCTGGTGGCTGGGTATTCAGACGAAGAGCTCGATGCCATCGCCGGGGAAGGCTTCGACGTCGTGGAAAAGAGGAAACAGCTCAAGCAGGAGCTCCAAGGTCTGCAGGCTGGAATGGATATCCTGAAGAGGTGAAGATATGGTCAGGCGGAGCTGATCTCGCCGGGCCGTCGCCGTGGGAAGTCTGCATGTGCATCGCCGGCGCGTGTGAGGTTCTCACAAGTCTGACGGGGAATCCACGTCACATGTATCGACTTCGTGCTCAGGAAATGCAGTAAAGGCCATGTCAAGTGTTTGAATGTGTGGTTACAACAGCGAATTCGATAGCAAAAAACAGTTGCATTTCCGATGACGATTGACTTTGATGGTATAACGCGTGCGCCCAGAGAATCCATTCATTACCTGCCCCGACATGTCGCGTATCGTACATGAAAACTTCCCCTCGCGCCTTACTTGCCACTGATCTGGCCTTCGACAAAGTCCAACGCCTGCTCTCGGCTGACGACATCGATACTACTGGCCTTGCTCAAGTAGCTGACGCCGTAACATTTCTCCGCGACGAGGAGCATCTCCGGTCGGAAGGTCGTGCAGATGAATTGGCCCGTCTGGCTGCTCTCCTGCAGCAACTGCGCGACAGCCGTACGGTACTGCGCGTCGAGATTGGCGTCGATCTCATCGAAGAGGTAGAAAGGCGCGGGATCCGATGCCTGGATGGCGAAGACCAGGGCCAAGGCACAGAGGGACTTTTGCCCGCCGCTGAGCTGCTGGATGCGCTGCTGTTCGTCGTGCTTGCTGTTGAAGGAGACGGAGATACCGACGCCGATGTAATTTTCTACACCGGTACGCTGGCCGGCTTCGTCGTCGCTGTCTTCGTCGGCGCCATTGGTTTGCCGGTCGATGCGGCGCTGGATAATCAAACGACCCTTGCCAGCCGGGACCAGGCGCTCGAAGATGGTGGCGAATTCCTTGCTGACTTGGCGGAAGGTACGCTCGATGGCTTCGTCTTTGCGCTGGTCGAGGACTTCGATGAGCTCGCGAATACTGGCGTCGCTGCTGTCGAGCTCCTGGCGACGCGTCTCGAGGGCTTCGCGCTGCTTTTCGAATTGAACGTACTGCTCAAAGGCTTTCTTGTTGACGTGACCGTATTTCTTGAGGGCTTCCTGAGCTTTGTGTAGTCGCGTCTGCGCTGTGTTGAGGTTCATGTTCTGGTATTGAGCTGTGAAGGCGGCATCAGGCAGGGCTCCAAGACTGTTGATGTGGGTCTTGAGCTCGTTGATTCGGTTCGTCAGACCAGCTCGTCTTTGCGCGCCCTTTTCTATCGACCGCTGGTAGTTTTTGATCGCTTGATCAAGACGCTCCACTTCGGCTCTCTGGTTTGCGCGCTCGATTTCGACTGTGGAAAATTCTCCTTGTGCCTTTTCGATGGATGCTTCAATCTCCTTCAGCTTGACATCAATATTGCTGAGACTCTTGCTCGCTCTCTTGAGATCCGCCTGCCTCTCCTTCATCTTGGCCGTGAGACTGCTGCCGCTTCTGGCATCGCCTGTCTCGGCATCGAACGATTGCAGCTGATCCAGTCGGGGACGTAAGTTTTCCTTCAATTCCAGCTCAATGGTTGTCTTCTGTTCCGACAGGCTGGAGAGCTCACTGCTTGCAGCCGCGTGCTGCTTTCTAAGATCAGGAAGCTGGGTATTGACGGTGTCTAGCTGCTGTTCCTCTTGAGCACTCAGCGCTTTCTTAAAGTCGCTGGACAATTCAGATTGATATGCACTGAGTTGAGCGCTGAGATTCATCATCAAAGCCTCCACCTGCTCGCGCTGATGCTGTTTGCGCTCAAGCTCGTCGCGGCGACTATTGAGATCAAACTCTCTCCTTCTGAGCTCCTCTCGAAGGGGGCCGTAACCATTTTCAAGCTGGTTTCGCTTCTGCTCGACTTTTTGCAAGTCACTCATGGCCTTGGTCACACGTTGGTCGATCTGTTGTAGGCCTCGTCGAACTTCGTCTCTGCGTTCACTGATCCGATCTAGTTCGTCTCTCGCGAGCTTGTACCTGACAATACCGTCAAGACGCGAGTTGCGGTTATCATGGTAACCACCAGTCAAAGCTCCCTTGCGATCCGATCGATCACCGCCGGGTGTGATGGCACTGACACCATGACTTCGAGCGTATTGTGAAGCGACCTGAAGATTGGGGCACACGATAGTCGAGCCAAATACTTGTTGCATCGACTTCTCATATGCGGAGTCAAACTTCAGCTTCGAGATTAATGCAACAGCATCACTAGCTTTGGGTAAGTTGGTCTGTTTCGGGTTGAGGCGATTTAAAGGTGTGAATGTCAAGCGTCCGCCCTTCTCCTGCTGAAGCAATTGAATGAGTCGCTGGGCTGTCTCATCCGTGTCCACCACGTAGTGGAAGAGCGACATTCCGGCAGTGACTTCAACGGCAGTCTTGTATTTCTCATTGAATTCGAACAATTCTCCGATGGGACCATATGCTCCTTCAATTTCATGTTGTTGCACAATTCGGCGGATAGATTTGAGACCGCGCATAGTGTTCTGGTCCATCATCTTGCCGAGTGCGATCTCCGCCGTATCGAATTCTTGCTGCGCATTCTGGTAGACACTGCCTAGCTTCGCCTCCTCCCTCCACAGCTCTTTGCGTTCATCAAGAAGACGGTCGCGCTGCTCCTTCGCTTGCTGGACTTCGCCCGAGATATTTTGCTGCTCATCTCCACGATTTTCGATGCGATCCCGCATTTCGGCAATGTCGCTTTGAAGTCGTTCAATGTTCTGCTCGAGTTCGTCGGCCTCCTCCTTGTGCTGCATTGACACAGATTTACGTGTCGCGGAGCTCTTGTGTACATCTGCAATTTCCCGTTGAAGCCATTCGTCGCGTTCTCGCTTTGTGCGAAACTGGGCTTGACGGCCCTGTTTTGCGTATAAGCGCTGCCTGGTTGCTTCTGCGGTCTCCATCTGAAGCTTGAGGGCACGTTCGTTTTCCCGCCTTGCGTTGAAAGTCGGCAGGATCTTTGCAAGATCGGCTTCTCGTTGCTTGATTTGTTTCTGTACCGCGCGGAGCTGTTCGCTACGCTCAACGATCGCCTGTTGGGCAGCATTCTCATTGTCGGCCATGCCCTGGACGTCAGACTCCGCCTGGGCTTTGCTTCTAAACAGCTCAATTCGCTCTTCTTTATACTGAGCTTTCTCTTCGCTTAGTAGCTTCATCTGTTGTCGCAGCTCGGCGATTCGCGCATCGACCGATTCCAACTGCCTTTCGCTTTGTTTGAGGGCTTCACGGTTGTCGTCGGTCTGTTCAACACCTCCGTCGAGTTCGTTATTGAGCCTTTGAAGTTGTTCCTGCAGACGCTCCTGCTCGCGGTGGTTTATCGTGTAATCGAGGCATTTTCGTTCTCGTTCCCGCTCCTGAAATTGTCGAAGCTCTTCTTTCTCCTCTTCCAACTCTCCTAACCGTCCTCCGATCGTCTCCAACAAATCGTCAATCTTGGACCGTTTATGGTGTGTTTCTTCCATGATCCGTCGAGATTCAGCTCTTCGCGTCTCGTATACCTCGGTTCCCGCAACGGTCTTCAGCATGTTGAGTCGTTCGTAGTCTTTCATGTTCGTGATGGCCGTGACACGTCCTTGCGGCACAATATAGTATGGGTTGCTACGGCTGAAGCCCGCGCTTTCAAGAATGTTCATGATCTCGTTCTTCGTAGTATTCTTGCGATTCAAGCTGTATTCATCCTTTTTCTGGTTGATCGATCGCCTTAACACGACTTCAGGTGTATTGGTGGGAAATCGATCATCACTATTGTCGAAAATGATCTCGACGTATGCACTCATGACAGCAGATCCTGCACCTTCGTGAAGTAGACCCTGACGCTCCTCGCGACCAAGCTGAGTGTATTTGTCGCTGAGAACGAATCGAATGGCAGCAAAGAAGTTGCTCTTGCCAGATCCGTTTCGCCCGACGATGACATTGTGCTTTGGCGAGAACGGCTCGATGACAGTCTGATCTTTGTAGGACTTGAAGCCCTGGATGATGATCTGTTTGATAAACATGGCGCAGGTGTTGCGCGATGGCGCGCGGTCGAAGTACTTTGTTTGCGAACGCAGATGAGAGATATGTTCTTATTTCAATAAATCCGAGCGCATCATGTTCACAGCAAGCGTTTGTGTGGTGGTGAGAGACGCGTCAACGCGCGTGTTTGGCGGGGCGGAAGTCGTCAAGTGCACGGACATGCGACCTCAACTACAGGACATTCAAACATGAACTGTGAACGCTTGAGATTTTAAAAATTCACTTTGCATGGCATGGCAGTGCGGTAATATCGACTTTGAAAAATGAAACGTTCGACGAATACTAATCTCATCATTCAAGACATCGAGACTGCGATTATGGATATTCTAAGACTGTAGCTGCGAGATCACCTCGACCTGGCACAGTGATTCTTGTAGTCATCCACGATCGTTTCAATGACGTTTATTCGCAGAGGGTCCCCGATCAGTCATGATGCTGGGCCAGGACTGGACGCATCATCAAATTTCTTCGCAGCCCATCAATCCCAGGCGACAACATGTTGATGTGATCTGGAGAAGGAGCCTTCCATGACTACTATGCATGACGCCTTGCTCGATCACTTACCAAAGTGCTCGCCTCACAAGTATCGCTCACAGTTGAGAGGGAGGTGTGGTTGAGCGGCCGGCGATCAGAATAACTCCGAAAATGTATGATGGCCCCCAACAAGTGCCCATCATACATGCCCTTCGTATAGCCTCGAGTCGTGGCACGTGAAATATGCGGGTCGTTAGAGCAACGACATGAATCATGGTGACCTTTCACTGTTTGTGCTTCACATGCACCACCTACCCGATCCTTGCTGCGTCCCTGCACTCCGCCTCGCACGAGTTGAGTACCAAACACGGAGAACTTGCTAGGGATAATTTGTAAGATAGCACGTGGCGGAGATCGTGACTGGCACGTCCATAACGTGTGTGGAAGTGACCAAGAATGGTGCAAAATTGGCACAAACCATGGGGATGGCACTGAAACAGCGGTTAAAGATCACTGTTCCATATCGGTGGCTGATGGTGACTGTTGACAAGGACAAGGAGTAGCAAACTTGCACAGGGGGCGTTGCCGACGGCGGACATCCAGAGTAAGAGTCTGTTCTCGAGTCGCATTCTTGTTCTGGTCCATGGTGCAGAGCAAGCACAGGCAATACAAACCGTCATAGAAGGACATCTTACAGATCTCACGGGTGTTCACGGATCCACTATGTATCCTGTTTGTTCGTTGGGGAGAGTCACTCGTCGAAGTGTGTGTTCCTGTGCACCTCCGGTAAGCGATCGATCGAGATTCGTAAGATAGGGGTATCTAGCATGCTTTCAGGGCAATAATTCTTTCAATAATTGATGGGGCGAAGTTTTGGATCTATGCCAGGGCCGGGTTCATGGCAGATTGTGACTCGATAGTCTTCTTAGTTGGTCTGGAGGATCTGGTCGTCAAAGGGCGCTGAAGCATGTGCGGATTCATGGCGGTTCGCTGAGGCGCCTGAGCCATGGCATCGGCATGGGGAACGTGGCCAGATCGATGTGCGTACATCTGGCACCGAAATTGCCGCAAGGAGCCCAGGTGTGACCTGCCAAATTGCGGATGTATGGATGTTGAGCCTTTGTGTGCGGATGTGTACCCTTCCTCATACGGCATGGAAAATTGTGTGTCGCCGTGAACAGAAATTTCCAGAGCAGCTTTTTGGTATCAGAGTCAACATTCGACCTTGAAGCTATGCTTCTAGGAAGGGAGAGACTTGTGGGTCCTCACAATTGCGGAGCAAGACTTGTTGCGAATTTATTCCGATGCGGCATCAACACCATGCCTGCATCTCCCAGCCTTGCGTGCCATCGCGCTAGAATACTGTGCATATTGCAAGTCTATCACAACATCATGCACCAGAAACAAAGCAGAACATCGGATTTCGTGAAAAGCCCCTTGTCTCGTGATGGGATGTGGCCGCAATGCCTCGACCTTTTTGAGCAGATCATTGTGAATGGAGCCTGACGGAAAGGTATCACGAATGTATTGGTCGGACTGAGTGTTCCCTGGAAAGAAAGCAGGGGCGAAATTTACAGCCCGCTGTGTGTTGTTCGAGGCAGCGGAACCCCGAAAGCCCAATTGACGCTGTTTGATTTGATCTTCCAAAGATTAGACGTGCTGTGAATTGTAATCAGGCAAGGAGACTGCCAGTACATCGGGCTTGCACGGGAGGTCTAATAGACCCACAACGTCGGGTATGAGGACGGGATTTCGACGACAGGTCAACTCACTTTGACTTTCCGTCAATTTGGATTGTTGACGCCTCGATGGTTTGGTGTTGTTGTGAGACTCTCGTGTAATTCCGATTTTCGTTCGAAGTACCGCCGAATTGGTCCACTTGCATTTCACGCTTGTTGAGGCAGGAACAAAACACAACATTGCTGTTTCACAACATGGGCATCGCAAAGCAGTAGCAATGTGTAGTTTAGAATTTGTTCTGTCTGCGTCACTAATCCGAATGCGTGGCTTCAAGATGAGATGCGATCTTGAGCGCCCTGTGGGATGTACTGTACCATGCGGAAGAACGTGCTGCGTTACGGTATGTCAACATACTGTTGAATTCTTTGTGAGGTCGTCACAGACAACAGCGGTGTTGCACAAACTGGCGCATTGTCGTTCTGCCACGCTGTGACATGTGGACAAGGTCCAAGAAATACACTCCCGAAGTGACACGTGTGACACATGCACCATGATTTCTGTCGTCAGTGCATAGCGCGCACTACACCTACCTTAGACCATCAACCGGCCGGGCAGATCTCACAGTCCCTGATGTTGTATGTCCGGCACGTCAGCATATGCGCCGCAGATGCAAAATTGTTGAGCCAGAGTTGTCATTTGGAAGTTGAAGTGGTACGCGGATACGATGCCGGGTCAGGATGGCGGGGATGAAAACTCCGGAAAGAGAGCCACATAATGTTGAGAGCGGTCTGCCAGACGTCGACCCGAAGCTATCGATAAGACGATGCCCGAGCGGAGATCGCTTCCCATTCATGGAAATCCGCCGTGTCCTACACTCTCGTATGGAACCACGGTTTTGGGAGTCATCGGAGCGCTGGGAGAATGACTGCCATCTCAATGTTCTATTTATTGCATATTGGCGGTGCCGTTGGTCAGTCAGCATAAGCGCTGCACTTGGAGAATGATCCGAGACTTCCTGCCCAAGAGGGCAATAATGGCGGTTGAGAATGGCCGCCGCTGGTTGAGAAGAAACCTTGGAGGCGAGCGCGATGCTCTTGCCTGGTGCTGCTCAGACGGTTCGTGAAGTGTTACTACGGGCGTTGGGAAGCTGGGCGCGTATGTTCAGTCCAATCTTGGAGAATGACGCCTAGCTGCTCAGGTGTGATGCAGTATTCACAAGTAGCGAGCAGACGTGTAGACGAGCAAGGACTTGATAGAAATACCATCTGATTGAGCCAGGTGACGGTTGCGAGTCGTTTCATCACTGATGATGTTCATGATGATACTCGCTCTGAGTCGAGGTGACACTGTCCAAGCGACGACCTGCAAGTGACGAGCACTTGGCGAACTGGCAGGCGTGACTACACCTGCTAATAATCTTTCTGAAGCGCCGGAATGGTGATGTGAACGACAATAATGATAATTAAAGGCGTGCTATGTCAACACGTAAATTCGTTTCCAAAATGGACGCCGTGAGAAGATTCAGGCGCCACCATGACTTTCTCACATGAACGTGATGTCGATTTGCGATATTGTTGTTTGTCACATCGAAAACATAGGTAGCTACGTGGACACCCGGGCATGTTATGGTCACTTATGATTGGGATCGAGTTGAACATTCGAAAACTTGCGAAAACTTCGCGTTGCATTCACACTACATGCACAAAGTTTTGCGCGTAGTCACTCACAGCGATATGGTCACATACCCTCAAGCTGTCAGCCTGCCCCAGACATGACAGCCTGTACAGCCTTTGCCCTTTGCGTAGACCACCGACAGGCAGAGTCTTCCATACTCGCGTAAGGATCATCCTCATGGTAGGGATTCATCTGCTACATATGGATTTGTGCTTCGCAAGGGTTACGAATCCCGGCTCAACCGGCCAGAGTCGACACCCATGGTTTGACTGGTTTCAGGAGAGAATCTGTCCCATTGTCTGTCAAAACCAAAAGTAAGTCCCTTAGAAATGCTCGTGTAGAGGCGCGCGGCTTTTGCGTATTCCATCGAATAAAACCTTGGGTTGAGCCTTGCTCCCATGGACCGCTCGTAGGACGAAGCCACAGATGACCTTTGCCAGGTCTCATGCTCCCGCTTTACTGTTGCGACGAGCATGCGGAGATGCGAGGACCCAATTCCTCGCAATCATCGCTTCTCGCAAAGGTCACGCCATTATCGTCATCAAAAGAGCCGCGGCACCGAAGCAGAGCGTATCAAGGGAGATACACAGGGAGTGCCATTCAACAAGTCTCATGAGCGTCGCGCTGCTACCACTGCCTTCGGCATGAACTTCAGCTCCGCTACGGTCCGCCAGAAATAGTCCAGTGGAGAGCCTTCCAGGGTCGACACAGGTCGGAACAAATATAGCAGCATAGAAGACTGCAGATGGACCACCAACATCTCTCGTGATGAATGGCCGAGCAAGACATCCAAAGTCAGGCTACATGTGCATGCTGTGCGGAGAAAGGCGACATGATGATCCCTGGCTGGACGATCACGTCTGATGATTCTCCAGACAAGACACCAAGGAAGCCAGGCTGTCGTCTTTTGTATTGCACTGACCTGACAGCGTCCCGAGTTGCCGAGCGACCCTAATGGTGCTAGACATTCCTAGATGAAAGACCTTATCGTGTATTGCTGGCACATGGAGAGTTTCTGCGTGATGGACAGGATCTCATGTGTATGGCAGTACTGTATGAGAGAGATGATGTACGTATGGATCCTAATCTTGCCCTTGGCGAAATCCTTCCTGGAGCATTTCTCACCACCTGGGCAGGAGTCCTTGCCCGCTCCACCCCCCCTCTCCATGCCGCCGCTGTGCTGATTGAATCGGGAATGGCGTTAGAACAGGGGACCGCTTCACGCCGCTCCACATCATCCACCAGAACACTTCATGAAGATGGTTGAGCACAAGGATGGCGATGCCTGCGACGGAGCTGAGAAACGCACTCCGTGTGATTGATGAGATGGCACCTCGACAGCCTGATTCTAGTCGGGCGCGGAAGACATGACCACATGCCACCAGTGCGAATACGGACCAGACGTGTGATGGGTCATGCCTTGTCCATCCATTGTGTGTGTGTGTGTGTGTGTTTCCAATGCCGCAGCGATGACCTCCCGCTTCAGCATGCCGATTCGCATAGACTGGTTTCCAAGGCTCTGACATATGCATGATGATACAGGGAAACCCCGACAAGGATCATGGGTCGTCCAGACCGCGCGCGGAACGAGGGCCAGCTGCCAAATTAGCTCGCCGCAGCCAAAACCAATGCCGTGCGTACAGCACGCCTCCGTACTGTATGTACTGCACTCCTCATGCATCCTTGCTATCCATTTCGATGTTATGATTTTCATGTCACAGTAATCTGCTTCGACCCTCACAGTGGATATCGTGGCCCGAAGTCATTGACGTGCACGCACATGCCACACACACCCCAACATGCAGTGGGTTCACACACACACCCCCTTCGGTAATGTATTGGACAATATAGTTGCTTTCTTGTGTTTAATCCGGATCGATCCAAGCACATTGTGTTGCATTTCGACAGCCTTTCCTGCCCGGACCTCTACTCCTGCTCTTGCACCACCACCGTGGCTCCATCGTGCAACGCTTCCGTGCGCTGTGCGTGCTGATCGTCTTGCCATATCTGCCCCGAGGTGTGCACCACCACTTCTACTTCGACCGTTGCATGGTCACCACACTCTCCTCACGCGGCAACGTCCACCCACCCACCCGCACACAGTGCACACACACACACGCACATGCATTCCGTCCACAGGTATCCACCCTTCTGTATCGCTCTGTTGTACAGCCGGATCTCTTACAGAAGCCAGTGCATGGCCGTTAGTCGAGCCTAAGAGGAATCCGTCAATCATTATTCGTGAGCCCTGCCGCTGCTCTACCCCGGTTCACCTCCGGCCGAGCGTGAACTATCTTAACCATCATCAAACCCGCTTCCTCCATTACTGCATTGCCCTGAAACAAAACTTCGAATCGGCTCCTCGTGGTCTGCTCATCGTTCTTCCTGAGACGAAGGCCAAACGCAATCGATTTTCCTATCAAAAGCCAACGCTGTCTGCTTTCGATTGGACATCGTCTCTCGCTCGCTGGCCGCTTTGCTCATCTGCTACACTTCCCGTCTTAGAACTGGCACAACACTCGCTTTGAACGACTGCTTGGACAAACTCCCGAATATTTGAAACGGCAATCTCAGTTGATCGAACATAATTTTTCGTTGGTGACCTTCACTCGACTCGACCTGAACGAACTTGCGGATTTATCGTTTCAATGGCACAACCAACATTGACCTACGCTCAACGGTTACCGGAAACGTCCAGATCAACCACGATGCTTGCCCACAAGCACCACCACACTAATCGACTTCCCACTCCGGACGCCAGCGCCAGTAATAGTGACGACAGTAACGATGTCAGCGGGAGCCCTCCTGCCTCCAAACGCCTTCGATATGACCCTGTGTTGCAACAGAGCTTCGATGTAGGCAGTGCAATTCGCCCTCTGAACCCGAAGGACTGGTCGAGATCACGAGCCGACAGCGCCGTGCATTCTCCGCCATATCATGCTGCAGAGATTCGAAGGCCATGCCTCCCTCCATTGAAGAGCGTCAGTCTCATTACCACGCATTCGTTCCCTGTGCTCTGACTGACAGTCTACAGTTGCTCGAGGACAACAATCTGAGCCCTCCAAAGACCCCAAGCCCACGACAATCATATAGAGAACCATCGCCTCGAGAAACACTGTTCGCAACGCCGTCTATTGGACTTTCACACGTGCCAACCTCGCTGTATCCTTACAAGAGGCAGAAGACTGTACCCGGGCGGGAAGCGGACCTTGCATATGCCAGCCCAGCACTTCCTCTAGGTATCGAGCGTAAGACTCCGACAGCGTTTGCAACACGGCCAGACGAAGTTCAGATCCGACAGCCCATATCCTTGCCTCCGCTCTCTGCTCAACTCGAAGGGTTGAATTCGTATCGACAGACCGCGCCGACGACCGTTCCTCCTCACAGACTCAGTCCACCATGGACAGGCCAGTTCCCGCCTACCACACCTCTCTTCAAGCTTCATGCCGACCGTCCGGCTTTCGATGGCCATGCGTCCGCTCATTACCAGACCCCGGATCGCACGCCACTACCATCCGACTACTCACGAGCCACCTCCGTCAGCAGCTATCCGCATGACGCATATGCTGCTCGGGCGGGCAACAGTCGTGAAGCTTCTGTACACCACGATCACAACGACCCCTCTGCGACGCGGTCATCCTTTGCTGGCCCATACGGTGGCTACCTGCCGCACATCAGTGAACGCGAGAACCATGGTCGACCGCACTATGGCAATGAACCACGTTACTCTTTCTCGTCCTCCAGTGAGGGTTCCGCGGGACCTCACGAGTATGGCCCCTATGTTGGCCCTGCAGGATGGGCAGGGATGCCCGGCCAGCCCTATTTCATGCCCAGTCATTTGGACTATCAGCACGGGAAGGCCCGAAAGCGAAGCAATCTCCCAAAGCAGTCGACCGAGGTTATGAAGCAATGGTTCGAGCAAGTAAGTCGTGATGCATGATGTTTTCACACACCACCGCCCTTTCTGACTGTTCCCTCCCAGAATATTTCGAATCCCTACCCCAGCGAGGAACAAAAGCAGCGCTTCTCCAGCGTAGGTACCATCCTCATCTATCAACATGGCATGTCTCAGAACTAACATTGCCCACAGATAACTGGCATCAGCATGACCCAGGTCAGCAATTGGTTCATCAACCATCGTCGTCGCTGCCCGGAATTGCGTGATAAACGTGAGAGGCCTGGTGGTGTTGTCAGCGGCGCTGAAAGTAATATCTAATACCGATGGCATCACACTCATCGTACACGATCCTTATCCCATTCGGTCTCTACAATCACCCTTCTGGGAAAAGAAATCCCCCCACTACGCGAGCACGCAGAAAATTGTTGTATATATCATGACCTTAACGACGAAAACGATAGCCGCTATTCACGATTAATGTGAAGAGATCAAACAACGCGTCCCAAACATAGATGATACTAAGCGTCATTGCCACGATCCACTATGTAGAATGCTCAAGCACACCTCTCAAATATGGGATGGAGCGCAATTACATAACATGGGCTGCAGACTATAACGACGATCGGCCAATGCCCGCGGGCCGGCGGCTTATCTCTCGCTCGACTGACAAGAACCCTGGACGTTTTGCGGCGACGGTGGCATGAATATCTTTGCATTGTCTCGTATTGGGTTTGAAATCTGCCCCGGCCGCGCCTCATGAAACATGCATGCATCATCATGACTATTGCCATGTGATAGTCACCGTGTCTGCCCAACGAGATTCTACGAATTTCGGACATGATTTGGAAGCCTACTCCAGGTTTTTTTAGGCTTCGCATCTGCATTGGCCTGCTGTCGGCTCGAGAGAGACCAGAAAAATGTCCGAGGCTTGGCTCGTGTCGATAAGAAGCGGATTTCTCCTTCAGCACAGATGCCATCGAGATAGCCCTGGAGGATTAACACTGTTCACTCGGCCGCGAGTAGAGCATGCCAAGGAGAACGTGACAGGGATCGGCGTGGATCTCCAAGTGTTTCACACGAATCACCGCGGACCGAGTCGGATGTTGACAGTGGAGATCATTCAACGGCGGCGGTTGGACACGAGGACGAATGTGGATATTGCTTCCAGGCTCGCGGATCGATCGTGAGTGGCGGATGAGCGATGGCGGGCCGCACCTTTCATCAGTGTTACTGCAGATATACAATAACGAGTACCGTACCTACTGGGGCATCGTGGAAAACAATCTACATACGTACATCGCTCAGCGACTGTCGGATCTCGGCAGCGCACAAGCCATGCGTGAGGGCATCGAAGAACGTTGACGATAATGAGGGGGAAAAAGCCTTGCATGACGAGAGAAACGCTGAGAATCTGGGATGATTAAGAAAAGAAAATCTCCGAGTACGCCTATCGCGCAACGGTCATCATCGGGCAACGGCTAACTCTTCTCATCGTCGTGAGTCGCCCTTGCAGCACGCCGACGACGCCTTCGCTCTGTGCTCGCCGCTTGCACGGATTGCGCCGTGTGGTCCATGTGGGCTGTCTAGATCGTGTTGGACTCAATTCACGCGCAACGAGGCATCCCTGGCTCATCCTCCAAACAGGCTTCGAGCAATTCTTATCGCGCTCAGCTTGTCATTTCTGGCAAGCATGCTTTGGAGCCAAGGCAAGAATCTGGACTATGAAAGCAGCGAGGTGTAAAGTTACCATTGAAGGATTGCCTGTCGGCCAGGGATCTTCCGTCGAGAGGGTCCGCGCTGCTCGTGTTTTTGGCACTGACGGCGCCTTGTTTCGGCATGTCCGGCCGATGATCAATGGGAATTGAATGCACCGATGATGAGCTAGACCAGGCATCACGACGCATTGGCGTCGAACTCTGCGGCCACCCTGGGACGCGCTATTATCCGCTCCATCGTGACGGGGTTAGAGGCTGACTGTCAATGGCAAGGTGGAACTCTAAATTCGTTCCGCACCCCTCTAGCCTGGCACGTTACAGAATGTCACCGACTGCTCGCTCGCCCGCGAAACAGCACGAACCTCGGTTGCTCCAGTAGCGCCGTGGTGATGCTGTTCGGCACGTCCCCACGTCACCGCAAGGCTGTACGTGGAGAGCGCATCGGGAAGGGCGAGGTTAGATCTTCGCTTGGCCGCTCCTCTTTGCCAAAGGGATCCAGATGAACGCGAACCAACATCTGTCGTCCGTTGCGCTTTCGACAGTCCGTCGCCTGTAGCAGGCTTTCACTTCAGATCTGTCTTCTCCACTTTGGGAAGGTGCACCAACGAAGGAAGGATAGATTAAAAGATGAGGTTTTGTCAGTCCCGTCGTCACCAACATTGTCTTCGACACCGTCGTCTCACTTGCAGTCGTGCAAACAAACTACACGAAGCCATGTGCGACGGGCAGATCCCGGGACATGTCGACAATGTCCTTCTCCGGCGGTGGGTGGTGTCCATGAGCGCCGCTGCCGATTGGCGCACGGGAATGATCGACCTTCGTTCACAGGCACAAACCAATGAGCATGATCTTGACCACACCCCCTCTCCGAGGCACGTCTTTCTCTCACACACACATCTTCCATCCTCCATCATCACCCAATGTTGCTGCTGAGAGAAAGCTTCGTGTGTGCTGTACCCACCCACCACACCTTCCGCCGGCTCGCCTATTGCGTTTTCAACTGGGATCCTTGGCGCAAAGTCAAATTTCGTCGGCGCTATCGAACTACGTGCGTCTGCAGCTTGTAGAAAAAGGAAAATAGGTTGCCCGCTCCCGTCTCCCCGTCTGTGTGGAGTTGACCATGTGTGCATCGTTCGTGCATCAGCTCTTGCTCGTCAAATCACCGTAACCACTTGGGCACTCAGTCGCTGTACGATATGTCTTCCACTGTCGGATGTGTGCACTGCAGACATAAAGTTTCGCCCTCAATGCAGGTGGGTGTCACTGGATTCTGATCGGCACATGACGGTGTCTGTCTGTCTGACCCGGCTCCCGAGAAAAGACTCGCTCCCATTCCGCCGTTTTGTCGACGACAAGAATAATTTCAGTATCGCACTGTCTCAACCGCGGAAGCCTCAAGACTAGTCGAAGGCATCCCATTTCGCTTCGCCTCGACTTGCCGTTCAAAACATCATTATTATTACCTGCAATGATTGGGGCCGTTCTCGAACTGCTCCGTGCGATGTGCCCTACCGGGCTCAATCGACCGAGGTATCTCTGAACGTTTATTACCTCATGACAAACATTGAGAGCACCATGCAGAGTCTAGATACCGGCATCGTTCTCTGCATGATCTCGGCATATTGTGGGCCGTCTCCAGCCAATTCTTCTGCGAGTGGGTGTCGTGTCAGGTTTTTCAATCATCCTGCTGTACTTGAATGATCCCACCGTCACAACGTCATGAATCATGGTCAGCCCTGGGAAGAGTTCGCTATCCAGAAAGGAGACCCATCCGTGCCCGGAACGTACAGTCCGCCCTGACAATAGCAGAAGGGGCTTGCACGAGCCTGCACGACTCAACAAAGTCTATATGGAAACTGCATTGTATACCCCAGCATGATCAACACCATCACATACTTTAGAATCGTTGAAAGACCGTACAGTACATATGCGTGCAAGCCGTGCTTGCATCTAACCCATGATTTTCGACAAGGTGTCCGCAGCCAAAAGATCGTGGCGCCCGAGTCAGCAAAGGGCGAGACTCTTCGAAACGGCATATCGTTGAAGCCACAAGCCACCACAGACGAGTTGGCTTTGCGTAGGCACGGTAGGCTTGCATTCCCTCTTGCGGAGGTCCTGCCCGTGTCCGATGGATTTCATTTCCTGAACAGAAATGAGAGCTCTGAAGACGCATGACCCTGCGTGCTGTCGTTGAGGAGGTGATAATGCCTGCACCAGGCTCGCTCCCCTCCTCTGCGTGCGAAACGGCTTATACGTGACGCCGAGCTCGTCCCTTCGGAAGGTGCTCGCGGAACATCCAAGGATGTCATCACGATGGTTGCACAGGCAAAAAGCTTTATGGGCCCGAAACTAAAAGGGTCTAACCTGCATCGTTTGCATCGTTGTTGCGTGATGACAGGATTCACCCCCAACATGATCGTCTTCGGGATCAGCAGTACTGCGGTATTGGTCGGAACACACTGCACCAAGAGAAATGGCACGCGTGTCCACACGCGCCAACAAGTGCCATCCTTCCCAACCTCCAACTTTCAAGCCGTGTCACATTCTGCAACGAAATTGTGGTGCCCACAAGTGTGTGTGGTGACATTCGTGCGTATATGCATGACCGTTCCCAACATGTCAACAGCAACGACAACAACAACAACAACTGTTCGACATCTGGACTCACCTATTACCTATTACCTATTACGCATTACCTGTCACCCATGCCTCGGTATCGACCTAGCTGGGTAGTGCGTGTGACTTGCCGTGTTGTGGACGTCAGTGACGCCGAATGGTCCGATTTGAAGATGGCAATTACGACAAGGCCCTGTTGGTGTGATCTGACTGGTGTCGCAGCCAGCCTCAGCGATGAGCCTTTTGGAGCTTGACAACTCCGCTAACGTTGACAGCTTCTAGCTTTTAGCCACGTCCACCGCCCTTCACTTCCATTCTGAATCAAGTCTAAAGCGTGCGTTGACCGACTCGATCAACGCGAATTGAACAGACATTCCAGATCGGCAGCCATTCGTTGGCACATCTAACTAGACATAGGTAGCATGTCGACCGGGCCGACGATTCGATCAGCCCCTGATGTTGGTCAGCGTATCCAAGCAACAAGGATGATGCTTGCTCCTGGAAGCATGAATATGCGTGGCGTCCGACATGACACCTCCGAGAGTCCTCTGCCATGCGCATCAAATACATCCCCGAGGTGATTGCCATCCAGCTAGAGGTTGCAAATCTGCATCCATGTGGCACAGCAACATCCCCACTGCGTTCAGGATTGTAGAAAACAGCTGCCTTTTCCCTTGGCAATTGACTCTGACAAGACATCTTCACGACGATCTCTGTTGATTAACTGTTGTCAACAACTTCAAGTATACGAACTTCTTCCATCGGAACACGCTGACAGCACTGCTTCCTCGAACAAGACTCATGGCGGTACTTTGTCTTCCACAAGATGTGCCTACTCTCGTCGCTGCTCGGCTTACACATTGGTGCTTCGAGGATGGACACAGAACATGCACACTTATCCAGCGATGACACCAACGACGGCGTGGCTTGCATTCGCGTTCCATTGAGCGATATATATTGACGCACTTCCCCAGGCACCACACCCCTTCCTTGCCGCCGATTGCCATCTTCGAACCACCTCTTCCCGTCCCATCACCACGTTTATTGACGCCCACAAGCCACCGGGAACCGTTCTTCGTGCCAGATGCAATTGAATGATACACCCTTCGCCCGAGTTGAGGTTGGTGTTGTGGAGATGGCACACCTCCATGCGAAAGAAAAAGGAATGCACACGGCGTTGGAGAATGACAATCGTTCTTGGACGTGGCGCCCTCGAGGCGAGCTCTCGATCCCACCTGGCTGCCGTCCATAATCTCTCCCGTGCCACAATCCCTGCGAATGACCCTCTCGGTGGTGGGAATCGTTCGGTCATCGAAACGAGCTTGCTTTCTTGATCTCGTGAACTACAGCGGTAATGCATGATCGCTGTCGTATACTTTGGGCCACGAGTGTTCCTGAAGGAATGCACGACAGGCATATATTGCCGACATGACGAGCTTCATGTGGTGGTGGTAGTGGTGGTGGTGGTTGCCTGTGGCGTTCGTCTATACGACGCAGGTGTCCCGTCAATACAGACGGATGTCACCAAGGGTGCCAAGTAGAATGTCAAGTGCTTATGTCTTACGTGTTCGGCGATTGTCATTCCTGCAGACACCACGTCCTCGTTGTCCCTCACGCGCTCTTGCAATTGAAATATTAATCTTGCTATTCCTCCACTTTTCATTTCCCAGGAAATCATCAAGCTGCATGTGGCGTGCGCTGAGAGAGAGAAGTTCCATTGCGTGTATTCTGCCTCGTTTTCTGACAATGGATTGATATCTTCGTATCGTTGGCATGATGCCATGTAAACATCTCTTCAAGCTCACCTGCTGCCGTCGCAACAGTTGCGCGATGCGGAGAATCTCGCGGTCGATGTGGTTACACGGCACGATGGAGCTCGCATTTTTTCCGCAGCTCCTCTGCGGAGTACTTCATGCAGAAGAATTGATTACGGCGATGTTTTTGCAGATCGAGAAGGTGAGAACCCGTCTCAATGTATCTATTATCCGATCATCTCAAATCGGGCTGCTTTCGTCGGCTCTCCTGGGATCTCATTCGAATAGGCATAGTCAGTGAGCTGCTGTTGGACCGACTCGGCTGCGTCCCTCGACAACAATTGTGGTCACGAAAATGCTTTCAATATTGGTGTACGAGATCAGTGCGCTCGAAAATTTGCGCAATTTGGATAGCCCGGGACAGGAATGACTTGCAGGAGGAGCTACCTATCGGTATTGCACCTTCTGCCCCCTCTTCTCCAACTTGCTCTGTCGCTTGCTCTGGCCTTGCTGCTGAGGCTTCTCGTCACCACCGCCCATCATCCCGCCCATTCCCTTCCTGACACCAGAGAAGGTGGTGAATGCGAGGTAGGCACTGTACAGCGGGACCGCCGCATACAACCACCAAGCCCAGTCACCAAACAACGTGACGACCGCGGTACATCCCCACGTCCAGTAGACCACATCCCACATCCACTCCGTCAGCCCTTTGGCCTCGAGGTCCTCGCCGGCTTTGCGAAGGTCCTTGCCGTTGGCGCCGTCCACGTAGGCGGGTCGTCCGACACGCTCGAACCAGAACTCAATGAAGTACGACGGCAAGGATAGCAGGATATACGGAAGCAGCTTTCGCTTGAAAAACGCGAATCGGAGGGCTATGTAGAACAGGTTGACTCCCAGTGATATCAAGTGCGTCTGGTTTAATTTGGCTGCATTGCGAGCCGCTTGCGCTTTTTGTGATTTCTAAGTGAATCATGGTTTGTTAGTGTACAATGAACCGGCGCGTAGAGGCGTAGCCTCGATCACTTACTTGCGCCATTGTGAGAGACGCGAGCACAGAAATGAAGTGTGTAATCAAGCAATATCTGTTGGTGGGACAATTGTCGACAATCACTTGAATAGTGATAGCCCTGGAGTATTGCGATAATTATGGCAATTGTGGGACTAGATTTGTATACGGTACCAACAATGACGATGTTCCACGTTGTCTATTGTCGCGGCGGGAAAAGATTCGTGGGTGAGCGCATCCCGCTGTGTCGACAGAGCTGGTCCGTGCGGCGAACGACGTCCACAAACAGAACAACAAAGAGGCGGCAACCGCGAAATGTTTACCATTCGCGACTCCACGACACTCGATCTTACCCTCGACACGCCAAAAACACGCCCGGTGTTGACGAGAGATCGCGTCCGAGTTAGCTCTTGCATCATGTGTCATATCTGAATCACCTGGAAGAAAGCACACCGCGTCGTGCACGAAACGTCATCATTCATAACACATAATTGCATACATCCATGTTTACGGCCTGTTCAGCACGACTTTACGATCTGCATGCTTCGAATGTACACCGTCCGCGGCCTCAATATTTCCTTTGCGTCTCGCCTACCTTTCTCACTGCCTGGGAAAGGCTTCAGTCATTACCTCTCAATAGGTCTTCACCATCATGTCGATAGCAGTGGCCGCGCAGCTCCGCCAGCTCATTTATTACCACCTTGACAATGATCTTCTGGAGAATGCAAACTTCCTCGCTGGGCGCTTACATGCCCTGCTCCCGCGGAGCGAGGATGCCGCCCATCTCCTTGCGCTGACGTACTTCCGGATGCGCCGCTACCGAATGGCGTACGATTATTCACAAAAGCATGCCCTCTCTGGTCGACACTTAGGCTGCGCATATATCTTTGCGCAAGCATGTCAAGAGCTAGGGCGAAATACAGAAGGCATATCGGCTTTGGAGAAGTCAAGAGCTCACTGGGCAGGCAGAAGTGATTGGAATCAATATTCGGAAACCTCGAGGCGGTATCTACCGGACGCGCCGGCGGTGCTGACGCTGCTCGCAAAGCTCTGGCGCGCTCAAGGGGACTCCAAAAAGGCGGCGGATTGTTTTGTGGAGGTGCATAAATTGAACCCGTTCGTCTGGGAAGCTTTCGAAGGATTATGTGGGTTGCGCGCAGATTTGAAGGTTGACCAAATGTTTCGAACATCGGCCGGCTCTACCAATGCTGCGCCCGTCAATGTGGATGATACTTCTGTTGTGCAGATGTCACGGCAACCTCTTGCGCCCCAGTACAACTATGGCCCGAGCAACCCTGGAAGGTCAACCCTGTTTCCAGCGACTTCGAAGGCGAATCATGTCTATGACGAAGGCGATATATTTGCGCCGACCATCAAGCCGCAATCTATATTGTCTGTTGATTCCGCGCCATCGCCGTCGGACTGGGACACACCGATTACTGCAATGACCACAATGGACGACGTGTCGATGGGAGGCACCGTGACTGAGAACGATGATGTCTTCGGGGAACCACCAGCCGCTCCGCCACGGAAAGCTCGAGGTGGATTGCAGTTTGATAACGTCGAACGGCAACGACAGCCTACACTTCGTACAGGCCACACTCAGACTTCATCAGAGGGCATGCACGACACAGCTGCGCGATTTAGGCTTGGCGCCGGTGCGCAGAAACGAACATTATCTGGGCATAGCACAGCTCAAGCTGGCCTTGACGCTCTGGCACAGCCGCGAAGAAGCAATAGAATTGTCGGCTCTCAAGCTCCCTCCGCGAGATTGCCCAGGTCGATAGCAGAATCAACAGCATCTACAGCGGGTCGATCCGATCGTTATGAGCGATCACAGAAGCAAGTCACTGAAGTCAGACCACGTGGAATCGTAGGTCGCGTGGTGAGCGGAAATCGTAAAATGATGCCTTTGGAAGAACGCGAAAAGGAGAAGCGTGCACCAAGTCGAGCAAGCGAGAAAAGCAGTACAGCTTCTGGGGTCACTTCTGCAGCTGGCAGACGACCTGTCGTGGTAGCGAGTAACAGCATAAGTGTCGAAGAGGAGGCGACCAACACTTTGCTGAACGATTTCAAGGCACTCGCAATCGGCTATCACGCTGCGTCTCGATTCGAATCATTCTCGGCAGCAAGAGCATTCAAGGCGCTACCAAACTCTCAAAAGGACAGCCCTTGGGTTCTCTCTCAACTGGCCAAGACATATTACGAATCCGGTGACTTCAAGAATTCAGAGGAGTACTTCGTGCGCCTCCTCAAAGCTCAGCCGTCGCGAGTCGAGGATATGGAAGTATACTCTACCGTTCTTTGGCATCTCAAAAAGGAGTCTGCGTTGTCCTTCTTGTGTCAAGTGCTGCGCGACCAGGCTTTCGATGCACCTCAGACCTGGGTGGCTATAGGCAATGCCTTCTCCCTCTCCCGCGAACACGACCAAGCTATCTCAGCATTCCGACGCGCCACGCAATTGGACGACAACCTGGCGTATGCATGGACGCTCATGGGTCACGAGTACATCGCCAATGAAGCCTACGATTCCGCGATTGGCGCTTTCCGCAAATCTGTCGCCGTGGATCGCCTGGGTTACGCTGGCTGGTACGGCCTTGGGAAATCGTACGAGCGCATGCAAAAGCTCGAGGACGCCGAACGGCACTACCGAATCGCGATGACGCTCAACCCGACCAACAGTACATTACTGGTGTGTGTGGGTGTCGTGCTCGAACGTCTTCAGAACCGCCACGCCGCGCTCGCGCACTACAGCAAGGCCTTGGAATTGACGCCACATAGCTCTCTCGCGCGATTCAAAAAGGCGCGCGTGCTGATGCATTTGAAGCAATACGACATGGCCTTGCGCGATCTGGAAGTGTTGAAAAGTCAGGCGTCAGATGAGGCGAACGTGTGGTTCTTGCTGGGTAAATGCTACAAGGGTATGGGAAATCGCAGCGGTGCCCTGCGCGCTTTGACGACGGCGCTGAATCTTGATGTCAAGGTGGGTTTCAGCTTTTGCGCATTTCGACCCCGGAGACTTGGATTGAAGCTAACTGTTCATTTTCAGGCCGCGCCGTTCATCAAAGAGGCCATCGAAGCTCTGGACGACGATGTTGAAGACGGAGATGACGACTCGGATGACGACTGAACACGACGACGATGAGGATCCATGAGACCATTCAGAGGCCTTGGCTGCTTGATATCATCAGCACTGCCAGCGCTCAACGAGGTTGACAATTATTCAGATTATATAGTTTCAACGCATCCCGGAGCCGAGCTTCCATCGCGAAAGCCGTATACGCACTTGACAACGCCACGACGATTATTATTGCTTCGAGGACATAAGATAATCCCCTAGGCTTCCTGCCCCCAAAGTGAGACTCAGGTAAACCATCGTTGGCAATCGCCGATTAAGCAAAGTACAACACACCCGTGGCGCGAAATCCCAGTGTCCCTCCGTAAAGCGGATTCCATCCACCGAGATGTCTTGCACATTTCGCTCGGCTTTGCCGTCTGTTTCGCCCGCCACGACTTCCGCGACCGATCGCGACGGCGAGTCCCCACAGGCAAAGAAACCCGCCGGCGAGCTGCCACCGAACCGCTACCGGGCTACCTTCGGATCGGTGGCGAACTCGAGAGTGCCCTTGAACAACCCACGAATAGCCTGCGGACGGCCCACGAGGAGCCCACGGGTATCTCGTCCTGGAGATGTGCTCGCGACCCGGCGGCAACTCGCCGGCGATTCGTCGGCGCCTCAGATGCTGTCCACAAATACGCATCCGGGCAAAACCCACCCACGCACCGCCACCGAATCGACCGCGATACGCAGTCTTGCTGGGGCATCTGGGCTTTCCATTTCGAAGTTGCTCGCTGAGGAGGATTGGCATCTGCCGCACGTGGGGGGGAAATGATCACCCAGGATGATGCTGGAACGCGCTGTGTATGTAGCCACCTGCGGAAGATGTTCTGCTGGGACATGTTCTCCACCAACGCCGAGAGGTCGATTCTCTTGCTTTTCTCGCCGTTTTTGCAACGTCTTCTCCTCTCCGTATTGGCTTTAATCGCTAAATCGTGAATTTCGGTATCCGGTGAACGCATATCACATACATAAAGTAGAATCATAATCCACCATCGCTCGAGAGGATTCGAGGAACCCGACGGCTACCAACGACGAGAAGAGGGAGAGGGATCTTTCCCGTCTCCCTTTTGCCGCTGCCTCTCCTACGCACCACATCGAATCGTTCCATCTTCTCTTGGGAATCCATCGAATCGGATCGGATCACATCCTCGCCGTGTGGTTCTTCGGGAACACGCCCACGCGGCCGGCGTACACGCCCACGCTCCAGTCGGCGTTGAGGTCCTGCACCTCGGTGATCTCCGCGTTGCGCGGGAAGGCCAGTTCATCGGGGGTGAGGGCCGGGTCGGCGGGAAAATAGGACCAGGTGGCGAGATGGCGGGCGCCGAGGGAGGGCGGGGCGGGGGGCTGCTGCTGCGGTGGGTTGGATGTTGTGGGGTCTTTGGCGGTGGGGCCGGAGGACCGCTGCTGGTCGTCTTTCATGCGCCAGCCGCCGACTTTTTCGCGGACGACGACGCGGCGGCCGGCGAGGTCGTTGGCAATGACGGCGAGGCGGTGGCCCGTGATACTGCCGGCGCTGTTGCTGTTGCTGTTTGCGGGACCGCGGACGCGGCTCCGTGTGGTGGGAGACATCGATGACTGCTGCTGCGGCGAGATCTGGGTATTGGGACATCGGCGCCAGCCGTATTCACCGTCGAGGGGATCCCAAGCTGCAGAAGATCCTGAGGAGGATTTGGAGTTGGGGTTCATGTCGGAGTGACCTCCGGTTACGGCGCGGTAGCACGGAGCGCAGACGTCGTAGTCTCCACTGCTACAGATGTAGCAGTGGAAGCGGGGCGCGGCGGCAGGGATGGGTAGACGACATATGTCGCAGTCGATATGGGGTGGAGCGGTGATGTAGGAGCTTGGCGGGAGGTGAGGGATATTCAGAGGGTTCAAGTTGCGGACAGGATCTCTCGGGGGCATGGATGTGGGATACGGTGTCGTGTTGCTGGTCGTTGTGCTTGCAAATGCTGATGAAGAGGGTGATGATGGCGCCGCGGAGCTGGACAGAGCAGGCGGGGCGATGCGAGTCAAAGGAAGCAACGGATGTGTGCAGCACCGGCCTTGCAAAACACAGGCATTGCAGAAGCCCCATGCGCCACTGAGACAGAGCTCGCAGTACCAATAGCAATTGTCGGCCCGTGTTTGGCAAGATTCACAAAAAGCGCCGTCGATCAAGGCAAAAGGGAGCTGCTTTGACTGCGGGGTTGACGTAGGTAACGATGGGGATTGTGGAGGAGTGTTGGCAATGTGAGGATAGGGTGGTGATGCTCGTTGATTCGCCATAGATCCAACATCACGCTCTTGACTGCCGCGTGACATTCCCTGAAGCTGTAACCTGGGCGAAGGAGCAGCGACCCAACGTCTGGCGATGAGTACATGTGGCTGTGGCGCAGAACTGCCATGGGAGCCAGGTGTCCCTGGTTGAGTTCCGCTGGACATCCTCTGCCAACGCTCAAGCGCCACGAAGCCGAAGCCAAACCAGTATTCACAACCTTTCCCTGAGCGATAGCATGTCTGGCATAGGTCGTATGATGAAGCTGGAGAGTTTTCGGATTGAGAACCATTGCTGTCAGAAGTCGATCTGGCTTTGCCGTCCGCGCTACAAATATCGCAGTGATAATGGACCTGTGTCTCAATCTGCGACATGTGACAGCGAGCGCAGACTCTCTTGGGAAGTATCGCTGCGGTAATGATGGACCTAGATATATCTGCTATTACCACATCCGCTGGTTGTGGACTCGAAACCGTGTTGATATCTAGCGACTCCACCTCAACTGGCTCAGGAGCCAGATCTGAACGGGAAAAAACTGCCCTGAGGGGTGATGGCTCAGGTGTGGCAGTGGCTATCCCACCGGCATTACTTCCAAGGTTCCGATTATCGGGCCCAGATAGCTCGGGTGTTGGTGCCGCAATCTGAGAAGCAGACCCAGTAGAAGTGACAGTTGAAGCTCGCATCGATGCCATGTTCGCTGTGTCGAGCGACTCCGATCGCATGAACGGCGTAGTACGAGCGACTTGCGAATTGCTTGCAGCATCTCTGGCCAGGGGCGGGTCGTGACTACGTGCACGAGGTGACGATGACGAGCTCGAGGTATCTGCAGTGGGATATAGCAAATTGGTGGGAGCTCTTTCTTCTCTTGATGCTGTTGGAATTCCGGTCGCGGTCGCTGCACGGTTTGTACGCGCAGCATTCCCAGTGGTTCGAATGTCACTGATGCCTGACCGAGACCCGGGAGCAGCTGCAGAGGAGGTTGAGGATGAGTTTGCACGTCTTCGCTGCTGCATGGGAACTATCGAAGCTGTATCACCAGAACGCTGTTGATCATCTCGAGGGACCGGGGATGTACTGGAACGGGTGGGCCTTGCGCTGGGCCTGCGTGGATCTGCCTGCTGCGGGCGGACAACGGGTGGACGAAGTCGCGGTTGATGGCTCCTTTGCTGCTGTCGGTAGGATGCCGATTCTGAATCTTCGCCCGTTTCAGTGTCCGGGCGTCGAGAGCTCCTGGTCTGACTTCCAGAACGTCGTGGTCGCTGCGAAGACTGCTCGGCGCTAGATTGATTCCCATCTGCGCTTCTATTCCGATTTATTCCACGCTGTCGAGAACGTTCCCGTTCCCGCTGTCGCTGCCTGCGACGATACGCCTCCGCGATGCGTTCGGTCAATTCCTCCTCCTGAGCAGATGTCAAGTTTTCCAGATCTATGCCATCTAGAAGACCTTCTGAATAGATCGATGCCAGGATCTCCTCCTGGATATCTTCTCCGCCGAGTAGACTCCGCAGAGAAGGTTGATGCTCTACCTGCCGCGTCGTTGGTGATGTCGCCCGCGGAGAGCGACGATCGGGTTGACGCTGCTGGGCCTGTGATCTGTTCCGCCGATCATGACTCCGTTCCCGCGAATTCCTCTCTCTTCGAGCTTGCAGGCGTGCTGCTGCAGCTGGATCGACGTTGGCCATGCTCAGCTCCCGCACCTCTGCCAGGAGCCGCTCATCCTCGCTATCATCCAGGTCGCCATCTCTTGCTGCATCGCGTCTCGGCGCTGCCCGTGGTGCAGTGAGCGCCGGTAGTACATCTTCCCCGGGTGCGTACCCCTCGCGAGCCGCAGCCTTGTCCTCTTCCGAACGATCTTTGTCGGGATGCGCTTTGAGGAAGCCTTCAAGGTGAGCTGTGAGGCGCCAGTCGGCTTTGGTGCCGCGGACTGTTTCGCGACATGAGGGGCATGTGTACGGGTTGCGTGTGTTGGCAGCGCGGCGGGAGGAGGAACGGCTGTTCGCCGAAGCCGCTTGAAATGCAAACCACTCTTTCAGACATGCGCCGCAATATGTGTGAAGGCAATCGAGGAGAGTGAGTGGCTGGTAAAGGATTTCGGTGCAGATCTGAGGTGGAGTTGTGTCAGTCTCCAAGCCAAATTCTTCTCGGCGGTGTGCCAGGATGCTCCCAAGTTTCGTCGTGCTCGCCCAGATGGTTCAAGCGCCATGCCACATTCATTCCGCCACGGAGACCTACCGAGCAAGTGAGTTCTTTCTCGAAATCAAAGAGTTGCGACGAGTCCGCCATGACGGTGGAGGGATGGGTTCGGGAGAGACATGCGGCGAATGGCGGGCGGTGTTGGACGTGCACAATGGGAGATGTGACGTACGACGGACGACTGGGATCTCTCTGGGCAGGGCTGCGCTGCGGTGGTCGAGGTCGATCCTCCCCTCGAGACTCACGACGACGACGACGATATCATTGATTGACAACCTTGGAACCGCATGGAACAAATACACCCAGACATCGGGCACTGCCTAAGCCGAAGATCCTTGTGAGGTATATCCACCTGGAGGGCAGCGTGATGTTCTCTCACTCCAAGCGAAGACTGCGGGGGAATTTCACCATGACGATGCTCTGTCTCTCTCTCTCTCTCCGAGACTCCTCCAAGATATTGGCGCGTCTTGGACAAAAAGGGTAACCCTAACGATGATGAAGTCCACGGGTTCACTCCACTCCACTCCACTCCACGGGTTGGGTTCTAGGGTTCAAGGATGTATGTATGTACACCTATCTATAATATGCCTACCTAGGTATGGTGATATGTCCATCTCCGTTTTCCTGGACCGACTTGTCTCGCATGATCAAGGGGCATATCACGTGGAGAACAACCCTCCTCTTCACTTCTCTTCTCTGTCCATCCTTTTCCCCATCACAGCATCTACAGCTCGAAGATGCAGAAAGCCGTCTGACGGATAGACACGCGCAACGCCCACGAGACGAGGACAGCCCTAATGATACCGACTGTACAGTACAGTCAGTAGTACAGTAGTACCGTAGTGACTCGCCGGGGATCTTTTCCCGAATCGAGCGGCTGAGGAACAAGCCCTGTCCGGTTTCTTTATTCGTGCGAAGGAAAGAGATGACTTCCGTTGGAGGATCGTAAGCCACCAACAACACCATCATCGAACCACGGAGGCCTGACCTTTGATGATGGTAAGACGATTGTCTGTGAAGAAGGAGAGAGGAAGGAAGGCCGAACGAGACGACCAACGATCACTCCGCCATCCCCGGTTAGGTTAGCTTGGTCCCAGTGAGGAAACTCTCTTCCTATTAAAAGACATAATCACGCTCAATAAATCCCCTGGAAGGACTAAATTGGTGCCTTATGATCGGTCGGTCAGCCGGCTATGTCCGTTTAGCACGCATTCCAACACTCACTGCACGTGGAACTTTCACGAGCCAGATCATGCGGCTCCGTAGCGGTCTCGGCAAGCAGCGTGAAATGATTGAGAACGTCAAGATTGGTGACACGTCAAAACCTTTTGTACGATGGCCTGTCCTCGCAGACATGTATCTCTGGTCTATACAAGCACCATAATAACTGGAGATCGCCGCTGCACCCACAGTGCGCACAATCAAATCTACATCCCGCGCCATATTCGACAAGGCCTGGGCTTGACCGTTACCCATGTGGATCACGGTTCGGAGTAAAGGAAACGTTTTGCCGCGCGAAGACCCTTCCGACGGCCACGGATGAAATCACGAGAGCATTGTTTGCTGCATCGGCGATGGAGATACACAGTGACTCGAAACCTCGTCGAGGCAATACTTCTCTTCTAGATGCCCAGAGGAAGCGGTGTGGCTTAAAATGGCCGTTCTAATCATCATGATTATCTACGTATCGTATCGAAGCCACGATACAGAGCGAGAGCGCTGTGCCGCGGGCTCCAATCAATCAAGATCAAGGAAGCCACGCGGCGCAGACACAGGAGCGGTGATTGATGTGTGTCGGATGAGCCCTGCGACGACGAAGATACAGCACTGCAGCCACTCGGTCCTCCCGATTCGTCACGTATACGCCGGGGTCTCGCTCGTCTCAAAGATCCACGTGATTGCTGCACCTATGCGCTCTGCTCCCCACCATCAAATCAACGCCTTATCGTGCAGCGATACATCTCAAATGGAGCCTGACCGGTGGACTGGGGACCACGGGAGAAGCTCGCTGCGATGGAGAGCTACTGTAGAAAGCGACCCAAGTACAGTACAGTACGTACAGGCAACGAACTACGAGCACGCTGTACTGCATCGGGCGGTTGTATTTTTGCTTTTGTTCCTCGTGCGGGTGGGAAAAGGTTGAAACGGTCTGGGTCGATGGCGCTCACATCATCCATGTGAGATTTGGATGGGTTTAGTCCTGAGAAGGGTTAGTGCTGAATTGGCTGAGCCGCAATCTGCGAGCGAGTTGCTAGTGTGCTCTGTGCTCCTGCCCTATTGCCTATGAATAACCACGTCGTAGGGCTTTGGTCGGACCTGACCACCGCACACCGCAGCTTATCGTTCCGACCACCTGCCTGCCTGCATGCACAACAATGCACATGGCCATTGTTATTGGAGATGAGCATCATGCACGAGGCAATGGTCGTCGTCCTCGCCATCACCATCGCCTGATGCGTACGATACGTACACAGCATCTCGTCTGATGTCAGATGTCCCATATCGGGGCGCGCATCCATTCGTCCTACGCATGGACTGCCTCCAAGTAGAGCAAACCAAAGCTCAACCTCGTCGGCTCTGCACCCTCCGAAAGCCTCATCGGATCCACGATCCGCACCTCGACCAACGTCTGGCGCATGCGTATCCGCCTAGCGTCCGTGGCTGCGACCGGTCCTTCCTCTCACCACCATCCATCTCGTGGGCGTCGTTGGTGATCCGCCGCAGCTTCTAGCGTATGCTTCTTTTTTTTTCTCGTCGCGATGCTTACACCTTCCTTATGGTGGCTCGACCAGGGGGATGCTGGTCCGCAGCATGTCTGCTCCGGTAAGGACGGCCTCGCGAGCTCCTTGCTGGCCCGATAGTATCGTACCGCGACCATGACGCTGATGAGCTTTACTCGCCACCAACGCGCGACCAAACTGAAGCTTATTCTCAGGAGCATGCTGTGCACCGGTGAACGTATGAGATGCGCGGATGACGGCACTTCAACATAATCCTATATGATGGCTCATTCCTGCCTCGCTTCCATGGATCATTCTCCCCATTCAGACCACATTCCATCTCCTTGCAAGTCCCATTCACTCTAACCTTCTTATACCAGACCCCATTTTTCCTTGTCTTCTACCAGAAGTTGTGCGTATTCGAATAGCCTTGATTGACGCCTGATTTCCTTATCTCTCATTGTCTTTAGCGGAACAGAGGCCATCTCTGCATTCGACATCATGCTGCTCACCTCGCCAAAAGTTCTGCTCAACCTCTTACTCTCCTCTTCGTTTGTTCTCACCCCTGTCCTTGCGGGATCACATTCACCTTCCCCTCCATCAAGCGTAGCAGCAAATCCCTACGCACCGGAAGATGCCTACTGTGCGCCTAATATCATCCGCCCAGCCGAGGGTCTGAACCCCAGAGAAGCAAAATACATTGCGGGACGCAAGCAAAAAGCCGACGTCGCCCTGGCCGCTTGGCTCAGGAAACAGGGTAACTTCAAGACCGATGCTCTCCCCACCCTCGGCCTTGCCACGAGTGGAGGTGGTATGCGCGCGATGTTCATGGGCGCGGGACTCGTGAAGGCTTTTGACGATCGTGAAAGCACCGAGAGCACGGCAGGATTATATCAGGCTTTCACTTACCATGCTGGCTTGTCTGGTGGGTCTTCCTCTCGAGATTGCCCACAATGTTCTCCGGTGTCTAGACTGACATACTTCTCAGGCGGTTCATGGCTCGTGAGCTCGCTCGCCGGAAACAATTGGCCGACTGTTTCATCCCTGGCCACCTCGACCTGGGAACCTGGCTTTGTCAATTTTATTCTTCTCACCCCCAAGCTACTGGGAGATGGCGTCCGCTATGCTTATATCATCGCTGCCCTCGCAGCCAAGCAAGCTACAGGATTCGTGACAACTATCGTCGATCCGTACGGTCTCGGTATCCTCACTGCTCTCTTCCCGAAGAGCGTTGATGTAGGCTCGATCCGACTATCGGGACTCACGGAATTGAGCGCATTCAAGAACTTCGAAGCTCCCTTTCCAATCATCACCGCCCGCGGCGTAGACTACAGCGCGGCTCCGACCAATCAGTGCACTCCAAACGCGACCTCTTCTGACTGGGAATTCTCTCCATACGAATACGGCAGCTGGACTCCGGGATATGCCGGCTTCGCCAACACCGCCTATATGGGTAGTGACATGATCGCAGGCCGACCTGAAGTCGTCGGCAAGGACGCCAACGGCGGCTCTGCATTTCACCGCGCCTGGAAAGGATGTGCCTGCACCAAGGGCTATGACACCCTCTCTTACATCGTCGGGACATCGTCCAACGTCTTCAACGTCCTCTGTCAGACCATCGCCCCATCCAACTCCACCTCATCGGCCATCTGGAACGTCCTCAGTGCCATGGTCGCCACCACCCACGAGCCCACCCGCCAGGACATCTTCGGCCTCTTCCCCAACCCTTTCTACAAATCCTCCTCTCCCGCCCAAGCACTCGTTTCCGACAAGCGCACCCTGACCCTCACCGACGGCGGCCAAAGCGGCCGCAACATCCCCATCGGCCCTTTCGTCATGCCCGCAACTAGCCGAGGCCGTCCCGCCCGCCCCGTCGACGTCCTCGTCGTGACCGACGCCTCCGCCGACACCACCGACTTCTTCCCCAACAACAAAGCCCTCACATCCTCCCGTGCGGCGGCCCTCAGCGCCGGCGGCGTCGCCGCCTCCCGCTTCCCCGCCGTCCCGGACACGCCCACCTACCTCGCCCAAGGGCTGAACCGTCGCGCCTCGTTCTTCGGCTGTTCCGCGTCGGCCGCGGGCCGGGCCCAAAACACCACCACGAGCGCCAACTCGGACGGCATCGAGCCTCTCTTCATCGTCTACCTGCCTAACGCCCCTCTGACCTTCAACACCGGCCTCTCCGACTTCAAACTCGACTACTCGGCCGCCGAGACCGCCGGCTCCATCGAGAACGGCCGGGCGATCGCACTCCAACGCAGCGGCGACCTCCCCGGCGGCGTCAAGATCCCCGCCGAGGACACCGAACAATGGCCCTTTTGCCTGGCCTGCGGGATCGCCAGCCGGGGCGGCCATGCTGGAGATTTGCCGGAGGGATGTCAGAAGTGTTTGCAGAAGTACTGTTGGTTCGAGTAGACCATCGCCTTTGCTTTTCCTTTCCCGAGTGGGCTTGGTTTGCCCTTCCCTCGAAGATGATCACTTACGGCCCCCACCCCCCTGAATGTCTTTGATTTTGCCCCCCTTATATCTTTACGGGTCCAAGGGTCGTTTCTTACGACGCACGTGTACATGCTATGATTTTTCGCCATTTGTCGATAGATTTAGAAAGGGGACAACGGAATATACCTCTAGAAAGTTTGAAAATTGCTTTCCGCATTCAGCTTGTCTCTCCTCCTTTTCCTTCGTTTGTTCCTCTTCCTTTCCGTTCTATTCTCATCTCCCTACGCTCCATCTCTCGCTCCCTCTCGAAGCCTGCCTGCCTGCCACCTATCCCCAAGCCGGCGTAGAAAAACACCGAGGCGGAGAGAGAGAGAAAGAGAGAGAGAGTATCCGAAGCTGGCGATCCCCATAACGAGAAGTACAGCAATACCCATAAAAATAGGGCGTAGTAGTCTGGTGGCTAGAGCTCCCAGATCTGTCACACCTACCAAACCTTTCTTGGTCTTGGCGATTACGGACAAAAGTGGAATCCTAAATGGCCGTCAAATGGGTCGAACTGAACTACAAAGACATCATCTATTCTGCACGGGCATTTATATCATAGTCCGTTCGCCATGGGCCGCGCCTGGGAAGAGGTATCTGTAGTTTCTGGAATGTTTTGGTGAGGATGGAGAGCGGGCGAAGTCGAGCGGGAATCGGTTCCAGGAGGCGGGTAGGACGCGAAGGGACTTGACGACGACGACAACGACAACGAAAGCAGCAGCAGCAGCAGCGACTCAGAGACCCATGTCGACAATCGATGTTACTTTGAACTTTTCCCCTTTTCTACCTTTCCCGGGGTCTCCTCTTCCCCTCGGCACACAAGACCGTCATCATCAAAAGTCATCATGTCCACACACGACACATCCCCCCGCTGATTGTCACTCTTCTTCCGCGCCTTGGAGACCCGACTTTTTACTCTCCAACCTTGGCTTTCAAAGCCGCGACTTCCCTCGTCAACTCCTCAATCTGTTTGCCCTGGCCCTGCAGCAGACTTCGGATGTCGTGGAGGACGTCGCGGAGACCCCCTGCGGCGGCGCTGGCCGTAGGGGGGGATGCTTTGTCTTCTGAGGGAGTGGCGGCGGACTCGGCGTCGAGCTTCGATGTGTTGATGCTGGCGGCGGGGGTGACTTTCAGGGGGGAAGAGGACGGTGCTTCGCGTTCTTGTTGCGCGGGTTCGGGCTGTCGTGATTGCTGCGGCTGCCGTGTGGGAGCGTAGCGGTTGGCGCTGCTGGTTTGCCATTCTTCTGCGTCGTCGTCGTCTTTCTTGCTTGAGGTGGACCCCTCGGCGTCCTCGGATCGGTCGGCGAAGCGGTCGGCCGCGGCGGATATGGATTGCTTGTTGGAGTTCACGCTTGGAGTTTCCCGGACAGGTGCAGATCGAGGTTCCTCGGCGGGTGTGGGTCGTGCAGCTGGTTTGGCGGGCGACGGAGTGGGTTCAGATGGTGTTGAAGGTGAAGGGACGTCGGCCGCAGCGATGAGCGAGGGCTTCGCGTTTCCGTCGTAGACGTCTGCCATGGAGAGTTTCATGGGAACTGCAGTCTTGCCTTGGAACCATTCGGCGCTGGTCATGGCAGGCTTGGTGCTGATGGTTGGCGGGTAGATGTCCTCCTGGAAAGTTTCCGCGCGACGAGGGACAATGAACGAGATTGGCTCGACGTACAAGTCATCGACAGTCTTGAATGCTCGGACCACTTCGTTCTCATGGGTGTTGACGCCGCGTTTCGGCAAGAAGGCAACACCACGCTGCGCCTGCGCAGAACGGTACTCGGAGAGGTATTCGAATTTGTCATGTGCGTATTCGTAGTAGCGGATGTTGCCATCGCCTTTGCCGGCAAGGTAGAGCATCTGGCAGCCATCGTCCCAGAAGGGCATGACGACTCCGGAACCGGAATCCAGCGGAGTGAAACCGCCGAGCGGTTCTTGCGGTGCCCGGAAATCCCACAATCCAAGTTGTCTCTCGCTCATCTTGGAGAAGCCGGTAGTGACAACTCGATCGTGCTCACCAAGCCAAGCTACCCTGCTGTTTTTGGCGCCTCCGTGGCCTGGTCCTTCGTATGCCGGTCGTTCCTGGCGAACATCCCAGAAGCGGAGTTTCTTGTCCCGAGATGTCGTGACCAGGGTGCTACCATTGGCGCTCCACGCAAGCGAAGTAAAGATGTCATTTCCCTTGAGAGTAAGCTTTGGCTTGCCGTCTTCAAGGTCCCAGATCTTAATGGTGTAGTCTCCCGAGGATGATGCGAGGATGTTTTCAGCTGCAGGGTTGAAGAGCACGTGGCCCACCTTTCTGTTCCAAAAGTCAGTCGACCTTCTCTTCCTTTCTCCCAACGCACTCATCGTGAAATCCTTGTCCGTCTAGCAAGCGCTAGAGCTGCCTTTCCCAAATCACCAAAGGTTTTGAGCACGCACCTCGAATGTCCACTCAACTTTCCAATCGGCGCAACATCTTCAATCTCCTCCGCCTCTGTCCGGAGCGCGAAATCCTCCGGGACCTGCCACAGAAAGACCTTTCCATCATCGGACGCCGACGCTATCAGCGAATCATCGAACGGGCTCCAGTCTGTATCCAAGACGACCGCCGTGTGGCCGCGGAAGAGCGGCAGCTGATCAGGCAATTTCCCGCGCTCCTCGAGAGGGATGACGGCGAAAGCTCCACCACCGCCAGCCTCCCAGTTGACTGCGAGGTATTTCGGGTTTGCTTTGATCAGGTTGGTGTCCCAGGCGTTGCGCGACACGCGGAGGTTGTCGTAGCATTGCTCGCGTTTGCTGGTCTGGCCGAAGACATGTCCTTTTGGAAGCGGCGTAGGTTAGTATATTGCGAGTTGTAGACGGGAGAGTCTCAGGTTGGGATTCTTCGGCCGCATCGTGTTGAGGGCAGGAGGACGTGGACATACGATATTTCGACGCTCGCACAAACCGGCCTGCCATTGGAGATGAGGATCCCCTTGAAACAGGCGTGTGGATGTCAAAATTGAGCAGTGGTTTGCTTGTGGGGAGGGTAATCTGTGCAGTCGAGTAGAGCTCGGATGTTGTCGTGTTATCGTAGCAATGATCAATCCCGTGGTGGTGAAGCTGAAGACGTGGATTGTATGCGTGCACAGAACGATGATGGAGCTTCTTGTGTCCTGTGTGTAGGAGCCCGCGCCTGCCCGCCGTCGCCGAGTGGGTTTGTGTGTGGGGGGGAGACACTGGACGGACAAACCCGTTTGGTCTCCAGGGCCGCCAGCTTCTCCTACCATAGACAATTCTTCATCAAATTGGTTGCGCTTGGTGACGTCTCGCCCACACCCACGCGGCGTTAGAACAAGATAGCCGCCTGTTCTACCGCCCTTCGAACCGCCCTTCGAACTACCTTAGAATCTAATGAGTCGGCGAATTTACTACACTTCAAAACGCTCCTGTAAGGCTAGATATGAATCGAGTAGATAATGTTGGCCTCGAGAGGTAGCTTCCTTTACACTCGGCCGTCTGATGATAGTGAATTATGGTCATATTGTGACTTCATGATTAATCTATACGTAAGTTAAGTGATGGGATGATGTAGTGAAAGGCCAATCACCCAAAGAAACGCCTCCCTCCGAAGAAAAGCGAGCTCAAAATCTAGAGAACAAAAAGGTATCCGTATCCCGAAATGCATACATCCCACGAATCGTTCCCGCCATCGATAAAGCGACTCACGATCTCAACTCCGCGAAAATATATGGGAACAGCACCTGACACGCCTTGAAAAAAACACCCACGCTCCCCAGCGCCCTAACAGGCAACAAGACCGTCTTCCCGCGAACAATGTACAACCAAATCGACAGCAACGCGACCGCGAAGAAATGGTAGAAGAGCACAAACGGCTGTCGAATGATGCCGCCGAGTAATCCGACCGGGCCGTCGATGCAGTTACCCCCAAGTTTGAAGTACTCGAAGCAGCCCTGTTGCAGCGCCCTGAGTTGAGCGTCTTCCGCCGCGAAAAGGGCATAGAGCGCTTGCGCGAGGATATTGATCACAGCCGTGAGGTTCTTGCGGCGCCAATGGAAGGTACGCATAGCGGAGAGAACGGCGGCGTGGTCGTCGAGGGCGGGGATGACGGCTGGGTCGAAGAGTTCCGATAGGAGCACGGCGTCGTTGAAGGCGACGGTCATGCCGCCGCCAGTGAGCGGGTGGCGCATGTTGAGCGCGTCGCCGAGGAGGATCAGGCCGGGAGTTTTGTTGGTCGTGGCGGGGAGGAAGCTGTTGGGCATAGAGCGGAGGCGATCGCGGGCGATGGCGGCGGTGAAAGCGGGGCGGACGCGAGCGGGCAGCTTCGGGACGACGACGTTGGTGAGATGGTTTTTGACGCCGCCAGCGGCGAGTGAGGCGGAAGGGAGGTTCTCGGGGATGTCGATCAGTGCGCGGGTTTCGTGGGTGCCGATTTGGTAGAGGAGGATGGGGGCGCTGTCGGAGAGGAGGACGTGGCCATGGTTCGGCATGGGGAGGTCGGCGTCGATGAGCTCGAGGGCCCAGAATTTGGATTTCGAGATGGGCGCGTCGGTGCGGAAGGCTTTGCGGAATTTGCTGTTGTAGCCGTCGGCGATGATTGTCAGGCCGCCGAAATAGGCGTCCGGTTCTCCTTGTCGAATCGCTTCCACTCCCAGGATCTGATCTGTCCATTCGCAACGCACCAAATCCGTGGCCGTCGCCTCCACGACAGAGACATTTGGATTTGACAGGACCTTCTGCCGTAACCTCTGGATGAATCGTCCGTGATGAAACGACCGGCCCTCGGGTCGTCCTTTCTCTATCCCCTTTGCCTTCTCTCGTATCGACGAATCGCCCGCGACCTGTGGATATGAGATCTTGACCTCCTCCCCATAGTAAATCACATCATATCCAAAGACCTTGATTGCGTCGATCTCCTCCAGACAATCCCTCATACCCAACTTTTCCAATGCTTCCACGCCACCGGGTTGCAGCAGCTCTCCGACGATCCGGTCCGGCTGTTTCATCGACTTTTCTAGTAATATGACACTGCGGCCTTGATTGCCGAGAGCATATGCCATTGCGCATCCAAAGATGCCGGCACCGACGATTACGACGTCGGCGCTGTGATATTCGTCGCGCATTCGTTTCGCCTCATGACTCAAGGCCTCTCGAGGAGCGGCCGAAGCCGTTGAGGTCGTCATGGTCGTGAGCAGATTTTATCGTTCGGGCGTCTCTAATCTTCTTGGAAATATTGCAATATGCGAAAACGCTTTATGTTAATTGAGAGGAGTGAAGTAGGTTGGGTGTGTGATTTGCGGGTGTTGAATGCTAGAGATGAGCCGCTCATTAAGTCAGAAATGATACGATAATTGTCCGGTCGTTTCAGGGTCCAGTTGATGTGAAAGTCGCGTGAGATTTGGGGCTTGAGCTTAATTTGTGCATAGGGGATCTGAGATGCGAATCGGACCAGTCACAAGTCGCCCCTGTCTCGATCGGGCGCCCACTATGTCATCATTGAACAGGGCCGAGACTCCAGTCGGCCACAGCCAAATGTTTGCATTGTCACGGCATGCCCAGGTGACGATAGATAACGATTGACGTCTCATCTCGATGATATGTCAAAACAATACTGCACCAGACACAAGCTGCGGTCAGAGGGTATATAATGCTTCAATGGAGAGAAGTTGACCCTCCAGAGATGACAATCGCAGTTTAATCACGAAAACACGGTGCAACTGCAGATGATAGAGGTCTACATCGAAAGTCGGTGCTGGGTGAACGAAAACGACAACATTGCTATGTGGAACTTTTCCGTGCTCGTCACAGAAATGATGCACCACACCGCAACATGCCACATGCGTACAATATCCCACATGGGTGCTATAACTTCGCCTTGACAGCTCCACCAACATCGCCGCCAAAGCCCTGCGCGAACGTCGTGCCTCTGTCGCCGCCGATTGCCTGAACCACACTGTCAATCTGCTGCAACAACCAAATACTCCCCTCATCACTCGCCAGCCACTTGCCGCCCAGGATCTCGTCCTCTCGCGCTGCGGTTCCGTCCTCGAACGCTTTGCGCAATCCAAAAACGTGGCTGACGATCTGTGGACCGACGCCGGTTTGTGCACGAAGGCAGGCGATGGCGAGGACGGATGTGAGGACGCGGCCGATATTTGGAGGGGAAGGTTCTGTTGATGCTGATGTGGTGGAGGAAGAGGTGGTGGTGTTTCGATTGTCGTTGCTGTGTGGTGGGTCGGAAAAGAGTGCGCCGTATGCGCCTTCGATGATGAAGATGGGTAGGTCCGGGTGGGACTGAGCGAGTTTACGTGTGAGCTTGTCGGTGACGGGGTGGTAGATGCTGTCCCAAAGGGCGTTCCCGCGGGTTGTGGTTGGTTTAATTGTGGATGAAGATAGTTTTCTGTGTGGAGACCACAGTGTTAGATGCTGGACGAGTGCATTCAAGGACGGGTCCTCACCTTCGCGGTTGACGCTTTTGTAGGTCTTTTTGAACAGCATTGGGTAGACCATTGTAGAAAGCTCCGAGCATATTGATAGTCCGAGGAATCTAACAAGTTTCAGCTTCACATCGCCTCGTAGACTATGGATCATAACGAAACCTACACCATTGAGTCCGATACATTTCAACCCAGCCTCACGCATCAGCTCTGCGACCAACAAAGGGTGATTACGTGAATCGCCCGTCTGATGTTCGGGCATAGAAGCGAGACGATATAATTCCAGCAACGAGTCGGGCGAGTTCATAGTCATGGTCGCAGCAGTCTTCGATCGGACGGGGATATGATCAGCATCTCAGGCGATGGAGACCAAAGCTCATAGAATATCATCATCTTACCGACGCACACAGCCATGCAGGGAGCCCGACGTTCTTCTCTCGCGATGCATTGGCGATATTACTGTACACTGTGGCAATGTGTGTAGGTGCCGGGACGGTATTAGGTCGAGCATGAGCCGCGTTGATGAGAGCTTTCAGTGGCTCAGATAGCTTGGACATGATGAGAGCTTCAGACTACGCCACTGTTTCTCAATCTTCAAAATGTGTATGTATGCATTGCTTGGTTTCCTTTGGTCGTTATGCAGTCATGGAATGATAGATGGCCCTTTGAGTGTCGGCGCATGAGGAAATGGCCGGCTCGCAACGGCTTCTCCACATGAATTGTCGGGCTGGCAAATTCGGGATGAGCCGAGAGCCGGGGATAATATGTATAAGCGTGCCCAGATGCGAATGGTGGAGTTGGAAACTTGGTTGCCCATGGATCATCATTTATCGCCAACTATGGGAATACTTCAACACACATCGAGACAGCAGGATGTAGCTTGTCTCCGAGTACGCGTCGATCGTACATTCCCAGACACGCCTCGGCTGCCAAGATCCGTCCACAGCTGTGGATAGCCCTGGTGGTCTGCTTTGGGCACAGCATGGTGGATGCTGTCGCAATCTTCTTTCAGGCTGTCGGTTTTTGTTGTGCCGCAAAATTTGGGTAATTATTATCATATCAATCATCGTAGTTGAAGGACAGCTCCGCACGGTCCGATGGATGTGATGAGGAGACTAGCCAGCGTTGCTCATGTAATGCCATGTCCTTGACTATCACGGCCTACCTACCGTGGATGAGAGGTGTTGCCGCAAAGATGCATGGAGTGTACAGTAGTCAAATGTCGAAACTGATGATAATAGGAACGCGATTCCATGCCAGCAAGTAGGCGGTGCCTCATCGATGCAGCAATGGGCGGAACTGATCTGAGTGATTACCTAGACATGTATGTATACATAGCAACCAAACACTACTGTAGGTGTTCGGCGGTGATCTAAATTTGGTATGCTGCTATTACTTCTAGTGGACAAGGCTAGCCATCGGGGATGAGCGCCCGCATTTTCAACGCCACAAATTCTCCTCTCTCTCTCTCTCTCGCGCTCCTACTTTCTTATAATAACACATTTTTATTTGAAAATGTATAGGATCTCATTGCGAATCGACCCAGAATGCCACCAGGAGAACACGTGAAAATGTAACCTACACTCCCACAATGCAGTGCGTACCGCTTGGAGATTTCTCGATACTGGTCCATCAGCACATGATGAGTCCAACATGCCGTCGACGATGCGGCGGGTCTGCCAGCACACGCCTGCACGCATGGGGCGCAAAACCGTTGCAAGGCTGTGCCACACTGGTCGGTAGCCTTAGAGAGTAGACTTTTACCCAACGAAAGTACCATGTTGGTGTTCCGATGTTTCAAGTATTGATGCGCAGCAGCACACTTCTTATGCCCAAGGAGCAAGATGCTCGCGTGTCGTCGTGAGCTAAACTCCCCACCCAAGTCGTTGGCCTTGAGGCTACTTCTACGATCATCAGTCAAAGCCCAGGCCTACTAACCTTGGAGGTAATGTATGTGGGTACCTAGGTAGATGGATATAGATGGTCCTTTCCTCAAATCAACGCCACGGTCATTCCAGGTCCTGCTCTTGCTTGATTTCTCGTGCAATATTTTCAACTAACAGCTCACGTTTCACGAATACACTTGTTACAGTATTAGCATCCCGTGTGGGACGGTTGATACTGCCCGTGGCTGACTAGAAGGTTGCGGCCCGCCAATGTGCCTTCTGTTGGCGGCGGTGAATATTCAACTACAATAACTTCACTGTTGCTGTTCTTAACCTTCTGTTCAAGATCTTTGAATGCCTCAAACGACCGATCCCATCTCGAACTCGAACACTTTACAGGTCGTCTGCCTGGCCGAGCTATCGTCGACTCTTCGCTTTCCTTGTGACACATGTCATTTCTCACCAATCTCTACATAGCAAGATCATGGACTCCGACATGGAACATCGCAGCCTTCTTGCTGATGCTTCACCAGCCATGAGCGCCGATGGATCTCCGGCTCTTCTTGGCCAAGAGTCACCGCCGATACCTTCTGACAACGAACAACGACCTGCAAGCTGGCCGGGAGGTGACTCGCCTGCCATAGTCACGTCACCTATCCCTCCAATCGCACATTCGCTCAAGAGATCATCAACTTCATACCCTCGAAGATATACCCGAATCAATTCGCTACCATCCTCCACCGAATCATTGTCTCGAAGTGTCACCGAGCCCGAGGCTTCCTTCACAACTCCACAATCAGGCGAGTTGAGTGACGGTCTTGGCATAACCCTTCAAGCTGGATTGCGTCGATCACCAGCCAGACGAGCTTCGTCCCATGTGTCGCCGAGGATTCGTAACAGTCTGGAGGGTCAGGTTGTGGCAGAAACATCGTTGACACCATCCTCCAGCGTACTTTCCGGCAGGACAACCACCTTTGACGGGACCCAAGACACTGCCTATCACGGCTATTTCGGTCAGCAAAAGCCTATACGACCCACCGAGTCTCTCCGATCAGATCGCAATAGCCCGAACCGTGCCCCAACGATATACGAAGACGACGCTGAACAGGACGGTCAAGTAGACTTTGCTCCCTTTCGACCCAAAAACCACAGAACACGTCCAATCAAGAGGAATCTCGGAGGATGGCTTTCCGTCGTTGCATTCACTCTTTCCATCTTTTGTGCGGTCTTCTCGGGCATCTTTCTTGCCATCGCTCTGAATGGTCCATATTGGGGGCGTGCCGTCAGTAGCAATCAGGGAAAGCTTTCGCCGTCCGCTGCAGCCACGTTGACCTCCTTCTTCGCAAAAATGATAGAAATGTCCTTTGTGACCGTCATGGTCGCTTTTGTTGGTCAGATCTTGGCACGCCGATCGATCCGTCTTGAGGATGCCGAGGGCATCACTCTTTCCGAAATGACAATGCGAACATGGATCATGTAAGTGCCGCAACTCATCTTTCACACACGAATTAAGACAGGAGCCGGTCAAGTCGGACGGTCACACCGATGGCCAAGTGATCCTCATGCACTCCGGTGTCTGACCTGGTGCTTCGTTTCTACGATAACTAATACTAACGATATACATGGATTTAGGCAACCTGGGACCATCATCACTCAATGGGAATCAGTGAAATATGCTGGTCCGACACTTCTGGGCATTGTATGCCTCTTCACCGCAGTCCTTTCCATGCTGTACACCTCAGCAGCCACATCTCTTGTCCAACCTCAGCTCAGGCTCTCCACCTGGCAACATCAAGATATGGCGGGTGTGGTCAGATCACAATTCGCCAATCCAGAGTTCATCAAGCAATCGTGCGCGACGCCAATCACCGCGAACTACGACCCTAAATATGCTCACGATACCTGCGCTCAGATGGAACACGCTGCCATGGCGTATCATAATTACTATGGGTACATTAGTGCCTGGACGGACTTCAAGGCGAAGAATCAATCCGGTGACAAGCTTTCCAATCGCCCCAAAGGCTTCGCGCTACTCAACGACAATACGACCATCAGTGCGCCGTGGATTGAGCAACAAGAAGTAAAGACCTTCAACTCGACAGTACCACGATACATCAACAATGTGACAATGGCGATGCCGCACATCGGTGTCATCCAGGCTGCAATCGATCCCAAGAATGCGCTCATGCAACCAATCGAGGCAGATGGATCGATGTATCATATCAGAGCTGCAGTACCTTCTCCGTTTATCAACGTCCTTTGTGCAACACTGATCGAAGAAGACATGAAGCCGTTTCTGATCAATCACACGAACAAAGCTGATCCGTATGCGACAGGCTCTGCGGTCGCCGACGTCTTCGGATTCGGAGAGAAATACGGTACAATGCGCCTGGCTCCTGTATTCCCGAGGCTTCCGATAGACTACAACACTCTCGTCAACGATACCGTTGGTGTACCTACCTGGGGTCGTCCAACAATATTCGTCCTCGGAAAGAGTGGTCCCCAAGACACCGAGGGCAGGAACACTAGCCAATACTACTCCTTGTGTCAACTTCAAGTGGGTACGACGCCTCACTGCACAACCAACTACAATGCCAGTAGCACAGGTGCGACGATGGACGCCGATTGCAGCGACCCTGACAACCGATACGCCTTCAGCTCCAGTATGCAGGTCAATACTACGTCCGGAAATGCAACAATCAACAGAGATTGGGCAAATATTGCTGGCGAGTGGGCTCGAAGTGAGTATTCACCTCCTATATCTATTTTCCGACTGGATCGGGTTGTCCTTGTCATCTCCGTCAACTCACATGATGGTTCCCCCGTGCTGAAAATGCTGACCATTCGCCATTACAGGTCTATCGATGAACGATGGTCAATTCAACGGCAATTCGTCCAATGCTCGACTGTTGACCCAATTTATGGTAACACAGCCTCGTCTCAATCCCAAGCTACCATCGATGGCAGAGGCCATCGCGGTATTGGCGGGCTGCACTCTTTTACAATCTGTCGAAGGAACGCCATTCGATCAGAACTGGAATTTCAGTTCCCCTATAATTTCAGATCCCGCGGGCGTCCGACAACCATTCAATGCCACCGTCCGTGTTCTCCAATACGCAAGCGGAGGTGTCTGGGATCATCAAAAGGGATGGTTCTGCGTGCTACTGTTAGTCTTTGCAGCCAACCTCATGGCTTTGTGCTATTTCGTCAGCCACCGACACTGGTACACGGACGTCACCGAGCCCACGAATCTCTTCCTGCTCGCAATCAATAGTCCTCCGAGCCGGCATCTCGCTGAAGCAGTTGCCATGTCGACGGCCGAAGACCAAGAGGGGCCCTCTACATCCGCCAGAGCACACCACCTGCGTTCGTGGCGAACCGAAGCCCACTACCGCGTGCCCTGGAAAATCATCCCGACCGATCACACCAGTGGCGGTGAACACTCGGGCTGCAGCGGCTACATGTTGGAGAGTCAAGGCCCGCAGGGTTTCATGCCGCTCATACAGCAGCGGAAGACGGCGAAAAAAGCCAAGAAGCAGAGGAGCAACACCGAGATGAGGTTTTCGTCCTTGACCGGGTCGACGGCGTCGAATCGGCTGAGCAAGAGGGGCACTTTTGCCGGGTTCACGTGGGATCGGAGGAAGACCATGACCAGCCCGCCCTTGGGGTCGAATACTGATAAGCCGGGTGGAGCGTGAGATATGAGGGTGTGTGTTGGTGACTTGTATTTCCTTGTGTGTTTCGGTTGGATTTGGGCGATTCAGCGAGTATGTGTGTGGCGACAGCGCAGAGATAAAAGTACAACATTCATTTGTCTGAGACATTCTTTTCGGCGTAGCAAGTACCACATCAGTCATCAGAGTAAATGAGTGTCGAATGAGTCTCCGGAGCGCCCATCCTCCCCCTTCGCCCTCCTTCGTCTTCTTCTTCTTCTTCTTCTTCTTCTTCTTCTTCTTCTTCTTCTTCTTCTTCTTCTTCTTCTTCTTCTTCTTCTTCTTCTTCTTCTTTCTCTCCACTTCCGGCTCCTTCGTCCTTGTCCTCGCGAGAGGATTGATCGCTGCCTACACCAGAGCAGGGCGTCCGCTTTCGTGTGGGCGGTGCAACGGACCGTCGAGATAGTGCGGGTCTCACCATTTCCTAACGTTCCAGGAATGGAACTGAACAGGTGAAATCCGCTCGAAATGTCTGCCGAGGAGAAGTGATGTGGGCGGATCTCCCTTGCGTGTGCATGCGTGGAGGCATGGTAGCTCGAGGCGTTCTGGTTCTTCTCTCGAGTGAGGTATTTGACGAGATAACAAGCGCTTGTGTCGGATGGATATTCCTGCCATGGTCGATCAACATGGATGGCCGTCCGAGCGCAGCGCGTCAGCACCACGATTGGGTCGCAACAGGCGGGACCCCTCTCGCCTCCCGCAGCATTGGGCGCGATTCAGGGAAAACCCTCATCAAAAGTCGACAGGCAGACGGCATGGTTGTACATCGAGAGTTCACGTTGTACTCGAGGCCTCGGGATGGAGTGAAACCGGTGCTCCGGGTCCTTTCACTTCACTGTGCTCATTCCTCTCTCTCATCGGTCCTATTGCTCTCGTGGGTTTTCTTCCCATTGCGTGGTTCATCGTGTTCCAAAAGCGCCCGTAAATGGTCCCGAACCGCCTGTTCACACTGTTGCCCTTCGGAACGGAGCGTGCTCGCGCTCGCCGTCGGGGCGCCGAAGAGGAACCCACAGTCTTCGAGATGCGTGCGGTCAAACTCCAAAACATCCAGCACCGCATCCCTCCTGCCCTGCGCCGCCCCGAACTCCCTGAAGAACTGATAGCCGTCCCGATAGAGCTCCCGCGCGCTCTCGTGCGGATCGCGAGGTCGCATGAAGCGATGCCCGAGGAAGAGACTCCGAAGCTGGACACAGTCCGCGAGCAATTTCAACGCCGGCGCGATTCGCGTCCGACTCCCGGCGCCATGGGCGGCTTGGCCCAGGATCCTGATGGCGCGCATCCGAGCGCGGTTCGCGGCGCCCATCCGCGAGAGGCAGTAGTACGCGATGGCGTAGTTTTGGAAGGTGAAGGCTTGGCCGCCGTACAGTACGTCGGCGGCTTCCCGGTGGATGTGGGAGTTGATCGCGAGGAGCGCGGGGGCGAGCCGGTTCAGTCGGGGCTCGTGTTGGGCGTATTCGCGCTGCTGCGCTTCCCAGTCCTTGTAGAGAAATCTCCAAAATCCTCTCTCCGCTGTGGGAAGTTTCCGCGTCCCGGCGGGTTGGAAGGCTAAAGGGTCGGGTGCGATGAGGGAGTATTGGTAGATCTCGGAGCGGATCTCGGCGGGAAGGGACAGGAACGAATGGGTGTTACTTTCTTCGTCCGCGGGTCCTGGCGCTAGGGATGTCGCGTGTGTCTTTAATCCTGGTTTCTTCGATTCGTCATAGGTTAGCATCATGAACAGCTCACGCAGACTTTCAGGTGTGAGGAACGAGTCGTCCTTACTTTCTTGCGCAATCCATTGCGGGCCTCTTCACCATCATCGCTGTCGTCTTTGGGGTCCTGCCGCAGCTCAAAGCCATCCTTCTCTGATTTGGGGACCGAACTGCGAGTTCGATATCGCTTGACCGGCACAATCGGTCGTGGATGTCCTGAAAGTTCTCCCATTGTGTTTGATTCGGATGGGAAAATTGGCAAGGGAGGTGTGTGGCGGTGGAAGACAAGTCCAAGCAACAACTGAATGAAGTGACAAGATTGTGAACTCTTGCTTCAGAGATCATCCGAGATCGATGCGACTCGGCATGGTGGCAAACTTTCCTGCATGTCGACTCTGCCTACACACGGATGTAGCGGACAGAAGCGCAATATATGTAGGTGATAAAATAGTACTGTTCTGTCATCACATCGAAACCAACAGCCGCCATCGCCGCCTGTTCCCCCAAAGGCGCCTATAGGGTTGCACATGGACACCAAGCGCACCAATCAAGCGCGCTGCAGCCTAGCATGGCAGCCTAGGATCTAAACCGAATGCGGCAAAAGGATGTCGAGTCTCCAACGATAATCGCAACCCGAACAAGAAAGGCATTGGGTATATAATTGGGCATTCGAGATGGGAATTTATGGAACGACGAACAAGAGCCAAAAAGACAAAAACAAAACAAGAGAAGAATCGGGAGGAAAGAATTTTGCGGAATTGAAACGACAACATTGTCACCATCAACATCGTCATCATCATCATTATTAAACCCATTTCGACGATCACAAAGCATTTTCAGAACAAATCATGCAACAAGTCGCTCGTCATCAGCAAGGAATCGCTCTCCCAGCCAAACGCAAGCGCACCTGCGTCTCCTACGCCGTCGACGAATATTTCGAAGCGCGTCACATCGGAGACGACGAGGACGACAACGGCGGCGACGACGATGAAGGATATCAGAGCGAAGAATCGCCGTCAAAAAAGGTGAGAAGAAGAAGAAGAAGAAGAAGAAGGAAAAATTTCCATTTCGAATCTCCAGCCATTTCCATCATGATCGCTTCAACATGTCAAACACCGTGACTGACAAACATTGCGTCATGAAAGAAGAAACATCGATCGACGAGACTCTCGAGCGCCTCGTCGCCACCGAAGAAAACCAAGGCGAAAGCGCAAGGGGTCTTCCCGCTCCTCTCCCTGCCCGCCGAAATCCGCGAAGAGATTTACCACCACTGTCTTGCCGTGCCCGAGGGCCTCTCGCTCGTGTCGGCATGGCATCGACAACGTCGGACGATCAAACCGGGCTTCGTCGATCCGTCGCGCGAAGTCAACGATTGGCAGGAAGTCCAGCGTCTGCAGGAAGAGAGGAAGGGTCGACGTCCGAACAGCCCGCTCGCCCCGGCGCTGCTGGCGGTGAATAAGCAAGTCCGGCGAGAGGCGATGGGGTTCCTGTACGGGCAGCCGATGATCTTCCAACATTGCAGTGGCCTGTTTACTTTTCTGGCCAATATTGGGACCAAGAACCGGGCTTTGGTTCGGGACGTTACGATACGAGAGTGGTCGTATGGTCGTGGGACTTTCAAGGCTCATGTCGGCGCCGCGTTCACGCTGCTGGCCGACTGCACGAATCTTCGACGGCTTTTTATCGATTGCGACTTCTCGTGGGGCCGCACCACTCGTCAGATGGCCTCGGCGCTGTATAGAGACGGGCATTTCTTCTTCGAAGCCTTTGGAGATGCAAACGGCAAGAGGAGTGCCGCGGTTGATATCCTGAGATTTTCGCAACACACTCTCGAATACGTTCAAGATGCAACGTCGGCTGAGGAAGCTGAGAAGGAGATCCGCGGGGCGTTGAAGAAGAAGCTGATCAAAGCTGGGCCGCGGAGATATCGCAAGAGTGTGAGGCGGGATTAGGAGTTGTGCTTGCATTTGCTTGGCATGGCATCGTGTTTAAATCGCATATTGGGCCGATTTTTCTTTTGACTAAATATTACGAATCAAATGATGATGATGATAACTTCAAAACAGAATGAAGGCGACCATTAGGATCGTGAACAGAGGTCTTGTCCACCCTTTTGAAGCTTCGGAACCCTGAATGGTAGCCGTTACGACAACATTACCGTTGCGGCGGGACCTAGATGGAAAGGGTAGATTCCGTATCGTAAGCTGTGGACTCATGTCGCTCGTTTCCGAATCGGCATCTCCGTGATGATGCGGTGGTTGTCGCCTCTTCCCAGGAGTGATGGACTCTGAAGCTCCATTGGCGAGGCGAGTCATGCTTCTGGTATCGTTGAGTCCACCATAAGACTCGACCCTCATGATAGGGCGTGCAAGGATCTTAGGAAACGTGGTGATGGTAACGATCTCGTGCTGCTCGGTCGGAGGGTCCGTTTCGGAAATTGGGTTGGTCTCCAGAGCCTCTTCGACGGGCGCGTTGGAACATTTCTTGAGCATTGGGAACAGCTTTTCAACACGGGCAACGCTGGAAGGAATCTCTGGAGGTGGATCAATTTGATAAGTCTGCGATTCCTCTTCACCGGATGGACCCTGCTCAAAGGGTGGGCACTGGGCATAGTCTGGTTGGAGAAAGGTTGGGACGACATGATTGGGTTTTGAAATGCTGACAGTGAGCTCTCGAGGAATGACTTGATTGTGGTCGCGCGACGATGAAGCCGTGTCGATGTCGTTGTTAAGCGATTCTGGAACGCTCTGATCGATGCGCGAATCATCTGCGACGGTGCCTGTGATGATGTGTGAGCTTCAACAGGTCCATATCTGATGTATAGCTGTAAAACTGTGAAGCCTAGGAGAAAACTTACAAGTCGGGTTCCACAGCTGCTCTGGGATACCGAGCAAGTCGAGACAACCTAGCGCAAGCGGACAAACTCCCAAAGAGACGAGAGGTAACATCGCACTCGGAGCCATGTCCATCGACTCAGTGATTGTGATCATCTTCCATGAACCACTCATTCATCCAAGGGAAATGTTGAAGGGTCCTCATCTACGACATCGATGAGACGGTTCCGTTCTGACGAGTAAAGCAAGCGACGATTGTATATTTATCCCGAGATGGATGCCTCTTCTCAAGGAAGGAGGAAGAAATTGGAGTATTGTGAGTGTCGTGTTGCCGAAAATACACCACCTGGGCACCTTCCAATCTTGGAAATTTTGGAATGTTCGAGGTCCAGCCGGGCGAGTAGTGTCGTGATGAACGAAAATGCAATGAGCTGGAAAAGAGAAACCAGCGATGGGAATATAGCAGTCCGCAGACGATGAGTGGTAGTTCAGGCCCAGCCTTGATGAGCGAGAAGGTGAGAGATGATTAAAAGCAGGCAAGTTGGGGATGTACTGCTGTCGGTAACTAGAAGCAAGCTATCATTGAAGTCAAGGGACAGGATGATCAACGAAGGAGGGGAATACAAGGAAATTCAGGAAGGAATGTCTCAACGATCGACGAAGATGGAAAGCACGCAAAGGAAGGTGATGTCCATATCTGGGCGATAGCAGAGAAGAGAAGTGCAAAGAGCACAGAAACAGGAAATACAGTCAGAGTAGTGGAAAACGCAGGTGTTGTGTGTAAAGATTATTGGTGGTGGTGGTGGTGGTAGTGGAACTGTGGGAACCCTGGAACGAACGGGCATTTCCCGGTGTGGATTGATGAGGTGACACTCTTGTTCCCATCAACAGCACGGCTGTGTTCACTTATCATACATATTGCCGGCCATCAGATACACCTCCATGCATGCATCTCATCGGCATTCTAGGCTTATTAGGCTTATGATCCATGGAGGCTCGGGTGGGATGACTCTAATAACTCATCTGCTGTAGAGCCCGAGTGATCAGTCATCACCGAGATGATATGAGTGATGAGATACACCCGGAGATGCAGTATGGTGGTGGTGTTTGTGCGCCTGAAGCGCAAGTATCAGACAGACAGACAGACGGCAGCCGAGAGCGAGCCATGTAACATTCGGATAGAAGCTAGGATATGAAACTGTTTCTTCTACTGTAGCATTTCACAGGTGAAGCCGAATCTCACTGCATTCATTCCCAGGTTGATCATGAATTTGAAGGTGACGGTGGTGACACCCGCGGGCGGAACTACAGTTTGGGCGGACGGACGGGACGGCGGAAAGATGATAACAGATACGCAAGCAATCAAGCAAGCCAGCAAGATCGCGGGTGCCCAGGTGGGCATGGATGTCACCCGTGGACTGCATCATGGATTCGTTGAGGGCAGCAGGAAATTGCGTGCTGGGTAATATATCCACAGATACAACATATACTGTGAAGAGCCGGATGTGTGTGAGTATGTGCGTGAGTATGTGCGTGAGTATGTGTGTGCGTCTGTGTTCGTGTGTGTGTGTGTGTGCCAACTTTCCATGTTCTGATTGATGATGATGTTGGATGATGATGATGTTTCACTGCACGCCCATTTCTCTCTCCAAGCGGAGGACGCTGGAGCGCTTGGAAGGAAAGGCGCAGAAGGAGACAGAGCGTGGGGTAGCTGCCCCGGTGGAAGAAAACTGCCGCCCGTCCGCCCGCGTCCGCCCGCCCAACGATTCTGGTGCTTGCTGTAGCTCCAGGGCTGGCTTGCGCGCGTCTGCCACGAACGCATCTCCTTCTTGTTTTTCTTTTTGATGTATGACAACATGATTGAATCCTTCCTTTGCGGCGGTAGGGAAAACTTGGCACAGAACCTCTCACAAGGGATCGAGGAATGGCAGAAAGCAAGCTGTAGTCCTGGCTTTCTTCTATATCATTTCACCCTTCGATCGATATGTGTGTGTGTGTGTGTGTGTGTGTGTGTGTGTGAGAGAGAGAGAGAGAGAGAGGCAGACGGACGCGTGTTCGAGATCTGGTTTCGCCGACGATGGCGTCATGTTTCGAGAATCGCGCGCGTTTGCCCAAACCACCTGCAAGATCTCGCATGGTCTGAAAGAAACCTAGACATGGGATTTCTTTTTCTCTGTCCTTTTCTTTGGCGCGACTGGAAAGGAGGATCTCACATGCATAGTGACACAGACAAGACATGAGCGAAGTAAATTTGAAGTATTTCAATTACTCATTAATTTCGTGACAGATCGTTATCTCTAATGTCGTTGTCGGTGGAGGACAACATCCTCAACCCTCCACACACACGCTCTGCGCTAAAACCGCTCAGTAGAACTAAATGGTACAGAAGATAAAATCGTGAGACAAGCGGGTATCATAAGAGAAACAAGAGGGACATGCACACCCACGCCCACACAAAAGTCTAGACACGCGCGCGTTCCGACTCCTGCGAGGACGTCGACCTCGTCCCCTTCTCCCCGTCGCTGCTGTCCGTGACCTTCTTAGTGTTCTTCTTCACGCTCTTCCACTCCAGCGCCGCGGCGCCGAAACAGCTCAGGCACGCCAAGATGACGGCGACGAGGAAAACCTGCTGCAGAGCGCGGTTGTACGCGCCGAGGACCTCGTCGAAGGGCTCGCCGGTCGCGAGGCCGCGCAGGTTGGTGGCGCCGGTCGAGACGATCAGGCCGGGGGTGATGCCGGGGAGGTCGAGGTCGAGGATGCCCTGCACGAGGGAGTTGGTGAAGACGTTCTGGCCGACGCTGACGAAGATGGCGCCGCCGAACTGCTGCGTGAACATGACCAGGGAGACGCCCATAGCGACGTCCCTCTTCTTGAGCACCGTCTGGGCCGCGATGGAGCCCTGCTGCATGCCGACGCCGACGCCGAGCCCGACGAGGATCTGGTAGCCGATCCATTGGCCGGTGGTGGTGTCCAGGTTGAAGGTGTAGATCAGGCCGGCGCCGATGGGCATGATGACGGACGAGGCGATCATGAGAGGCGTGTAGTAGCCGATCTTCCCGACGAGGATGCCCGAGGCGATACTGCCCAGGACGAGGGATAGGACCATCGGGATGGAGTTGATGCCAGATTGGACGGCGGAGGTACCCTGAAAAGAGGATATGTCAGCTATGAGCACAGAATGGTCATCGTTGTGAGATAGCTTACCTTGATGGCTTGGAACCAGATCGAGATGTAGTATACCAACGCAAGCATGGTGCCCGCCAAGCACAAGGTGAACCACATGGCTCCGAGAACGCTGCGGTTCTTCATGATTCGGAGTGGTAGAGTGGCGTTGTCTCCCTTGTATACTTGCACAATCGTGAAGGCAACGAGCAAGACGGCGAACAGAGTGAACAGCAAAATGATGCGCCAGTCGTTGAATGCGTATGTCGATCCACCCCATTGCAGAGCGAGGAGCAGACAAATGATGCTCGGGAAGAGGAAAAATTCGCCGAGAAGGTCGAGCTGTCCCAGTTGCTCACGAATCGATAGACCTGCATTTGGTGGAGTCGTCGGCTTGAGAAGGAACATGATAGCAATGACAGAGGCAGCTCCGATGGGAAGGTTGATGTAGAAACACCATCTCCAGGAGACGTTGGTCGTGAAGGCTCCTCCGAGGAGAGGACCGATGACGGACGACAGCCCAAAGACAGCTCCGAAAAACCCTTGATAAGCAGGTCGCTTCTCCAAAGGCACAACGCTGACCATTAGAATGATAGCGCCGGCCATTATCCCGGCACTTCCTACGCCAGAGATCGCACGTCCAATGATGAAAGCGACAGACGTGGGCGCTGCGCCGCAAATCGCCGATCCGATCTCGAAGATAGCAATGCAGGTCAGGAAGACGTATTTCGGTGAGTAGAAGGTGAAGATCCTTCCGATGAGGAGTTGGAAGCAACATGATGTGAGCATGAAGCTGCTGGCGTACCAGCCAATGTCGCTGAGGCTGTGGAATTCATCTGTGATGGCGGGAATGGCGGTGGCGATGATCGTTCGGTCCAGGGAGACCAAGAAGACACTGAGAAGGATAGCAATCATCACCAAGAGAACCTGCTTGGGTCCAGGATACTCGGAGGGTGCTGATGATACAGTACGGCTGAGTTCGACTCTGGTACCAAAGTCACTCGCTGGCTCGGTCTCTTTCTCGACGATGATGGGCTCCTCGACCTCTTCGAGCTGCCGCCCGGGTGCATGCTCTCCCATGATCCCTGGCTTTGATGAGCTTGAAGTGGATGTGGATTCAGACATGGATCGAACAGGATGAGTGGTGTCAAGCACGTTGGCTTGTGGTTTGTCTGTCATGGTAGTAAGACTGCAGACTTGTCAATCGTTGAAGTTATCGCTCGACGATGTGTAGTGTAGATGTTGGTGAGTCGTTGATGAATGGGAAATCGTGGATTGAACGGGTAATATGTACATGTAGAGGCTATCTATATTATATATAATCTTCATATTATGATCTCGCTTGTGACGGTGATAGTCGCGATCGGAGCCCGGAACCGGAACCGTCTATTTTCGCATGAACATCCGCTTCTTTACGAAGAGGCGTCGTCTGGGTGGGAGGGAAGTAGAGATGTCAGCAGCAGGGGACAAAAGGGAACGGACATAAAACGGTGTCGATATCCCCGCCCCACCAATCACAGAGTCCGAAACGGTCGGCGACGGGCGTGAGGTTCAGCCGACTTGCTGACTGTTGGCCAGAAACAGACACCGAGTCATCGATTTGCTCATCGTCACCACCTAACGTCAAACACCAGAGCGCGGTCCACCCCACGGCGTGGTCCACGAATTACGTGTCTACCACCTTTAACACTGATTATCTCAACCAATACTTAATAGATTGCTTTGAGACTTAAATGTGTTATATAACAATACTATTCAATCTACTGTACAGTGTTTGAAGGTGTGAGCAAAGGAACCACACTTGCTACACCGACTAGCACGCTTTGGAGCCCTTGGCATCTGCTCCCTTATTTGTGCTTCAACCTCCTCTTGCTCAACTATCCCTTGGATCTGAGAGGCTGACAGGGCAGGATCTAATGTGATTGCTTTCCTCTTCCTGGATTTGCGTTCATGCA